CAATTTTATTGTTTGTTTTTAATATGAAATAATGCAGCAGAGGAAACTAAACTTGTGACGAGCGAAACTATTTTTTTAAATCCTGTGCGAAGCTTCACTTTGATTGATGCAAATCAAGAAGACGAATCAAATGATAATGCTTTAATAATACTTCTCAAGGGAAAGTCAAATGCCTTTGAAGTCATTAGGTTTTTCTCGTTGGGTGAAGTTATCAATGCAGTGCGATGCGATTGAAATTTTTAATTAGATATTTGTTAGGTAGATAAGTAAGTAAGGATTTAGCTTTGGCATAGTTGTTGAAGGTTTTGAGCGAGTAAATTTATGAAAACATGCGAACAATGATGCACGACAAAATTCTTACTTTGTTTCCTCATGTTTATTAAGAATGGTTAAGATTTGGGGTGATTTTGTAACAGCATAAGCTCACAATTTTGGGGAGATTGTCCAAAATATAGCCGAAGGTTACGGATGGTTGGTGTTTTCATTAATTGATGTGAATGCATAATAGGAAAAACAAATATTTACTGGGTTGAATTGGATCGATGGACGCCGTCTTGTTGACGATAGCCGAAGGTCGACGGAAAACCGATCAAGTTGTTTTAGCAGATTCCGGCATTATTATTGTTAAAATGCATCAGTACAAATATTGCATTGTTATTATTAATAAACCAATATGACCAAAGATCCACTTTAGATATTGAGCGAAAAACTTGAAAACACCAGGAAGTCTGTAACAGACTGTGAGTCACAATAAGTAAGTAAGCAATCTCACTCAAGAATTGCACGAGTTCCATAAAGAAATGTAAACCATTATAAAAAGCAACTTGCATTGTGATATCCACTTAAGCAAGTACAAAGCAGCTTTTATCCATGTACATAGATATCTAGTGCCTAGTCTTTTGAGCGTAATGTATTGTCATCGTCGTGTATTTGTAACAGTATAAAAATTCCATTTCATTGCCACCAACCAGGAATTAGACCAAACCATTTCGCATCGCCTTCAAATGCAGACCAAATCTCACGTAACATGAATTAGTGGAAAACCTGTTGCTTCCAAACAATTATATATAATGTTAAACAAATATTCTTAAAAAAGTTCCAGCAAATATGAGCAGAAATATGTTCTTACCAAATGCCTAATATTTAGGATTGCTAGTGCACTCTGCTATAAGCAATATTGTAATAAATGATCACAGATAAGTTCGGGCGGTGAGGTTCGTTTGGTTAAAGAGAATTGCTCTAGTTTTCCTTGAGAATTAGGCGCGGTTGATAGCCGCAGGCACCTCACGTATATATTTATATACTTATTACTTATGCACTATCCATTTCTCTGCAAATTCATATTTTTACTCGTTTTGAATTAACATGAATTAATTACAAATTGTTAAACGTTATTTTGGGAGCGTCAACAAAATTATGTGTAGCACAAATGTTTCTCAAACTATTATTACACATTCATAACATGCAAATATACATCCAATCAATGTAGAAATAATTATTAAGCAAGATCGCTACTTCCAAGAAAAAATTTCGCCGTGCCATAATAATAGCCCAATAATAATAATACCTAATGGCCCAGTCACTCCAAAACTAATCTGTACCAAACGCAAGGTAATTCTGACTCGCAAATTGCATCCCTACATCAATCAAAAGTTGCATGTGAGTCAGTCACCTTCAATTAATTAGCATGGCAAAGTTTACGGTAAAGAAAGATGATGATTATTGAAAAATGGGCCGTTTTATGAACTTTGTTAGTCCATTCGCAAGAAATACTGCTGCGTTCGCGTTACCATAATGTTTTATGGGTGGGAGACTAAAAATAATATCCTGAGAAAGTAATTTGTTCCATTGCCATGCTCAATTCGCAGTCAGGTGTCATTTTTAGTGCAACAACGGCTTGATGATAACAGGCAACTATTACTTTATGAGATTGCATCGTAAAGGCAGGGTAAATGTATGTAACGTATTGCAATTGCATACTTATTTAGGTACGTATTATGCCTACAATTCCATCAGCATGTCTGTCAATTGCAGATACCTAATGTCAGAATGTTCTTTATGAAAATGTCCTCGATCGTACATTCACTTGACCTGAACAGAAGCTAAAACCTTGCTTATTACGGTAGAAATTGGTTCGCTCTTGCAGCAATAATCTAGCTGCATTTGTGTTGTGGTTGCTCCTTTGGAGTGCAAATGAGTTGTAATTGTTGCATCAAGACGATTCAACGATTGTGAGTTTTTCAAGTGTTTTATTTACTAGTGAGAGCAGGGGGATTGGCTGGTGGTCATTTTAATTATTTGGCTATGCTTGAAATAAGTACGTGCTGTTATAGGTATATTTGCGAGTGATATTTTTTTAATCCTAACAATAATTAATTGTAATCTAAATAATATTTAGTTAAATGAAACTGCAGCTTATTCTGCTCTACATAAATGCATAGATATACGCACACATCTCTTAAAAGTAAAATGAGGAAGGACCTCGAAACTCGGATATGCGACAATTTATTATCTATTTATTTGCATCTAAGATACGGTGCAATATTGTGCAAAATGCAGCCTGCAATACATAGATTTAGATATGTGCATAGTGGATTTTCTAGTCTGATAGTTGTCCCTTGTTATAGTTTTTATCACAAGCATAGATATTTTATAGAATTCTAATGTCCAATTGCACACGACAATTGTATTCGTATTAGCAACAGGTACATATGTACAAATAAACTCTTTTGGAATATAGTGTAATTGCTGCTTGATGGTGTTCGGCAGGTCCTTTATGTTTATTTAGATATGCGAATTTTGCATATAACCACACCACACCCTTCTCAATTTCAAGGATATGAATCACACTTTTGCTCTCTTTGCGTTATACCTACACATTTATTTGTGGTGGGCTATATAATTACAGCAAATTGTGATATCGTGTTTCTGTATTTAGGCATTGCTATAATTCATGAACAGTGGAGGTTTCCCAGCGTATGCTCTCGGATTTTGACATAACAAGTGTCAATCGATCACAAATGGAATTACAAATATGTGAATACGAGGTTTCCTAAGATATTTGCATCCGAAGAGGAGAAAATGCGCAGTAAATTTGGAAAGCCTAAGATTTGTTAACTTCAAGGTGCGCTTTCTCCTCTTCGGATGCAAATATCTCCGCCAAAGCTGCACATTTGCGGATAGTGTATTTTGAAAATTTCATATGAACTAAACTTGTGATCAATTGAAACTAATTTGGCCAAAATCCGAGAGCATACACTAAGAAACTTCCATTGTAAGATACAACACTATCGACGTAAGCAGACTTGTTAAGGGTTTCAGACAAAGCAAAACTCTTATTTAATGAGCATACAGGTGTACAGTCCATGTTGCTAAATGAGCAGATTTTATGATACCATTTAAGTAAGCATGGATAAGATTTTATATATGCAAATATGAATGATAGACTAACCGGACCTAATTCTGTATGGATTTTACAATATCGATATTGCAACTGATTCTATGAATGGAATATTCATTACATAACTTCGATTGAGCAGATCTTCAGAAAGTTTCATAATTTTCACAAGTATTATGCAGTAGCTAAAAAATAACTATAAATTAAATTATAAATATACAAATATAAAATTGTCAAACCTTAAATATCAAAATAGTAACACGAACCAAAAATATAAATATATTTATCTGCATCTTTATGACAAGCAGGAAATGTACTGCTCCTGCCCATACAATGCTTTCTGATTGATACACATTACACACTTCTTGTCGTCATTCATTATTCCAACCCTTGCATGCCTTTCAATTTTGTCACATCTTAAAAAAACACAAGATACGGTAGAGTTGTTAATGATTTTGCAATCGTTGAGTCATTCGTGGAATTGTGTGAGTACTGCAAACAAGCATATAAATAAATAAGTACATAAATGCTGCTTGCTTCATTCTGAGTCTCACAATCAGTTAAGAAGTCACAGATATTCTCCGTGCTACAGATTCAACATAAAAATTTATGAGGAACCTTAAACAATTTATGCAATGATTGAATTGGAAACAAATTTATTCCATGTCATCCTCTCCCAATCTCATTTGAGACAAGTGCGAGTAGCCAAAAGGATGAATGAATGTCAAAACATTTTAACAATGGACTTGAAAACGGAAGAAGAGATTTCTTGGCGACGTGACATGATGAATTAATAGGTCAGGTTCTGCATCATCTAAGGACAATAAATGTCTTAGGGACAAGAAACATGCATTTATTTCCCTTTACAGAAAATTATTCTGTATTAGTCTGATCGAGACAACAGTTTACTCTCATCGGCATTATATGTCTTCCAACACTTTTAATTCGTACTTGTCAATATTAGTTCTCCTTAATGATTTTTGGATGAGTGAACGCAGTAGTTATTACGCGAGTCAATCAATTATTAACTGTGTCACATGATGACGAAAAAAATTGTGCTTATTAACGTGACTTTTTTTGGTATGGTTGACGGTTGACAGCATTTTAGCAGTTTGTAATTATGCTTGCTGTGTATGTATAAATTCCCCCGAATTATTTGGGCGTGCAGGATGTACATAATGTTTCATAGCTGTTCTTAATTTGATACTTGCGACGACTTCCCTGATAACCTGGCCACGCCTTATCTAATGCACACTGCACATTGGCCGCACCCACTCTCAAAGTATTATTGCTAAGAGTTTAAATTAAATCGATTTTTAATTACTACTTGCATTGACCCGGACCATATTTGCAAGTCTGATTAGAAGAAACTGTTACAATATCTGAAGAAATTGCAGTGTGCAACTCTTAAATGTGCATATTTCATGTATTGAGACGTTGAATTTTGTATTGTACATTCAATGCGAGTAAAGAAAAGTTGATTAATGCATATACAATGCAGTAGGAATTATTGTACGCTAAATAGTTTTAGAACTTTATGTAGTACATATGAATTTAGTAATTTGTGATAAAAATGACTATAATAATTTCTAATTTTTTGCAGAATTTAAATTAAGGACCACCAAACCCGATAGCTGATGAAGTGGTCAAAAATACGCTTGGCCCTTGTGGCCGTCCTTGTGTTCTGTCTTGTTGCCAACATCTTTGCTGACGATGAAAAAGGTAAAAAAAAACTTTAATTGGATTTACACGGAAGTTTTAGGAAGTGGAAAAACGAGGAAAAAGTTTGTTTTATTTGTCAATATTTCGAATCCTATTTGCCATTAATTATAACGACATGCGTAGAAATGATCTCAAAGATTTTTCAAAAAACTTTTAAAAATTAATGGTGGCAGTAAAAGTTAAACTATTTTCATTAATCGGATGATCACCCAAGAATCACAATTAAATAAAGTTTCTGGAAAAAATAAGCTCATAGAAATACTATGCATCTTCACATGTTATTTATCGCAATTTCCTCAGCTTAATAAGTTTGGAATAGCACCCTTAATGCGAATCCAGCTTACTTAAATTGGTCCTTTTTCTTCTTTCAAGTCCTACGAAACCCATACATACATTATAAATACACCATGAGTTTTCTAATTTATGACTCGCTCATTTGTGTCTTACACTTTGGCAAAGCTCTGATATGCACATTTTAATGACGACGACGACGATATTATTAGAGTTGAAATAATAGCCGACTCTCCTTCTGCTTCACACACTCTACAATTTCTGCCCAGCTCATTCATTCATAAGAAGTGTAAGAAGAAGACGAGTTGAAGTGTGCATTTTAGGTGAAGTGATCCTGAAAGGGAAAGCTCATTTGAATTGACTAAAGACCATCATTACAAAATACAACGGTCTAAAAGGATTAGCAGAATAACTCATTAGATCTGTAACTTTGCGCTAGAATGGCTTCATTAAAACCACTCAGGCTGCCTACTCACCACCAAAATATTCCTATAGAGCTGTTGCTCCTCCTTGTTGTGATATGCAAAATGATCCCTTTCACCCTCGATGAGTCGAGTTTCTCAGGAAGAAGACGAGAAGGAGGTGGTGGTGGTTGGGAGATTTTAAGTGGTTTCAGTTTTTAATGAGCCGTTTAATTAATTTGCTAACAAACTTGGCGTACAAGGTGTGCATGAACGTATTTTGGAAGTAAATATGCATGTATCTGTAATTCTATGGGGTATCTATCGTACCACGTAAATATTTTATTATTATGATGGTGCATATGTTGAATGCCGGTAGCTAAATAGTGTCAAATGAAAAGTAGTGAGAAGACAGGACTAGATGTGGTCACAATATTTGCAAAATCAATTTCTTATTTAGCATACTTCATGGATGATAATAATTATTGCAGAGCAAATACGACAAAAATTAAAAAACCAACTTAATCCAATTTCTATATTTCGATTTTTTCATGAAATCTTGAAAGTGACTAAAGTGAGTGCAGAATAGCATCCGAAAATCGAACTTTTTCTTCGAATTTCCACTAATCCTAAATACTCCGTGTACGCGTATTATTCGATTTCAAATATTGCTTATCAGTTTTGTTGGAACGAGGTACATAGTTGATTATACCGCATTTTTGTTCATTTAGAAAGCACAAAGTCTAGTACTCGATTAAGGCTGAGGGGCAGAGGTCGCGGAAAGACGAGGGGAACCTCCACCACAACCGCAGCATCGTCAGATACCTCTGCGGAAACCACGAGCAAAAAACCAGTTTCCAGACGTACCGGTGGGGGACGATTCCGTGGAAGCTCGTCGTCAAAATCTTCCGATGATGATGACCAAACTCCAGCAGGGTCGATTCAATCCAAAGTGTCGACAAGGCTCAGGCCTACGAATAGACTGGGAGTGGCTGCTTCCGGTTCCAAGTCAAAGTCGACGTCTTCAAATTCCGTTGACGGCAAGAAGAAGGTAATATTATTCTACTCTTAGTAATATTATTATTTCCGGTATTATATGTACGCACACGTTTATAATGGGAATGCAATTGTTATAAATTGTACGTCTGTTGATCGTCTGATCGTCGTAGATTGTCTGTTACTATACAAATTGGTCTCAATATCGACCCAATATTGGAAAATTTCTTCCTGAAAACATCCCAGCCGATCTTTGCACTCACATGATCTTCGCATTCGGATGGCAAGTTAACAAAGTTATGGAAAAGCTATATAAAAAATATGGAAATTTAATTGGTTTTTTCTTGTTCAGGATGAAAAAGGGAAAGTTGTCCAGCTTTGAAGGTAGACATTTATATAGTTTATTATTTATAGTCAACGCAAAATTCCTCCAACAATCTTAAAATGCATATGTGAAACAATTGTCTGGTTTTTGAAGGAAACGACGAAACCAAGGATGGAAAGATTGGACTTTACGATAAGATCAACGGGTTAAAGAAAGTCAACCCCGACTTGAAAACGCTTCTAGCCATTGGAGGGTGGAGGTACATAATTTATTCGAAATATTTATGCAACTTGTGTAGCAATTCCTTTCCAAATGTATGTACTTTCCCCTTTTTCAGTTTCGGAACTCAAAAGTTCAAAGAAATGTCGGCTACCAGATATACAAGGCAGATCTTCATTTTCTCCGCCATCCCATATTTGAGGTGAGCATTTATTCTTTCCAGAATGCCAACTTATCTGCTAATAATCTTAACCTAATCAATTCCTTAGGGAGCGAAATTTCGACGGATTGGATGTAAGTAAACGTCAGCCACTCCCTCAGGAGTGCCCAGGGCATGGGAACGTAGACCCTTTTCCTCATCCTGTCCCATGCACGTTTTTTATAGTGGGTCGCCTCCACCCTTCCAAAGTGACCCTGGCTCCGGCCTAAATCGGGGCCCCCAGCGATTAAGCAGGAGGGATCAGGGTCACTTTGGGACTGCAGTCTTTCCTGTGGGTCGCACCTAAAACCCATTGTTCTTTAATTCTGGAGCCATTTTATACTTTCACCAACGTGGTGAAAGCCCCAGAGTGCACTGCGTGGAGGCGGTTCCAATCACACCCTTAATTTTCTATTTTCTATTTACAATTTACAATTTTCTGCTCAGATTGATTGGGAATATCCTAAAGGAAGCGATGATAAAAAGAATTACGTGCTTCTACTCAAGGGTAAAAAAATCTTCATTTTCTAGATAAAAAGTTCAATCTGATTAATTTAGTTCAGTGACGTGACATTCATGATTTTTTAAATGACAGAACTCCAAGAAGCCTTCATTGCTGAAGCAGAGGAGGCAAAACGACCAAAACTCTTGCTCACCGCGGCAGGTAAGACTAATTAATTACTATTCATTTAGAAATTAAATTAAACTCATGTTTACTAAATTCATGTGTAGTGCCTGTTGGACCAGACTCGATCAGAGGAGGTTATGACGTACCCGCAGTTGCAAAGTATGTGCATAAATAAATAGTAGTTATTAAAAAAAGTTACTTTCACTTTGATAATCGTTTTCCCCTCTTCAGATATTTGGACATACTCAACATCATGGCTTATGGTAAGAACGTTTTTATTAGTATCATTAATTAAAATTAAGATTTGCATCAAAATTACTTTATTTATCTTTTACTTTATCTTTATAATTAAATTATTTACGACAATGAACACTGGAAAATTGATCGCTGATCTGACTAATTGATTGATTGCATTACAAAACATACAAACATTATCACCAATCAGTCTCTCTCTCTCTCTCCCTCTCTTGTGCTTCCCGTAACAACGATTAAAGTGTCCCCTGTACAGAGTAAAATTGTTACATGTTATTTATTAAGTATCATGATTTAAACACATACCATATTTGTGAACCAATTTCGTTACATCTAACTCTGATATAACGGAAGGCCTGTTCGCCAGAGTGTCAAAAATAACCCACTGATCACGAACGCGTCTCACAGCTATCCAGTGATTTCCAGGATTGTAGATAAATCCAAAGGATGAATTAATGTTAAAGTCACTGGCCCGTCTAGACACCTGATAGTTAGCGTAGACAAGGGCTCGATCTATAACCTCTACGCTATAATCTCCATTCTCACCGGCATATGCGCCACCATCACCAATTGCATACAGACATAAATTTTTACCTCTCCAACATCAATTATTTTTCTCTCGTGTTCCTCCAAATTGGCTGCGATTTCCTGGAAAAACTCCCTCGAATAAAGCGATTCTTGCAGATTAAAATTGTTAACCGCATTCATTCCGCAACTGTTCTCACCTCGAGATTGCTAAAATAGTTCAAATATTATCAAATACTGATGCTATTTAAATATTACCTTACCCGTTGAAATGGTAGGCAGGCAGGGAAGGTGCTCATCAAGGTCTCTGGGTGATTTGATGAATCAACAACTGATATATCCAGGGATTCATCTTCAAATACATCGTCATCGTCATTCATGTTGTCCATTTCCGTATCTGATTCTTCGTCTGTGGATTGGGCCGTGAGTTCATCTTTTTCTAAATTATCGAGAAGAACTTCAGTGATCTTATCCCTATCTGGATGCATCATAGCAGAGTAGGGTTGACCGGGATATAAGTGATCAATTTGGCAAGGGACAGTGGGATCCTTGAGAAAGTGGAAGGGACGGCGTGATCTGGTGGACGCAATCTGACGAATATGGGCTTGAATTGATGGATCGGAGTCCATAAAAATGTCTGTCTCGCCGTGACGATTAGCCCTACAATATTTTAATTTTCCGACTTGAGAATTATTTGGAGCGTTGGGATTAATCCACGACAGATACGCCTATTATTGAGTCAAATATACACTTTGGTTAAGGATGACTATATTATATTACGATAAATGATCAGTAAATTTACAATTACTGCAGCCTCCAGTGTCGCAATTCCGATTCTTCCCTTCTATTTGGATAATTTTCCTCGTGAACATGCAAAAGAAACGCTCGACCACCAGCGTTTACTTCTCGTCTTATTGACGTTTTAATACGAGGGTTAAATGTGAATGCAGAGGGTTCGGGTCGACTGGTGTAATGAGTATTAAGATAATTACTACACCATTTAAACAAGATAAAGTAAGTAAACTTTACCGTGAATTACGTCCAACGTATAATTGAACATATATGCTGTCATCATCTTCATGATCGCGAAGCCAATCATAAATCTCGGGACAGTGGTTGGTCGAATCCGGTTGGATGTGACTAACTAGCTCTTCAGGAATGATGACGACAAAGTAGATGTAGCGCCGCCGTAGTGAGAGAAATCCATCCTTGATTTTATCGTAGGTTTTGAAATATTCTTACATTTCTTCAACGTTTTCGATATCTGCCATTGCATCGACTGAATTGGTGTAAATTCCTCTAGGATTTACGTTGAAAGGAGAAATATGCCTCATCACTTCTCGTGGACTATAAGTAAAAAGGAAAATTTTTAAGCATTTGCGGAGATAAAGTAATATTAATTCTTAAAGAAGACTTAGTTACATGGGTCTGGTCTGATGAGTAAGCCATTCATTTCTTCCTGCCTTAACATACTGCCTGTTGATTTAAAACCAGAAATTAAATGCCATAATTATAACATAATATTTGCATTAACTTACAATCTGATGATGGCGTTCCTCCATCCTGTAATAGTCCGACATTGTCGAGTATTTTTTAGTCGATACAAGTCCATCCCAGATCGCTGACTTGATTCTCTATCATACCGAAGTTCATGCGTTATGCCGTTTACAACGATGTAGACGATTTCATCTGGATCAGGGTTTGCTAAACAGGGCCGCATCTTTTCATCATTATTTGATTCCAACCTGCATATAAGTAAAATTTAGAACTGTTTCTGATCTCTCAATAAGTGATGAATCCCACCAGCTTCGTATGTTGTTGATACTAACCTCCCTACTGCAGGGATTCTTTATGGGACACATTTCAGTCACATACATTCTCCGAAACTTTCCTCGAATTCGATACTTCGATATTCCCACTTTCTTCAACTTGTATTTTTTTCCGTCGACCTCAACGTCCTCATCCGTTTCGGACTCTGGAGATAAAATAGGAGGGGTAATTGGTCGTGAGAATTCAGGAGGTTTATGCTTATATCTGTGACAATAAAATATAATCAAATCAAAATCTGATTGAATTGACGAGTTTTTAGCATTTACTATTTATTTGTTGTTAGTGAAATAATGTACGTTTACCTCCTTTTTATTCCATTAATTATTGCGTCCTTTGACCTAGCCTTCTCACTCTGTTGATTTAAAAGTTTAAACATATTTTTTCCTGACTTCGTCCGATGAGAAAAAATTGCGTCGATCTTATGTGTTCTATATCTGAACGTTACAACTCCGTCAGTCGAAGATTCCTCGGTCGACGGATATTCGTATCCTTGCTCCCTTAGTAGTGACCGTGAACTGGATTATAAAATATATAATTATTAAGTTTATTTCTGATACAAGCCTACAAAGTACCGTACTTTAAACTGGCTGATGTCCTAAAACCGGAATCGCGGCTTGATTTATCCGAACCAGATGTATGTACAGCTGACCTGGTCACGCGTCGAGCAATGGTGTGTTTGGTGACATCTTTAAAATCATCAGAATCAGATGATAACACATTCATCATCGCTGGCTTCTTTCGCCGACGTTTCCTACAGTTTGTCAACAAGAAATAGTCAATGACAGTCCTATGTGGCAGAATATAAATATGCCTTATACCTTTTCTTCTGGACTTTTTTAAAGTCTGATTCAGATGAATCCGAGAAGATGCCTCTACGTTTTTTTGTGGTGGGAGGTGTAGATTCGTCTCCTGACGATGACGAGGAGTGAAGATCAGGCTCGGACATTTTATAAAAAATCGACAAACAATAAAAATTTGGTGAACAAGTCTTTTTGTAGTTTAGCGAAGAGAGAAAGAGAATGGTCAACAGTTTGTTATTGACTTTTGAAGTTCGCCAACTTTTGTCTCAGTTGGTACATAGTCACCAAACGGAGCTTACATTACATATCATGTTTGGAATATAATAGTTTTCAATAGTTCGATTAATTTAGTATTTTATTTCAGATTTCCACGGTCGCTGGGAGAGCCAAACCGGACACAACGCCCCACTTTACGCCCCCTCGTCTGACTCTGAATGGAGAAAGCAGTTAAGTGTCAGTCATGCTGCCGGTCTTTGGGTCAAAATGGGTACGAATCGATCCCGATTTAAGAAAAACAGTCCAGAAATCTGTTTCATAACATAAATTGCTATTCCAAACAACAGGTGCTCCCAAGGAAAAAATGGTGATTGGAATGCCCACGTATGGACGAACTTTCACTTTGACGGACAGACGCAACTTCTCCGTGAACGTTGCAACCAAGGGTGGAGGCAATGCAGGAACGTACACGAAGGAAGGAGGATTCCTCGCTTATTACGAGGTAGCTACATACAAAAATGCTCATTTTTAAGTTCCAGACATGACAAACATACACCAAAAAATTGCAATAAATATCGTGAAGAGCGTGTCAGTTAAAATTGGTTTGCTCGCTTCGCTTCTGGATTAAATATGAATTTGCCCCTAGTTTCGAACCCGTCTGAATAATCGCTGAGAAGAAGATAGCGAAAATAATGCATGAATTTCTGCTCCAGTTCCGAATTGCATGCATGTATCTACTTACTTTCTCTCTCTCTCTCCGGGAGGAATGGAGGCAGGATGATACAAGATCTCGAATGGAGATGAGACAGTGTGGGGACTTGGGACATGACTAGTTTTATTTTATTGTGTTTTACAATGCAAATTGTGTCGTACCGATGCTCATCACGTTTTTCATAAAAATAAGTCTTCCTGTCGTTTGTCCACGCAAAGGGGGAATCGAGTGTGAGCCAGCTTTAAATGTGATCTGAAGGCAAACAACATGCATGCAACGTGGGAATGTTTCCTTTTTCTCGCTCTTCTCTCTCTCTCCAGAATTGGTTATGTAATATGTTGTGGGAATAATGTTACTGGTGGTGATGCCGAACTTGCTATCTGGTCGAACGGACGGAGAGACGAATGCCATAAATATTTAGAGTTAATGCGGTGTTTTCTGATATCTGTTTTAGATTTGCGAGATGTTGCGAGGTGGGAAGGCCAAGTATGTGTGGGACGAGGAGATGAAGGTTCCCTACATGATCGAAGGAGATCAGTGGGTGGGATTTGATGACGAAAGATCCATCCGAAATAAGATGAAGTGGATTCAAGATGAAGGATTTGCTGGAGCCATGGTGTAAGTTTTCTCGCTGAAATGATGTGATTTTATGCTTATAGAAAAGTGGGTAAAATTTGCAGCCAGTAATTTCGTCATGTTTGACCAAGGAAATCGATATTTATATTTATGTCCGTGTTTTTCTTGTAGCTGGACCGTTGACATGGACGATTTTACCGGCACTATCTGTGGCGGAGGGAAATATCCTTTGATTGGCGCTATGAGGTAGGCAATGCATACATATTTGTGCCTCGATGAACTCAAATGGCTTCTTGTTTTTCCGTTCGGAGACATTTTTTTGGTCTAAACTGCTGTCATCAAATATTATTATGCTCTCGTCCACCAAGTTCTTGTTGGGCGAAATGGGGTGCTCGATTTTCTCTACGACCACCATTTGGGTCACAGCAGATTTTTTCTTTATGCTCAAAACAAGACTTGTTTCGTGCTTTATTGTGTTTGTGGTTGGGAATATAACACCATTTCATTTCATTCTTTCCTTCCAGAGAGGAGTTGTTGGGAACGCCACGTGACAAGAATGCCAAGGTAGGTTAAACAGGATCCGTAAAAAAACGTGGTGGCGGCTCCAATCACACACCCCTAATTTTTATTCTTTCAGGACATCGACTGGGAGAAAGTTGCTGGAAAACCGAGCAAGCCATCCGCCACGCTGCCACCCGCTTTGAAAATCCCCGTTTCAGAACTCCTCGCCAAAACCAAGAACAAAAAAGGGGTGCAACAACTCCCCCTTCGAGATGACAGTGAAGAGGATGACGAACCTGTTGATACCGCCAGCCGACCACCGCAAGTCATGTGCTATGTGACGAACTGGTCCTCCAAACGGGACGGGATTGGGCGCTTTCACGTTGAGGATATCGATGCCAAACTCTGCACCCATGTCGTCTACGCTTTCGCCAAACTTAAAGTAAGTACTTGCTAAGATAAATGTGCACAATTTGTTGAAAGCTTTTCCTACAATTTGTCTCAATTTATTTCCTTTTTTCAATAGGACAACAAACTAGCACCCGGTTTGGAGTCGGACATTGGGGACGACTTGAAGGAAGGAACGTACAAGAAACTCTTGAAACTGAAGGATAAAAACCCAGACATCAAAATCCTCTTAGCTTTAGGTGGTTGGTCGTTCGGGAGCAAGCCGTAAGCTCTCTTTCTTTCTCTGTAACGCGACCAGTTGACCTGAGACGATTATGATAAATAAATTGTAATTTAGGTTTAAGGAGCTTACTGCCAATGTTTTCCGGATGAATCAATTCGTCTATGATGCAGTCGAATACCTCAGAGAACACAATCTAGATGGTAAATTCGTAATGTTGATCTAGGAAATAAATCGATATTTATATTTATGTGTTTCCTTTTCTTTTCAAATCAAAAGGTTTGGACGTTTCGTGGGAATATCCTAGGTCAGTAATTTTAATAATGTCCTTGTTGTATAAGTTCAATAATGAGGACTAACATTTTTCCTCTCGTTCCATTATTCACTTGATCCCAATGATTTATCCTTTTTCCCAAAACAATTTAATTTGCCCAGCTCAATTTTAGGGCCAACTCGAGAGATTTATTTCTACTCCGTTTTCATATAATAGCTTTAACTCTTACTTCTCCGTAGTTGTCTATTTTTCCAGAGTCCAGACTAGAGAAATGAGATGTTACTTTGTTTTGTTATATAATAAAACATGCTTGAGGAAAATCTAGTACCCTCGATGCTGTATCTATTATGGTTACACAACACTACGCTATATGCACTTTTGCAGATAATAATAACTCCGATAATCAGCGATCTCTCGTTGTTTTCCTAATACAAAGCAGAATTCTCCAACTTTCTCCTCTCTTTTCCTCAATAAATCAATAGCACAAAGGGCGTAGAGGTGGAATGATGAATGTGGTCTGGTGGAATCAAATGGGGTGTGAAAATAATTAATTTATCAGCAGAGGTCAAGATGACAATGGTTTTCGAGTACTTTTTCTAGTGCATTAACCTTCATCTCAGGGTTTTGACCTATTTGTCGGAATGCTTTAATTTCCCTTTGACAAAGTGATAATGTTTGTATTAGTAAATTTAATTAATTTTTTATGTCTTTTACAGAGGCGAAGACGACAAAGCATCGTATCTCGACCTTATTCGCGAACTTCGACTTGCCTTTGAAGTAAGAAGATATTTCGCTTATAAATAAATATACCATCGCCTTAAATTGTTTTTGTGTTTTTTGCGAAAAATTTAATTTTTATCTGACTGACTAAAATTCTATGAATTTTCAAAACAAAGGGCGAGGCGAAGAGCTCCAAGTTGAATCGACTCCTTCTCACTGCAGCCGTCCCAGCCAGCTCGATAGCCATTGAGGCAGGGTAAGGTCCAGTTTTACTTATGGATATGCATCAAGCAGTGATGACCTACATTACTAAACTCCATATTACCAAGTACATACTACACTTTATGTGTACGTACATAAATTTATGTACGTACATAGCAAGCAACTGCCAGTTTTTGTCGTATTTCAAATCAAATTGACAAGGAAAAACATTCAAAAATGCTCTTAAACTACTTTCCCATCCGGTTAAAAATGCTTAAAATGATGATACCCTTAAACTATCCTTTTCCGCTCTGTAACCTGTGACTGCTCCAAGCGTATCAAGGAAGAAGAAGAAGTAGGTTTTATGCAGGCAGAGAAGAGATGTAAAATCTGGGAGAGAATATAATATGTAATGGCACAACTGCCTCTATTCCATTACGACGAAGATCCATGCAAACGCTTTCTCCAATCCCATAAAGAGATGGAAACCCATTTCACGCACCATTAAAAAGATGGAAGTTTTTGCTTTACTTTATATTTCACTGATTATTCCTTGCAAAGATATTTCCTTGCCATTTCCTCCTTTTCTTGCTAAATAAATGACTAAACGTCCCAAATCTACTTTTCTCTTTTTTTCTTTTACTCCCTCCGTGTAGCTATGATGTCCCAGAGCTATCGAAATATGTGGACTTCTTCAACATCATGGTCAGTATTTTATTTGAATATATGTATAATTTATGTATTATCGTTAATTAACGTTCTTACCTTGTTGTTATCTTAGACCTATGACCTTCACGGACCTTGGGTAATTTTTTTTTAGATAATTAACAGTTTTAAATAGTCAAAGATTTCCCTAAAAATAAAAATAATTGACAGGAGAAAGCTGTCGGCCATAACGCTCCACTCTTTCCGATCGAGTCTGCAACTTCTGCAGAGAAAAAATTGACGGTGGATCACGGGGCAAAACAATGGATGAAAATGGGTAGGATAGAAACATTATTAATTTGTAAATGCATATGTATTTTACACACTTTTGTATAAATAGGAGCTCCAAAGGAAAAGTTATTGATCGGAATGCCCACGTATGGTCGCAGTTTCACTTTGAGTGATCCCAACAAGTTTGACATCGGGTCTCCAGCCGAGAGCGGTGGGGAGTCTGGAAAGTACACCGGAGAAGCTGGGTTCCTAGCTTATTACGAAATCTGCGACTTTTTGGGAGGTGACAATACCACGTTGGTTTGGGATAACGAACAAATGGTCCCCTTCGCGTACAAGGGAAGCCAATGGGTTGGATTTGATGATGAGAGATCGCTGAAAACGAAGGTGATTTCTGCATAAATACAGATTTTGTGCTGTTACTGACTTTTAGAAAATTTTGGATTATTTTTCTATTTCCGAAATAGATGGAATGGTTGAAGGAGGAAGGACTTGGTGGTGTGATGGTGTGGAGCGTGGACTTGGACGATTTCAGAGGATCGTGTGGAAGTGGGAAGTATCCGCTCCTTAAGAGCATGACCACCGAACTTGCCGGATACAAAGTGGGTCTCGAATATGACGGTAAGGTCATCTTAAATGCGCATACATAATTTAAAAGCATGTGTCAAACTCTAAAAAACAATTTTTACATTCTAGGCCCATACGAAGGAACTGCCAATGGTGGTGTCGCAAAGGGGAAAAAGGATCGTAAGTTGTCCTCTTGATGCTTTCACTAAAGTTAATTATACTAATTTGTCTCCTTATTTCAGCAAATGAAGTGACCTGCGCTGAAGAAGATGGTCACATTTCTTACCACATCGACTACGCAGACTGTACCAAATATTACATGTGTGAAGGCGAAAGGAAACATCACATGCCATGTCCAGCACAATTGGTTTTCAACGAAAATGAGAATGGTACATGTTTTTAACTTATTTGATAATTGTCACAAATCACTATATTGAATTTTGATTTTGCATTTCAGTTTGTGACTGGCCCGAAAAAGTTGAGCGATGCAGTGCACACACCCAAGCACCACCCTCTGCCAAATAGAAACTCAAAAAAATTATGTAATTACTCATAAATGCGTAGTTATTTTTAATTGCCCACCACCAAATACCCATCCATAGACAGCATTATTTTACAACTGTCCTACTGTTTTGTACTGTATGTATTTTATTTAATGTAAAAAAAGTTTCTCCATTTATTAACAGCGCAGGAAAGATGTATTGTGTAGTAAGTAATAATAATAATTTCTTATTTTGTAATACTACTGCTCGCTAAGTTTATATTTTTGAAAAAATATGAACAAGAAGGTAAAACTGTGGTGTCAAATGTACATGTAATACTGAATGCATTAATTAGTAATTAATTAAGTAACTGATTATCGCACACGATTTTTAATAGTTTACAAAATTGTTAGATGAGTATGAACTTGATTAGACAGTAATGTACATAATATGGTCTCTCTAAATACATGTTATGTAAATACTTCAGACTGTTTTGTTACCCCCAACCCGCAGTTTTTTTTAGTAGTAATTTTATTTTATTTTATATTTTTTTCTTAGAACGAGCTGATATTAAAGAGATTCTGACTCTAATTCTCTGTATGTACGACAATTTAGAAAATGACACTATTGTTGTGATTTAGTCTAAATAAATATCCGAAACAATAAATCACGCTACATTTGTATACCCGCTTATTTTACGGTTTGTTTGTGTGTACGTAACATTGAAAAAAAATTATATTTTACTACTGGAAATAAACGCGATCATACAACAGTAACAACTTGTGATACACATTATTTTTTTAGCTGTTAAGACAGTTGCTCCTTCGAAGTCGTAAGTTTCGGGGGTTTATTGTTACTTTGGGAAATCTCGGCTAGATCGATATTATCGGTCCCCTCGGTCCAAACAGCTACATTGAGACATCATTAAGCCAATAATTACCTGGTTTTGAATCAAAAATATAAGTGAGCTAACCAAACATTCCATGCTGCTTGACTTTCCGCAAGTATGTAAACATATCTCTGGACAATAGGCCATCCGTCATCTAAATTTCAGACATTTTATTTCACATGTGACCTGTTTAAATATATACCCAGAAGTATTAAAAATCACCTCTTCAACTTCCGGAGGATACTCTGGAGTAAATTCTGGCGTAGGTTTATACGTCATTTTCTTATTTTTCATGACCCCCTGCCCCATCATATTAAGCTCGTCGTCACTACTCCAAAATTCCTCCTCACTTTCATCCAACTCTTTGGGCGTTGCTTCGTGCGGATCTTCCCTGAGAAATTTGGGCAGCTTGTATTTATACACGGGCGGTTTGCGACCTGCATTTCGATACACGCTGAGGACATTGTTTCTCTTGGATTTCTCAATCTGCACGAAATATAGAGTTAGTTTTTGAATAACTATTTGCATAAATTCAGTACAAATACGCAGCCACCTTAATTATGATCCAGCGACAAATTCTACGCACAAATCGGTTCGTGGCCAGTTCCCAAGTCCAAAACATCAAACGGAACACCGCCATGGCAAGGAGAGGGTAGAAAAATAAACCCACGGATCCAGCAACTGTGATCCATGCAATCATGATAAGCACCGGATAAGCGGATTCTTTCCAGAAGGATGTTTTCCCATCGCCATTCTCCTTCTCCAACTCCCAGTTTGTGACTTCGTCGCCATTTTCAAAGTAATACGCGTCCCACGCAAATTTCGACCTTTTGAGTGAAACCTCGAATTATCAGTCCATTTTCTAAACGTGTAAGTGTAAAATATTCTACTTACCAGTAAAGTCTCCAGCGTTTGCCCCTTCCTCCAGTCACGTTCACTTTGGTCAATTGTTCCCGAGGGATGCATCGACGATAAGGAGGATATTTAAGAAGCGGGTGGAAAGACTGGCCCGGCTCTATTTTGAAGTACAACAACCTGTAAAATGATAGAATTTATGGTTGATGAAAGTACACTTCCCTTCCTACTTTTTAGGTAGGACCATGACCATTTTACGCTATTTTTAAATTACTCGTAAGGTGAGTTCGCCAATTCCTCGCTGTCATTGCAAAATATGAAATGAACATTATGCTGGAAAACTAATAGTAAAAGGATGAAAACATTATATATCATTTTCATATTTTCACCACAGAAGAACACTTCCTATGAAAAATCTCATGAAAAGTAGCAGCACAAAATATTTATGATATTTTCAACCATAGTCGAACAAGTGTTTCTTTAGGAACGTATAGTCAATCAATCGTGTCTGGAAATTAGTTGCATGTTTTTTGTCGTTGAAAGTTCTGGGAACGTTTTATTCCGAATTTTAGGAGGCACAAATTGAAGCCCACCGTTCACAGTGGTCAAGAAAATTCTCCAAAAATGCTCAACCTCACGTGTTACCGAAATTTGGAAAGTGGGGTCAAGCTCGTTGCAGTGTGTTTAATGGTGAGATCCTATGCAAGCCTTACTAAATTAACACATATTTATTACATATCTGTTTGCCAGACTACTTACTGCGTTGGCCTCCTATACATGTTTCATCATTACCTCCTGAATCTCAAACAAGCCGAACGTAATGTAATGTTGTAATGTTGTCTATGATGCATACTTAATACATACTAAAGTTTACTAATAATTATTAAATGTTTAACCCACTTTAGAAGCCGAATTTCAAATATTGCGTTTGTCTTTTCTCTCTCTCTGTGCCGCGATTTTGTTCATAGGAGCAATCAAAGTAAGTCTACCTTCACTTACCTAATTACAATTACTTTTAGTACTTATACTATTTAATCTACGTACAGAGGAATTGGCGACACTGCATGATCTGGGTCGCTGTAAATGTGATGAACACGGTTTTGGATGTCGTCAACGGCTTCGAGTTTTACTTTAAATGCCAGAATTATGATGAAGGACGGATGACAGGGAAAGTACTCATGATCTCAATCGACATCTACTGCATTTACGTGGTGCTTTCCTTCGTTGAAGAATTAAAGGCAGCGCAGCGACAACCAATTGGACTTCCAACAGGAATTGTTCCCCAACCTTTTCACGCTTTCCCCTTACCTGCGGACTTTCTCCGACAAGTAAATTCCAATCACAACGAAATGATGCGAGCTGATGGCGATGTTACTGGATCCCATGCTTACAAAGAATCTAATCCTAGAAAAGAAAAGATGGATTCTGACGTAGGACCACCTCCGTCTTACAATGCAACCATTGGAGGAATTGGATACCCCACGATTTAGACGACTTTTGGCGACAATCGACAAAATGAAGCATACAAAATTGTAATTTATTAAATATTTTCTCTTTTAAATTTGGGGTGAGTCAACCGGAAAAAAATCTTATTGAGATCATCTTAATTGTTTTTGAAATAAAAAAAATACAAATATGACATCATTCCTCTGACTGTAGTGCATACGCAATACGAGTAAAAAATTCATAGCACTGGTACGAATTTTGCATACATTACTGAACTACTTGCTCAGTAACACCAACCAATCCAAATATTTGCCTGTTTGATACACTTATTTACTTATAAGAACAAGAAATTAAATATTCATCCTACAAGTTCGCACTAGTTCCCAGTTGTGCTGTGAATTATGAGAACTCGCACCTCAATTCGTACATAATTGAATCATCAATTGTCGTCATCATCATCACCACATAAAAATAGTTACAGGTTTTTTTACAGCAATAAATATCGGATATTTATATTTCACCAACAAATCATTTTTCACCCATAAATATCCTTACATATTTTTTACGTCGTACTGTACTGAACGAATCGCACCCATGAATGAGCTAATTTTTAGCTTGGTCAAAATTTTACATTCTTGATGAGCTTTTATCGTGTCAACTAATCATTACATACGTGAATACGCTACGTGACATGATGTAAGTTTAAGGACCCACCTTTTCTTCTTCACTTCATGAAGCATTACAAGTTGAACATGCAAATTTGAACGCTTCTCATTTGAATGAATTTTATATCGCAACAACTCTATTACACGAGGCTCATCTGGGCAAAAAGTAGATCTAAATCAATCACACCGACCATCAAACATCACATAAATATCAAACGAGGTGGCTAAATGAGCGTATTAAAATAAGAGATGAGATCACAGCATTCCTCGATCCATTCAGACCGTTGGCATCGTGCGTACATACATTTATTATGCATAAACTTTTCTATGTGGATTGTTCGATATAAAAACGAGATGAAAATTATTGTTCCTCTCCATCACTCGACAGTCGACAGCGACGTCGACGAGAGAAAAGGAGTGTCGCCCTTTTAGCAGAGAGGAGATTTTCAATGAATGGAAAATAATCGCTTTAACGTCGAAAATAAGGCAGAACGTAGATGCAAAACAATAATATTCATAAGTTGTTGGCGAACAACAGCAACATTACATTACACATTTTTATTTTACTTATTTATGAATGAAAAGAGTGCAGTAAGCTAAGTGATTTGGTGGACTGGACGGATGAATGAGAGCCATGTCAATTTATTTATTAAAAAAAACCACCAACTTTACTCACAACCTGTCGCAATCTACCTTCTTGTGGAATTATTATGTATGCAAAATTTAAATGAGTATTGGCCAGTAAATAGGTGACTAATCTAAATGAGATGAGATTGGGTTGAACAATAAGGTGGGTCTCGCACTCATTTTTACGTACAAAGTTGTAAAAAAATGTTTCAATTTGGTTAAAAATGCGACATTTCGAATTCATATTATTGTTGTAAATTTTACCTAGTTTGAGAGTTATTTAAGTCAGGAGGACAATGGAGGAGATCGCTTTCTTGAATTCAGGGAAGAAAAAAAACTTGAAGAAAAAGGAATCATTAATTTAGTTACGTATAATGAAAAACATAACATTTAAGTAAGACCTGGGCATGTCCATCTATTATTCTATTGCATAAATTATTATCTTGCAAATTGTGCTCATAACTCATTCCTGTCTAATGACATCATTTCATTCTCCTTCTGCTGCTGCTTTACTTTACTTTACTTACTCTGGATTCTTGATTCATTTTTTTTGCTCTTGATGAATATTGACTGAATTGAAGTGATAGGTATTCATGCGTCACTTTATATACAGTAAAAAGAGTCAAAGAAATTGGTTTATGGTCCTCCTCGCTTATTTACAACATAAGTGACTTGGACACAATAAGAAGAAGAAGAAGAGATGCATCAATTAGAATTATTAGCTGCGCCTTATTCATTTGATGGACTGGAGATCAATTGAGGGAATTTCTTATTATTCGTCATCATCCGTTTCGGTCATCATTATTATTATCTGGAAAATGGTTAATGGTTTATTAATTTATAGATTTATAGATATGTGTGATGCATGTACAGATTATGTAACGTATATACCAAACCAACCACGAGGGAAACAAAACTGGATGGAAGAAAACAAAAACAAGTCAAATAATTTATTGGCAGCTTCTGTCTCGCCAGGCTGCCGGCGAAATAGGCAGAGAAGAAATATGTATGTACATACATGAAAAACATAAGCAACATGCAATATGACCTGGCTTTTGTGAAGATCAAAATTATCATTCCAAGTAATTTGCATACCCTATTTATACACATTCTTCGATGGGAAAAGGCTAGACGAAAATACGGTTCATGAAGAATAATTTAAGAAAAAATGCTAAATTTCCCCAAAACGCAGGCAGAAATGTGTCGCTTTAATTTTCTCTCCTGGGTGGTTTGGTTTCCCGATTTAATACTTTGAATAAACATTTGTAGTAGGAAAGGAGAGTAAACTGAATAATGCAGCATTGTACGGGCAACTAAAGGGTCCTAAGTAAGGAGATTATAAACGGCTTACCGAACCTAATTTCAACCGCAGGAATGATATACTTGAACGGCAAGGCATGTACGGAAAGGTGACGTAAAATCTTCACACCTCGAGTACAAACACATACTCTTTCTCTCGAGGAAAGCGAATGAATAGGAGTGGAATTCGGTGGGCTTAATAAAAGAATTCTTCTCATAATACGAATGGAATGATGGGTTTAAGTTGCGAGAGAGGAACTAAATCATCCCTTATAACTGGAATTGCTTACATTTAAGAGCCTCTCATTGGTGGTAAATACTGTTAAAATTCAAGTTCCTAGCATTTGTGTGTATGTACGTATAATTATTCGTTAAATCGATATTTTTTAATTGATTTTACATAAGTATGTGAACTATTTACTTGCTAACGTCAAGTATGCCACCTTCACATTAGGTACACGATATTAATATATAATTATGTATTCCATGAATTTTTATGATTCATATTGCAATTTTCTACTCATAAGAGACAACTTTTCCAAGAATTTATTACAGAAGAAAATCAAATTAGACCGTGCCCAGCAGCTCTGTAAAACTGGCGATATTTGTTCCATTTCATTCACTTCCTACATTACCTAAATACATCCTTTCTCTCATTCTGATTCAACACCTCGCCACTTACACGACCCATTCTTTTCCCTTGTGCCACCCACCAAATCCACAATCCTACCAGTTTCAATACTTACTTAATACCACACAATACGGGTGGATAATAGTTCCTCGAAGAAGGTGAAGTTTTTGACAATGTGGTGGCGACACATTGGTCTAAACTTTGTTTTGTTAAGGTTTATGTAAAAGAAAGCTGCAAATATTGTACAAAGTCATGAAAAGTGGAAAGAATTGAATTCCATTCGTGGAATCAGTTTCAAGTTTTCAACATTTCTTGGAAAACCAATCGCCTGATTTACCCAAAATTGAAATTGATTGTGATCTTCAGAAATGAGCCAGAGCCAAAAATGAGGAATTTAATTGAGGATATATTTCCCTGAAGGAAATTCAATTAATGCTACATAAATTCTTTAGAATGTAATTAGGTACATACCTTATTCAACCATAATAATGTACGCACATACCCACCAGATTTTGAACCCACACATCAAATCAAATTATTTTTCACAACAATATGATTCATGCCTCGACTCACAAGGAAATGACAGTTTCATTCAAATCACATCTCATTATTCGGAGTTTAAGTCCTTTATTAACTGTTTACAATCCCAGCTCGTCGTCCCCCAACGAGGCTGTCTCTTAAGATTAACCAAGATTTGAAAGATTTAGGACATCATTCATCCCTTGCCAGATAATTTGAATAGGGACGACACAAGTGGGACTGTGTGGCAGCTGAAAATGAATCTGACATATGAACAGCTTATTTATAAGGAGACAAATTCAGCCGCAATTTGTACACGTACGTTATTTAGATACAAATTATGCTTAATATGCCGAAACAATTTGTTATTTTAGCATCCACTTTTAAACGCAAGGGAGCTTTTAAAGGTAGATCAACTGCACAAAAGTTACATATCTTTCACTTGGTGGGATTCCTTCTTTCGTCCTTTGTCACTTTTCCTCTTGAACTAACGTGACACATTCGAAATCCAGTAGATTTGCTTCAAATGCAACAACTTGCACTGCACCGTCGTCCATTATAAATAATATGCGTCCACTACATAATTCTGTTTTGTTGTTGCACATTTTCATCTCCAGAGAGTCGTTCGAGTACGTATTTACAAGTACATTTCACCTGAACCACACGTTTCCTTATGCAAGTGAGTACGTGTGAGCACAAAGAAAATCCTGGAATGCTATTGAACAAAAGTGTTGCAGGAATGCAAAAACGAGGGAAGAATAGCAATTTTCCTGGAAACTTTGTAAAGCATGAAATTCAATTTGGTAAAAAAAAAGTTTAGAAAAACCTCGAATTATGTAATAATTTATTATTTTAGTGTTGAAAGATTTTAGGCGGACAACTTTTCAAGATAATCCTGGAATCATTAAACTTGAGTGGCTTGACTTTTCTTATGCAATGTTGATTACTTCTGACTACCTTTCACCGGGTTTACCTGTCCGTTATGCATATACTTATCCGACCGATGCAACTGTCAAGATTCATTAGAAGCAATTGTGGTGGTGTTAATAAATATTTTACAATCTCACAATTTATCCTGATCACAAAAGGTAATCACGAATTAAATCCGGAAAAAAGCATGAGTAATAACTATAATTTTGGGTGATGATTTAATAAAATAGGTGCACATGACTTAACGATTCATGGGGAAAATGAGACTCGTCTCAAATTTTTGCACATTTCATAATGATTGCATACAAATTTACATCTCTCTCATTATTACGACACGTCCTTCATTGCCATAAGATTCTCTCGCGTAGTAAATCCTTCACACGGCGTCATTGTCATCTCCAAGGAGGAGGAAGAAACAAGGAGTGATAATAAGTAATCAACAACCCATCCAATAAACAATATGAACTTTTATGCATCTCATCCATCCATCCATCCGGTTGAAGAACCCATGAAATGCATCTCATTGCATGAAATGAAATCTCTCATCATTACATTGATCAATCTTAACTCGGTCCATCCGCGAACACTTCTTCGTTATTGCTTGATATTACTTATGCATGCATGTGCCAGCCAGCAGGACCAGTAGTAGACCAGCATCAACAAGTAACTTGTTATTGGCCCAGCTATATATTCAGCTTTGTTGAGGAGAGCACAAGCATTATTATCTATGTATGCATTAGAAGTGTGGTCGTCGTCGTCGGTGTAACACACACAAGTAATGCAATACTAGTTTGAAACTGAATCCCATACGGACCACATCACCTCTGAGAGAGAGAAGGAAGCCAAAAGTCCTCTACGGGATTTCACCCTAAAAATCAGAGAACCTTTTGTCACAAAAAAAGCAGTGAGTGTTATCCCACCTTCGAGTTAATGAAGCCAGGAAACAACGAGGTATCAAGATAAATCGTACGCGTGCTGCCCACGCAAAAATTGAATGCATACATACTGACCAGTTTTATGCAAATAACCCGAAATAATAAGGACAGTATCAAAAAGGTCATGCGAAATATATAGTATGCGACCAAATAAGTCGTAATTTTGTCCATTTTTGGGACAGATTGACATTTGAGACTAATTGAACCCAGGGAATATATGTACGTAGTGTTGACTAAATCTGTTAAGAGTACGGGATTTGCAATGGGAAATCACCTCTAGCCAAAAAGTGCTACCATTTTAGATCGAAGAAGTTCTACACGTCTGTGCCGTGGATGATTTAAGAACCTGTGGGAAAGTTGAGACTGAGAGAAAAGTTAAAGTGACTCGCTAAAATTTTGACATTCCTGAAAGTGTGCTGACTTGAATTCTGGTATTTTCGAGTAATTCAAGCTACAAGGGACGGAGAGGAATCAAGGAAATTAAGATATTTCCATAATTAGTAAGTGCAAATCAATCTTAACCTTTTTCATACGAATAATTCCAGATATAAAGCCAAAGCATCTCTAAGAAAGCAAAGTCCGCAATTAGTTTGATAATTTCGGAATTTTGCACATGTTCAACCAGAGTTCATACTAACGTCACGCGACAATTATGTACTTCCTACCCAAATCTACATTGTCCTTTAACTTCTGACTGTTGACTAGACCCAAACAAACTCTGATTAACTCATGCCAAACATTTACATACATATCTTACTACACAGTCATACATACATAAATACCAACTTGAAATATGTAACTTGTCTTGTTATTATTTACATATTTGACACTTTGCATATTATCCACTACGTGTGCATATTAGTATTGTTGTCATAATTCGCGATCTATTTTTCAAAATGGATATGCAAATATCGATCCATTCTCCCCCTGATCCTTCACAACAAATGACACATGTAAAATATGTCTCTTGCAATTTAGTGCATTGCCATCAACTCGAAAGCGTCTCATCACATTAGTTTCTTTCTAACATCACATCACATCCCTCGATCTCGTCATGCTGAACTTATTGCGATAGTTAAACTCCAACTATTGAGTGCATCAGGACCAGTGGTTGGTGGTATGGACCAGAAGTAACATAATATATTGTGAAGGAGGCGTGTAAACTGGTGTTAGTTTTGATATGAGGCTTTACCTTGTATTACTCTTTCAAAGTGTGGCTTGAGTGAAAACAATAATAATCAATCATTGTGAGATTTTTGCATATTTTTTATTCAGACGCTGCTTGGTAGTTGCTCACTCACTTGCAGATTTATACTGCAGATAGGACACACACACACATTACAATGTGAATATGTATTTAAGTAGTTGCACCAACGAGCAAATCTCTCGAGTTGAGACTTTGCCTGAGATGAGACAAGTTTGAAAAAGAAGAGCAACTCCAAAAAATTTATTTGCAGAGATGATCTCATCTTCGTACATATGCTCTCTGCAGACAACTACCACCTCGTCTCTCTTTCCTCATTCAACCCATTTCCCATTGCATATTAATCTCCCTCCTATAACACGTCGTGTATGTATGTATCTAGTTGCGAATTATTCGCGAATATGCTTAAAATAAATGATGTATTTTTCAAGTTTTGACATTTTAATGAGTATAATAGAAACACGGGACAATTGTTTTAAAAGAGGTTTTTATAAGATTTACAAAAAAGAGGAACGCAACAAAACAACACATAAATCAATGGGAAATTGGTGCATGAATTATTGTAGTGACTTTGCTGTTTGAGTTATCAATTTGAGCAGGATGAAAGGCGAGGTTTGTACTCAATTTGAGAGAAAGCAACTCTTCTCTTTTTTGAAGGATGACGTAATTTTTCGTGATTATAGTTCATCCATCCGAACAACGTCCGAATTTAAAAAGATTGGATACGAATGGGGAAGTTCACTTGTTAAATATATAACAAATTCGTGTGCATGTGGACTATTTACAGAGATGCAATACATAAAGTGCTACATATGTAAAATGGCATATGTACTGTACCACTTATTTATGAGAATCTGCTACAAAAGGGCAATCTAACAGCTAGTCTCGTACCCTGTTGTTGCAATACTTTAATTTTAAAGCGGATCCAACTGCTTTAACGACGACGGAAATGTGGCTGCTATTTGGAATTAAATAACCACGAAACACCCCGTTCATTCATTTCCCAGCACTCATTCTCTGTGCTCAACAACTTTGATTAATTTTGAGATCATCCCCTTTCCTCTTTGTGAAGCTGAAAATTAATTGGTCGCGTTGCATGAACTGGTCAAATCAAAGGCGTTACAGGACAGCAGCATTATTTTCGCCAACAAAGTCTAATGTGCATCACATATTTATCAATTGTTTCAATAATCGATGGCTCAGCACAAAGCTGATCAGGTGGGTAATCCAAATTGGCAGTAATAATTTTTTGATACGGCGTCTTAAATCTTATTCCAAATAATAGCGTGCTTGCCCAAGGGGGGAATTATTGAGTTTTGTTCTGCTGGGAGCGAGATTATCGAATGGAGACGACACGCCACATGCATACTTTATGGATGGATTTCTACAAGTTGAGTCCAGTTCAGTCCATATTTTTCCAAATTATTAATATTGCCATCTATATTCAGTCTGATGCTGTATGCATGTATGTACCTCTACTCGTATGATGTAATAGGATGAGGTAGCATTAGCTGAAATATGGTGGTTTTGTGCGTAATGCGATTATCTTGGAGGCAATCGCCCTTTAATTAATGGAAATGAGACGGTTTAAATAATATTAGAGATCTATGGCCTAAAGAAACTTGAAACTGGCCAATTGTCTGGCATTCCGTAGGTTTCTTGGGCTTCTATTCAGTAGTAAAAGCATAGATAGTAGTGACGATTGTGCATAGATTTTCCTGTGCATTACGAATTACGATGATGCAAGATATTGATATGTATGAAAACACTTAACTTTGCTATTTATGGGTCAATGGGATGAAATAAATGAGTAATGATGTTATTAAGTGAAGAGACTGCCTCATACAAAAATATAACCAGTCAACCATTAAATATTTATATCAGTACCACTGACACAAGACCCGAATCAGAATCAATTGCATTTTGAGAGTCAAGTTTTACGATCAATTTCACAAAAATAAATATAATAAAGCTCCAATCTCATCCTCAATAATTTACGTAATATTCATCCCGGGGTTGTCGTATAGTCTTTTGTGGTTGTAAATATTTAGTGACGACGAGCCGAAGAGGCCCTCTGGTTCACTTTTTATCCTGGGGTCGACGTGTTATTTACTACTTATTGCTCTTGGCATATGCATGCACGTATTTTGTAGTAGTAAGTATACAGTCATTAAAATTACTTTACTAACTCTGCTTCTAAACTAACGCAGATTTTTAGACGGATTAGACTCGAGATGAGCTCATCACTAATTCCGAATATTTATAAGCAAGTAAATCGTCGACGTCTTCAGGAGCAGTAGCTCGAGCAGTATCTGATCGAGCTTATAATCCCAATCAGCTCGATTCAAAATTCATTTTTTAAAAACAAAATTACTTACACACAAACTAATAAAGGATAAAATAAAATAATCGTATTCATGAATTGCCACCAATGAAATGAAACGACTGACCGCAACCACTCACTCGGTGACCAACGAGCAAACCACCATCAATCAATTACTTGAAAATATGACATTAAAAAAGTAACAACCATACGTTCGCATATAATTTATGCGGATTGGATCATCATTTAATTGACTGGTTGGTTGACTCGCCTTATCACACGTAAGTATGTACGTATATAGATCATTTCTTCTTATTGGAAGATTTGGTAGGTGTGTCCATCATCCTTTTTTTTACCAAGTATAACCTGTCAATATTTCTGTATCGCGTAAATACACTCGACTCTTGATGATTTTCTCAAGTACTAACAATTCGGAAATGTCTGTCTGAGATTCTCATCCTATACATAAATGATCCTGATACGCTAATAATGTGCAGTTAAAGGATGTAACTAACTAACTAACCACCATTCTACATATTATCCTTTTCCAAGTCTGCATTTTCTGGTGCAGTCACGAAGAAGACGGGGAGATAATAAAAAAGAGAGAATAAAAAATGACGACTTTTTGGCCACAGAGAGCAGAGTGACACACAATGGAGGGCAACAATGTCACCCCTAACTTACCGAGACTCTAACTAACTCAACCCCTATTCAATTTGTGAGGACGCACTCTATTTGTGCCATTAGGAGTCGAGTCATTTCATTTCATTCCTCCTGGTCTGGAGAAAAGAGGATGAATCCAATCTAATGCAATCAGACCACAATTCATCCCAGAGATTCCTTGCATTCCACCCTTTGTGTTATTCTGGTCGTCGTGTCAGCAATCTTAATCTTCTTCCCCGTGTCCGATCTGATGCCATGTTTAGTTTAGGCCCCTCTCCGACCTAAACTGAAACCTGAACTTGAAAAGTTTTAATAATCAGAATAATGCATCGGAAAGTCAAGTATGCAATTTAGTTTTTCATTCATGCAAATGAAAACATTTCGAAGGGAATCTTTGACAAGATAATTTTTTGATTTTCAAATCTCCATAATTAATTCCATTTTCAATTTTGATTCATGAAAAACGAGCAAATGTAACTGTTTGTAATCTGCATCAAGTGAAGATTGAGACATGCAATAATGATTGACTTAAATGCAGCTAGTAGATAATTATTATGCAACTTATGCCTATTTCTATTCAGTTTCCTTCAAAAACAAGGCATCACACTTAATCTGCCTACCTCACCCCAAACTTTGTTACCTCATTGCCATCATAATAATGAGTGAATAAATGCACGTAGAAATTCACCCTCATTCTCTTTCATTCATTAGAAGAATTGCTATCGAGAAGAGATTCATTCATAATTTATTTCGCTTTTACACACACAAAGCCTTCTTTTCATTCATGAGAATTTGATATTTTTCACACCAGCGAGATACATAATTAACTCGTCGTTCGTTGGTCGTGAGTAGGCCAATAAATTCACCAAACCCACCAAAGTGTTTGAAAGCATGGAGGAAAACAACAGGCTAATTTCTATCTGTTACATATGTATGCAAAGAAATAAGTAAACGAATGAATGAACTCCGCCCAAGTCTCAGTCAATTTTTTAACCCTTATTTACTGATTTTGTGGCCCACTGACTCATTATTGTAGGTGATCACAGAGAGAGAGAGCGACTGCACCCATTAAGAGAGCAATAATGGCAAAAATAAAGGGATAACTAATGGAAAAATGTATACCTAAACTATATTTTATGTATGTACATATGCGCCATTCATCAAGTTTCTATCTTGATTGCTTATTAGATAATAATAATATGTGAGTGAGTGAGGAGTGTGGATATTAAGAAATTGGAAGAAGATCCATCAGGAGAATCAGTTTTAGCTTGTAAATTAGTACCTTTGATTTCACCAACCACGTGTGATAAATTTGATAAAATTGTACCTGGTTGTTCAAACTACTTAAGTATCTCCAAAACTAACATTGTTGGCTAAGTAGTTAAAACTGTCACTTATCCAAATTGAGAGTAAATTGGTCATGAAAATATGTTGCATGGAAATGTGACGCCTCCACGCTCTGTGAAATGAATCTCTTGTATTGAACCCAATTAGCAGGTTTTGAATTCCAGCCAATGTAAACCACCACTCCACCCACACTACCATCCATTAAACCAGAAAGCCCTTGCCATAATTAAGCGCTAAATTCTTCTGGAGGTGTTCTCTCTCCCTCCAACCGCTATTTAGGGAAGATGGGAATCAATAAAATTAAACCTGCCCTAGATCAACACCTGGCTAAACGGCAGATCTGGTTTCGACTGGAGTTTGAACACTGTCTTGCCGCATGTCAAATTAGAATAAAACCCTGACCCTAAACTTTTGATAACAATGGAGGTCTCCAAAAGTATGCTCACAGATTTTGGCGAAACTAGTGTTAATCGATCACGGATTTAATTAGCATGCAATTTGTGAAAGACGCGATCTCCCAATGCGCAGATTTGGAGGAGATATTTGGATCCGAAGAGCCGAACACGCGCCGTAAAGTTGACAATTTCCAAGTTTACTGCGTTTTCTCCTCCTCGGATGCAAATATTTCCGTCAAAAATGTGCATAACCAGATCGTATCTTTTGCAAATTTCGTATGTATTAAATTTACGATCGATTGACACTAATTTAGCCAAAATCTGTGAGCACACGTTGTACGACCTCCATTGTAAGTACTTGCAGTAAATCGATTCCAGTTTTATTCCGCTCTTCGCACACAGTTTAATTGCTAAATATTTTCCATACAAAAATTCAAATCGTTACTCTACAGACTTTCCGAATCAAATTTCATTATCAAGTAAAACTTGCATATTTTGCACACTTTCCTGCATCAGTAACGACGCAGTATCCAATGGACGCTGTCCATTCATAAATTAATTTCTTTATCCTCCTCAACCATTAGTTCCACCAAAAAAGTACCCCTTACATAAATGCTGGCACAATTTACTAAATAATTTAAGCATGAGAGACACAACGTCTCCATATTTTTTTTCCTCAGACGACTCGCAATTTTTTCCTCCCGAACGAATATCTAATATTTCATTTACAAGGGTGCAGAAAACAATAATTGTTTTCCGACGACAGATAAAGGGACACTTGCTGTTGGTTCGTATTAAATTTCACACAATGACAAATTCCCAACGTTGCATGTACAAATCTCATTATCGTTATTGTGGGACAAATATGTGCATTCATAGCAATATTACAAGTTGATGCCATGTATACGGCTTATTAAGGAGTAGAAGAGTGGGGTGGACCCCACCCAGAAATCCATAAGCAAACAGCCAAACTTATTAAGGTAGGTCTTTTCCCTCTACATACGTAGATATCTCATGACAATGTTGTTCTTTTTGGTACGTGAGACGATATTTTACGTTGAAGATGATTTTAATCCATTCCCTCGGGCAGAGTGACACTCCTAAATAAAATCTTCTTCGTAGGCCAATCCATAACCTCTCATTCTCGAATGTGCTATATGTTCTTGCTTTGCCATTTTCTTTGCTGTTTAATTTCTACGAGGATGGAAATTTGTACCGAGGAACCTGCCCTACCTTCGTCCTCCTCCTCTCCTTCTCAGATGCGTTTCATTCATCTTCTCGACCATGTTACAAAACCTAATTATTATGCTGTGGCGTGGCATAAAGCACAAAAAATGAGGAGGACGACGTGTAATAAGGTGCATAATCATAGCATTCGGACGAAAATGGAAGACAGAAAAAGAGACTTTATGAATGAACAAAGTTGTGAATGAAACGAAGATGGTTAACTTTTTTAACTGATCATAATATCTGTAATAACGAGCCTTTTTCTTTCTACTGATCAATGGTTTTGCGATTCTATGTACATATAATTTGGAAATGTGCAAAATTAACAAGAATGGCTCCGTGTTTTGGCTTGGTTGTCAAACCACAAACGGCACACAAGTTTAAAGGTTGGTGATAAATGAGTAAGCTCAAACTGTTGGATGTTTTAAAACATGTCCTTCTTGTGTGGCTTGAGGATCACATCACAGAAGACACAAAATAATAATATGATCCTGGACTTGACAACTAACAATGGAGGTCTCCCAACGTATGCTCACAGATTTGGATGAAACTAGCGTCAATCGATCACAAATATAATTAGTATGAAATTTGCAAATGGCACTATCTGCCAATGCGCAGGTTTGGCGGAAATATTTGCATAAAAAGAGGAGAAAACGCACCCCCAAGGCTGGCAATTTGTTCATTTTCCAAATTTGCTGCGTATTTTTCTCGCTTTGGATACAAATATCTCCGCCAGACCTGCGCATTGGCAGATAGTGCCATTTGCAAATTTCATACTAATTATATTTGTGATCGATTGACGCTAGTTTGGTCCAAATCTGTGAGCATACGTTGGGAGACCTCCATTGTAAGTGAACGTGAGGTTGCATTTTTCCTTGGTAAATTTGAAGTTGCACCATTTTTTGCAAGCAATCCGTGTTTTATTTTATCGTGTCGTAAAAAGTAAGAGAGGAGAGGAGAGAGATGATATATTATTGTCGTGATTGGAATTCGACATGGGACATGGGAAGAAATGTGACATTTGCTCACAGACAAAATCGCGATATACTCACTCACCTCTGCAATTCATTAAAGTTAGTGTGGCATCACTGCGTGGGTGGGTGCGGACAAATGGTAAAGTGACCACATTAAAATTATGTATAATTGCAATATACAAATCCATCCAATCCACCGAGGACGAGACGACACACACACAACAATACAACCCAACCCTTGCTGCATACTTCACATAATGCTTCGAATATGCTGTCGAGTTGAATAATATTTTTCGTTTTACGTGACCCTTCTCCTCTAAATGAGACCTATTGTTAATTATTTATACATATCTAGTTGCTGAATGAATTAGAAAATTCGAGTCATTTCGACCTGAGAGGATACACATTTGAGCGAAAGGGATGGAAAATATGTATTCAAGTACTTACGACGAAATTTGATACTCTGAAAACTTGCGTCAACTTAAATAGTTAGTACATAAATATAATAAGTCAGACTTGTTGATTGAATTATAAATTAGAGAACCAAAAAACCCAACCAGCGAATAATAATATGATAATGTAATGACACTCCCAGTTCGTATTCAGTTTGCCATGAAAAAGTTGTGAGAAAAGTGCACAATATTTATTGTATAGTTGCCTGCCTGCCACCAACCAATTGGCATTTTTGGTATCTATCTTGATGTTGCGTTGTACACAGTGCAAATATGTAAGCCCCTGCATTTTAGTTGACATTAATTACAAATGGATGAGTCATTATGTTAAAAATTCAACTAACTTTCTCCACTTTATGGCATCATCGCGAATAAAGTGATTATTATGATATAAATCTGGTGACTAGTTGTTGATTAGTATAAATGATGAAAGAAATGCGAAAAACGTGGCATGAAATTAGCAAGTCGTGATCAATTAATAAAGTGGTGTAAAAAATGTAGCGTGCGTTAAAGCGTGATAAATAGGCGCAAAAAATGTGTATGTATGTACATACTTGTCCAATAATGCAGTATGACTGGAATTTTCACTTGAGACTCAATCTTTACAGAGAAAAATGTAACAAAATCTCAAAATTACTTAATATTTGCAGGTTATTAACAAGAAAGATCAGCAAATCGGCAGAGAAAATGAAGTTGGTCTTCGTAACGGGCGTGGTGGTGCAGTTTCTCACATTTCTTTTATTCGAAGTGGACACAAATCAGCATCACGTAAAATCTGGGGGAGGAGATCAGTATCTTATGCGACCCAGACCTGCGAAAGGTTTTCTAGCCGTTACAAAATTGCAGGTAATTACTTTCTCTGTCTGCATTTTTCTTCAATATCAATTGCAAGTGAATAATATGACATAATATTGACTATAAATTGTTTGTAGGAAGTCCCCGGCAGTAAGTATGATCCGAAGCCAGAAGATCTGGACGTGAGGCAACTAAGGATTAAAATGGGCAAAAATTTCGACCCTGAAGTAATGAGCATACGAAAACCGCACGATCTTGCGTCTCATCCAAACGGCACGGTCAAATTCCCATTCAAGCGAAATAAGAAGGGTCGATTAGTTCCGACGGGCGAGGTATTTAATAAAAATTTAATTTTTCACCCATATTTTTTAAATAAAAACATAAGAATGAAATAGTCTGCCCAGATTCCAAAGGCAATTAAGAAATTGCAATATGGAGCTCTCTCACTTCCGGACGGGACAAAGCTGAGGACAAGATTAAATCCTAAACTGAGAAGAAAACTGGTCCAGTTTTTGTGGGCTTATACATCTTGTCCAGTGTAATGAACACAAATTATTTATCATGCCATCCAACATGATTCTTGAGGTTTTATAATCTTATATTTTTATAATTACGTAATTGCAGGTATGAGAAATGGAGAGATCTTGGTAAGAAAAGACAAAAATTTTCAAAATTAAGTACATAGCAAATAATTTAGTTTAATTAATATCATAGGTTCTAGATTTTGGCCAAGATGGCTCAAAGAAGGTCACTGTTACACCGAACGCTCATGTTCTATTCCACCAGGGATGAGTTGTAAACCTTCGGCAGCAGAATATAAGGTAATTCAAGTTTAAATTTCTTGACTAATGATAAGGTATGCAGTTTAATATACATTTTGAAACGTTTGACCAGATCCTGTTAAGATGGCATTGTCAAGATTACGACAAGGCGAAAAAATGCAGATGGGTAAGAATCATAATTTCAATATTGTCATTTTCTTTCAGATAACATGGAAAATTTGTGTCAGAGCTTTCGATTACAAACAATATTCTCCATCAGAGATTTACATTAAGAAAAATTAAAATTGCACAAAATTTTTCATCATAATTTATTCATGTATTTATTTCCGAAGTACACTATATACGTACCTATATGCAATTTATATTGATTTTTTAGGCAGTCATTCGTCACCCGATTGTGACGGCATGTTCTTGCGAATGCTCCAACAAAGTATCTAACGACGACTATGACGAAGACGACTTTTAGCAATCTAAATTAGGTATTATTATTATTAAGAAATTTTGTATCTTCGTCATCCATGTTTGAATATTTCTGTATATATTCGGATATATCTTGTACTCGCTATTACTTGGCCTAGATGTGTATAAATAATGTGTATCATTATCATGCCGTAATTAATTAAGTTGCGATCGATATAAGACAAATGCCTGGACAGAAGCTATTTATGAAACTCTGTGATTCACAAAGTTTCAGTATTTAATTTAATTTGATAAATAGTTACAATTTTTTTTATTCCCCACCCTCTTTGACGAGGCAGCTCTCTGACTACTCTCCATTTTAATGATAAATACATATCCAGCTGTACATAAATATTCATGACAAAATTGTGATTCAAACGATATGTACATAACAGGAAAGGAAATAGTATTGCAACTTTTTAAATGTAGGACATGTTGTTGCAAGTTCCGAAATAGAATAAAAATGACGAGCAGAAGAGGCTATTAATTTAATTTGCACATGAATACTCATTAATAATTTTAAGAAATATAAATACTTAGAAGAGTTGTAGATATTTTGCCAATGATTATTTTTTAAACTGCTTTAAATAACTGTATTTTTTCAATCTCCAATTCTAAAAAATGTATTCACTGCAAAGAACAAAGACTGTTTAGTGATAAGAATAAAACGGAAGTGTGAGTGTAATTGAAGGAATCTGTGGTATTGTCACTTGGATGGCTTTAAAATTTATAAAATATTGTCGATTCTATTAATAATTAATAATTTTTGTAGTAGTAAAATCTGAATAATTTAGCAACCCTGCGAGTACCGTATGTGAATGGAAATGGACAACTTTTTATGACAAAGATCTCTGATTGAATTGAAATCAATTTGTTACTGTTATTATTATTTTTCAAATGTATGTATATAAATTACGAATTTGGTTTTTAGTTTTTTTTGTGTATATTTTATTTCCGGTTCATTACACATGAGGACTTTTTTTTGCTACGGACCCCCTTAAACATTTTTATTAAAATTTTGATAAATTGCAATATTTGCTACTGAGGTACGTCCAAACAATGAAAAAAATGCGTTTTAAAAAAATCTACATGTCAAGGGTACCTCTGAGGGACTCATTACATCTTTTACGCATATCCCTTCATTGTGGGCCAACCAGAAGTCGTAAAAATATGGGGTTTGGATATTTTTTATCTAAATACGATTGTCTAAAACGAACTTCAGTAAGGAGCTGCTACGTGACCTTTTTGACCTAAAGTTTGACCTCTACAAAAATTAAGTTTTACAGATTATTTGCATGCCAATTTTATCGCAATACATGTAAATTTAAAAGGTCAAACTTTAGGTAAAAAGGTCACGTAGCAGCTCCTTACTGAAGTTCGTTTTAGACAATCGTATTTAGATAAAAAATATCCAAACCCCATATTTTTACGACTTCTGGTTGGCCCACAATGAAGGGATATGTGTAAAAGATGTAATGAGTCCCTCAGAGGTACCCTTGACATGTAGATTTTTTTAAAACGCATTTTTTTCATTGTTTGGACGTACCTCACTAGCAACTATTGCAATTTATCAAAATTTTAATAAAAATGTTTAAGGGGGTCCGTAGCAAAAAAAAGTCCTCACATAACATAATGTGTTACTGAATACATATACGCATTTTGGCAAAACAAATGGTATGCGTATGTACTAATAAGCAAGAAGAGTATCAAATACACAGGCGGATCAATATAGGCATAATATCAGTTCAGAAATATATAGACCCACACTTATCACACAATATAATATCATTCAATTGGTAAGATAAGCTTCAGAATTTTACAAGTTTTGCAATTTTTCAGACAAAAAAAACATGCTGCTTCCTTACACAAAATTCAGTTGAGTAGCATGGCGTTAAGTTTGAGATAAATGTTTCTAGTTGCTGAAAGTATGATCATCACAATTTAATGAGAACATTCATTAGGAAGTGAGTCATTTCAAATGTCTCCTTAATTACTTCAGCCATAACAAGCTCAATTACAAATAAGGCAGTATTTTAAACAACTTGGCTTTAAAGTTGTACTTCGGCTTATTTTTTTAATGAGTAAGTTAAAGTTGGTACAGAAATTAAAAAAATATTCTGCTCTACAGCTCCGTTTCATTATTCTCATAATCTCTGGCTCGGTTTGATTGCTCATTGTTTCTGAAAAAAGCATGTATTAATCTAATCATTACAATTTGATCTACTTCCTGTTAAATTGTGGGAGTACGTACCTGAAGCAAATGAAGACAAGAATTTGTGTCCAAATAAAAATGCTCAACGCTAGGCACAAAGATATAATTAACTCCGTCAAGGTCAAGGGATGAATATTAAATAATAAACCTCCACACTGGGTTATAATCAACTATAAAATTACAAGAATAATATTATAGTATTAGAAAACATATTTAAGAATTACATTTTTTCTCTCTTATTATATCCAAACCTGCAGAATGGCAGCAAGAATCCACACGACACAGAAAATTCGATGCTTTAAAATACCAGCAAAACAATTTTTTTCAACTTTTCCAACTCGGACACAGAATAAATTGAATAGCGTCATGAAGGCAAGAGTATTAAAAATCATAGTATTGTACGCGGTAGGTCCCGTATCCGGATTGGTATTAAGGTCCAGCCATGGCCCCCCTGAAGAAAATGCAATTTGTTTTCATTTTAAAATACTCAAAATAATAATTAGCATCTCAAAGAAAGTACCAAGTAAAATGAGCCCGAGTAGAATGCCAAGCTGCCAAAATACTTGGCCAGCAATATTTCTTAATGTTTCACGGGCCATCGTCAGAATTTCATCGGCACCCTTCAATGGTCGATTTGCATCATCAGTCGGATACAACAATAGGGCCAGAAGCGTTGCAAATGTATTCATCCAAATTTTCTGCAGCCCCTGCTCACAAACCCGTAAAAGTGACATCGTTAAATCAAATAAACACAAAATCTAAATGTGTTAATTTAACGTAATTAATTAGCATTACACTAATAAACAGGACAGGTATTAGTGCGTAATGGATGAACATTACGGAAACGATGAGAATGTTGTAAATCACTTTCAATTGGACGATTTTAAATATTCCATGAAACGCCTTGGAGCTATCTTTCGAACGATGAAGTATCCAGACAATGATCAAAGGGAGGGAAAAGGGGATCATGAGGAGAAAACAGTTGACACTGTAGCCAAAGAAGGTCATAATTTGTTGGAGGTGTCGAACTTCCCCAGGCATTTGTTCAATGATGTAGGTATTGAATAAAAACATTGTCGTCATTGTGAAAAAAAATGATAATCCCATGACGGTAGCTGCATAATAGTTACATACGGAAAAAAATAAAATAAATTAGTGTTCGTTCGCATAATAACGTCATCATTGACGATAAGTATCATAATTGATTACCAATGACAAGTATGTAGGTTACTGGAAATAGTTCCTTATTCTGTGGAGGTTCTGCAGGTCATACATATATCCAAACATAACTAGATAAATCGTGTTGGCATTAAAGAAGCGCTTATCTTTATTATTTTTACCACTTATAATCTGCCCTAGCCGAGTGTTACTTCCAACGGCAACAATAACTATCTGTCCCTTCCCTTTCGATACGGCTGAGCCTGTTAAAAAACGTAAAAATCAATGTGCTTATTTTCAGTGCGTATCTGTAAAAGTAGAAGATTACCGACCTGCACAAACTCCGAAACCCGGGTATGAGTAAGCCCCATCAGATCCGGTGGTGCCAAACACAAGTCCATTATCTTGACCCAATAATAACCCATCTCCTGGGACCACATCACCCGGACTTAACTGATGCAGAAAATTAAACAGGGTGCAAAATTTTTCGTAAAGTGTTCCAATTCAAAGTAAGTACATACAAACCTGGACAATATCTCCAACAACAATATCCTCAAACTTTACTTTCGCCGTTAGCTCTCCACCTCGCATAACCGTTGCAGTTTGACCTGTGTTCCCAACCCGTTGAAGTGCAATATTCAGCATGACTTGTTTCCGATAGGTCCATCTTGCCTCCATGAAAATTGGGACACAGAGGAATGCCAGCGGTTCGATAATGTATGCGAGAATAATTAGAAGATACGTGGATAACTCAGCGCCAGGGTCCACAATAATGACGATGAAAACCACATAAAAAATCATCGCGCACACAAGAATATTGCGAATAAATCTGGGTTGGAGTTCGCTATAAGATTTTGCAAGTAGGGAGAAAAAAGTTTGTGAATAATGAGGTGGTGGTTGTGCTGAGTATTCATTTTTCCCAAAGGCTGATTCACGCAGGGATAAGTGAGCTGGGAATGAAGATAACCCTTCCTGCACGGAAGTATGGAGAAGGGTGCAAATCTCTTGGACTTTTTCCAATGAATCCACTCCCTCTTTCATGCGGGCATCGATACCCGAAGGGTCCAATCCGAAGCGCTTGTTATCCGTCATGGTGTAATCCCAATTTGTGTGTGGCAATCCTCAAATTATTGTATTCATGTCACAGTTTTTAATTAAGAGACACCACGCAAATACAGACCCCTCCCAGATCTAGATAGACACGAGAAGGACACTTAATAGCAGCAGTAAATACGAATTTTACTACCGTGCTACTTCTACTGCTCGAAGTTAGCAACTGGTTTTTTGTGTACCAAATACCCCGTTGAACTTCCGGTAAAAGTAGTAGCGAGTATATGCAAACATAGCAAACCGTTCTGTACATGCCCACTATATGCAGTCGTTGCTCCCACAACCCTCTTCGTCCTTGAAGTGTGGCTTTATTACGCTTTTTAGTATGCTATGATCAATTTTTTGGAATATTTAGTTCTAAAAATTAAACAAAAAAAGCAGTCTTTGCACATATCTCTGATTGTACTGGTTTTCTATTCTAATCTACAGCAAAATCATATCGAGAATGTATGTATCTTTTTTTTTTTTTTTTTTTTATGAAATGAAAGCACTTAACACTTTATTGCATTTTTGCACATATCCATGAAATCATTTTACATATATGTAAATATATGTATATATATATATGTATATATATATTTTACATATATGTATCTAGTATGTACATATGTACGTATATATATTGCTTTCACTAACTAATCATGGCACTAACGAAACCAGCTCAATATCTTAACTAAATTCTTTATAATTATGAATTTTATGTACTCTATGGGCAGATTTTGCCCGAAAGGGTTTTATTAAATTAATAAATCAAAAATCAAATTAATAAATCATGTACGTATATATGTATGTATATCAGACAGGTTGTTAAAAATTCAGCCAAGGGTGACCAAATAAAATGAACTAGTAGTCCCTGGATGATGCACACCTGGCACCTGGCCTCTTAATGTTACCACTTTAACGGCTGCTGATTTCCTACTTGACTATTGTTAACAAAGGCTGGTTTCGCAAAGTTAGTATTGCAATTGCAATCCATGCATACATTGGTTTGGACTTGGTTGGGTTAATTTTGTGCTGTGTTTTCAGTTCCATGAATTTCAACAACAAACAAAAGCCACATCATAGTTATTCTTAATCTGTGTCATAGCCACATTCATTCTCATTCACACGCGTATGCAAAATAGATGTTTAACACGGATGACGAATCTTGGTGAGAACTCTAAAATCATTTGTTAGTTTTTGCATGCACGTGCTACAGATAAATTTATTTGAGTTGAATGAAAGTTAATTTTCATAATATTGATTACTAGTAAATTAATTGGATAGTGCAACTACTCTACATACGAAGCATGGGGAATAATTGAAACTCTAAGTACTCTTTCATCTAGCCCGAGTCAAGAACAGAGTCTGCTTCTAAATTTTTGCCCAATTTGACCAGAGTTCAGCTCGATGGGATGATTTCTAAAAATTGGTGTGAGGGTCCCTTCAGATGTACTTTTTCCATTTCAATTAATGTTCTTCTAGTCACCTTGCGAGTACCGTTTATGAATGGAAATGGACAACTTTGATAAAGATCTCTATTACTTTATGATTTTAAGAATGTATATAAATTACGAATTTATTTTCTTGTGTATATTTTATTTCCGGTTCATTACTACACAGGAATACACATGTGTTACTAAATACATATGCATTTTGGTAATACAAATGGTATTAATATATAAGCAAAAAGAGTACCAAACACGACAACACAGACGGATCAATATAGGCATAATATCAGTTCACAAATATATAGACCCACACCTATCACACAATATAATATCGTCGACTAATTGACAAGATAAGGTTCAGAATTTTGTAAGTCTTGCATTTATTCTGCTGCCGGGAAAAAGGATGGGCTACGCCTGAACTGAAACAGCCTGAAAAAGCATTTGCAAATTATAAAATTTATAAAATTTCTTTACAAAATTAAATTAGACCAGAGACAGACTATAACAAGAAGGCAAACAACTCTAGCTGCAAAAAACGTAACAAATTATATCGCAGATACAATACCTAATTAGTATTATTTTAACGAAACACATTGGTTAAGCCACAAAGCACTCGCTGTGTGTAGTACACAGTTGACAACAATTCAGCAGGTCATGATATGATAAATACTTAGCTGCATAATGTAACTTTGTAATACGGTAACTGGGACTAAAGTCCATCGCTTGTACTGCATACCGTTCAAAAACAATGTACAAGGTAAAAGAGGAACGTTCTGATATAACGGAATCATAATTAGATTTTCAAACAAAAAAAGGCATGCTGCTTCCTTAATTGGAAATTAATATGTGAAGACAAAATATTCAGTTGAGTAGTTGTAGCATGATGTTAAGTTCGTAATATCGAGAACGTTTTTTGATTTGGTGATGATTGTAGACTATTCACCGTATTTACCTCACCACCGTCAAGACTGTCCGTGAGGTAGCCGAGCTGAACATTTTGGACAAAGTGAAGTTTTTCCAGTGGCGAATTAACTGTCCATGCATAAATCCGTACGTCCCTCTTCATCCACCGATACGTTTCCTCTCTGCGTACAAAAATATAGTACAACAGATTAACACGTGAAAATGATTAAAAAAATAAATTATCAACCTTGTTATCGAGTCTTTCTGAAACAAAATCGCGGACAGTCCAACAAACCACCAGTATAAGCAATTAATTCCCCAATCGTTGACCGCGTCCATGATTATTGCAGCCCAATCCATATACAAGGATTTCTGTCGAGGTTCCAAGTTCTCCCAATTTGAGCTCCACGTGGTGTATCGGTAGTATCCCGGTCGCCACGCCATGCAACCTATGATTTTTGGGTCTCGTCGTCGGACCTGGATTCACAGATAATAATGCACATACATATGCATTCACAATGTAACAACTGCAATATTTGTTTTATGGGACAATCTAAAATGCATTAATTACTTACATCGTAAACAGCTTTCACGTAAAAGGAGGAAACAATGCCCATCGAGTAACATTGATGCTTTTGAAATAAAGATACCACAGCGGCGATAACCTGTTACGAGAAAAGCATTGTTATAGATTGGACTTAAACATGACTAATGTCATTCATTATTATGTCATACCGTCTCATCATCGTCTTTTAAATCAATGATGAATTTCATCCCAATTGACAAACACAAATTAACGGCCTCTTCGAACGTGGGTACTGAAACATGAGTTATTACATGAGTTATCACAAAATGAGTAACGATGAATATGCAAGAGGAATGGTTAATTTTGAACAATTACCTCTTTCCTTCCTAAACCTGTCTCCCAGCGGATGCATTATTGAAATGTCCACCTTTTTCAACTCATCCAAAGTCATGTCCTTAATATTCCTATCAATGCCGGCAATGCGAATCAGGTTGTCATCATGAAATAGTACGGGAATGTTATCCTTTGTCAGGTTAACATCAAATTCCACCGCTTCGCAGCCTCTGTTCTTACACTCTCGGATGGCAGATAGGGAATTTTCTGGCGCATCCAGGCCAGCACCTAAAATAGAAATAAACAATTGAAATGTTATTGAAATTGTCCCTTTATTCAGAAATTTAATTACATTGTTATTCATTTGTTTATCTTTTTGCACCTCGATGGCCGACGACGATGAGAGGAGCTTCAGAGACAATTCGACCACCGTTTTTCTGTCCATTCTTCTGACCATTGCTTGAAGACGTGGAAAGTTGTGATGGTGGAGACCTCATCAAAAGAAGTCGAGATTTCACCGTAAGCCCTGGTTGATCTTGGATTGGGGTATTAGATGTTGGGTCCAAGTTATCATCAAGCTGAAGCGATGGTCGAAACGAAACGCCGAAAAATCCTTCAACATCGTCTTTCGAGGCGAGGGGGAGTCGGAACTTCCAAAGGACCCCAGTAAGTAATATGGTACCCAAAACAGTGGTAGGAAAGTATGTACAGAAAACAGTGTCGATAAAGATGAGCAATCCGCCGTACAAGATTAGCCAAATTCTGAAGGACGTGATGCCGGTCAGTAACCCATCCTCGATTAAGCTGCGGCTCGTCATAGTTGCTCTTTGTTTAGCTTCCAGATAATTTTAAACAATAACTGGAAGACTGGAAGAATAGAAATTACTATTTTATTTAAAAATGATGGAATAGTAGTTGACTTATTGGTTACCTGTTTTTAATCAATCCGACGGATTGACTGATTTAGTTACGGAGCTAGTCAGTTAAACCAATTTTTAGCCATGTAGGCCCATGCTTGTTCTACTTGTACTACTATAAGTTAACTTTACTTTATAAACTAAATCTAGATAAGGCAAAATGCCGAATAAACAAAAACGAGTAAGTTGGCTTCACTCCGTAAGTTAATCTTATAAAACCCGCAGCACTCCAGCAAAACACACTTGGCCCCAGAACGGTTTCAATTCAACCAAGTTTCATAAATTTCATGCACTCATTCGTCAAGTCAAGAACATCAAGATCACCGAAATTATATTTTGTCCGTTTATTATTTCAGGGTTAAAAAACTTTATAAAAAGATTCAACAAATTATTGGTAAGGTTTGAAAAAGTATAACAGAGCAACTCTTCAGTCATATTATAATTTGAGCAATTCGATTCGAAAAACATGGAAGACTTTCGTTCTAAAAAAACGACGTGCGATAACGTTTTGCATGTTACAATGTATACCAATATTACATTTAATTCATTAATTGTTATGGTCAGGTCAACAAGAAAAATTATCGCGTATCCGGAATCCCCATTCAGTTCTTCGCCATAAAGGTAACTCGGTACTTCCCTCGTCTGGATCCTCTTCAATGCAAAGATATTGGGCCACACCCATTTTCCTGGCGTCTTTCGGGTGTAAAAATCCCTTTGACCCCTTCTGCCTCTTTCTTGACCTTTCCTCTAATTCTAACAAGTGATTCACTGCGGCATCTAAATCGGCGACAAATACACGTGGCCATGGAATAAGCAATGATTGAAGAGTAGACATCCTGTTGGTTAATGCACACGGATAAATATCAATTTGTCGTTCAAAAATTGTTTTTTTTTGTGATTTCACTTACGCCAAGACACTCTTAACTCCTTCTTGCGTCAAGTTTTCTTCACCAAGTCCGCAACGCCACCGGTAAATTCCGAGATGTTTAAGTTTCCTGAGTCGAAACAGGGATTTAAAATCTCCTCCCTTCAGTCCTATGTTCTGCAGTATGAGTGTTTCCAACATGTCCACCATTGACATGGTCACAGAAAAATGCTCAATTACTGGTGATAGGCTGGCATGCCGGTACCGCTGTTTGTTATTGATCATGATCACTTTGAGAGATTCGCAGTGGGACAATACTCCAAAGTTTATGGGTCCTTGTAATTTTCCCACAATTTCAAAATGTACAAGGGACTCGGAATTGGAGGAAATAATTTGTTCAAAGTGGGTCCAAGAAATTGGGCGACCTTTTGTTGCACTGAACTTTATCTGAGTTAACCCTCTCAGTGATTTGAGCAGGTTGAGAACGTGATTTTCGAAACTCGACGCTGGATTTGACTCGTCTTCAAAATGAGTCGGTAGTCTGGAACAATATTCAAATTGCTTGATCGAAGCGAAACATTGAGCAATATTTCCGGAAGAGAGATCATTTGGATGAATAGCGGTGTCTGGACGTGTCAATTGTGGACTATTTCGCCGGTAACTCTTGTTGAAGATGCTGAGTGGGGTGTGGTACTCGAAAAGTCGGGATTCAATCAGTCTTTCACCATGGTATAATTTTATACTTTTCAGCCCTCTATGTCTTCCCATGAATGCAAGAACTTCCGCCATCAACTCCGTTTCAGAGGTTTGTTCCCACATAACGTTGGCGAGTGTGTGCAAAAAGAGCGTGGCTTCCTCCAATTTGGGAGCTTGCACCATCCGTAAAATTGCGATTTGATTGTGCCAAAATGCCATGACCATGTCGTGGTCGAATCCTCGTCCATTCAATACATTTACAAAAGCATTGATATGCGTTTCCCACAAGAAGGTGATGTGCAGATGAAAATTGTTTGAGTTCAACGTGAACGACTTCAATTTGGGTAAGTGTATGGGATTAATTGGGGTGATGAGTCCTTTTAGCTTCCCACTAATATTCAGGTTGGTCAAACTCGAACCATTCTTCATGGTGTTGTAGACAAATTCTGTGCTTGCAATCCCTTTCGGTGCAACGGTAAAAGATTTCAGACGCGCCGGGTTCATCACAACTGATGTCAAGGTTAACGACGTGGATAAACCAGCAATGGTAATGCAAGGAATATAACATTTTGAGAAGAAGGTGAGGTATTTTTTGGCATGACCGTCACTCACATTTATGCAATTCACAGGTCCAATGAATTGGTCAATTTCATTACTTAATTGCCGACATACTAGTCTCAGCATTTGTCTGTCTCTTGGACGAAGCTGAGTCAAAATTGTCTCACGTATCTGTAAATAATAATTATCACCGAGCCATGTTAAATCCATCTTTTACATGTAAACGAATATTTTTACTCGTACCTCTACTGGAATATTGAGAAAATGCGAGTCTTCCGAGCATCCTTGACATGCAGATTGAGTTTGACTCCCTGCCCCCAAGAAGCATAATACCCTCCGTAATTTTGAAATTGCTGACCCCATCTTTCACACCCACTTATTTTTTTTTCTTAATTCACCAAATTACTAATCCCAAACAAAGAGTGAAATAACACTAAAAAGATTTTCTATTGTTTTAAGTACTTTCATCACAAGAATGCATTTTAAAATTAAACCACTTTATTCATAGGCACGGGCAGACTGAGCAACTGACTGGTGATATGATTAATGGTTATCTTTATGCCTCCAGTATTTATATTTATTGTTTTTGATTCCTGCCAGCTTTACGTTAAATATGTAAGAATAAGCGTCCTCAAGTTTCACCTTTAGTTTTAACAAGAACTTATTGGGTCTTTTTCTCTGCTTCTTCTTCTTCTTCTGTGAATGTACATACATCCGTCACACAAAAAGGTTCATTCTCCTTTATCCAGCAAAGCACAACTCTCAAATATCACCAATGAAAAAGTCCACCAGTTTTACAAGGACTGCATTTATAACATAACTACATTTTCCAAATATGATGGTGTGATTCTTCTTCTTCACTTCTAAAGAGTTTTAACCTTAAAATTTTCCCATCATCATCCCATCCAACCGATTTCCAACCTGTTGTGATGGGTTTGTATTGAGCATGGCGTTAGTTAAAACCACGGAATGAATAAAATACACAGTCAAATATATCGATATTATTGACACGAATAAGTAATCAGACGGCATACATCCGTTGACAGAAAGTGATAATTAATATGATTCAAATTAATGAGAAAGCACAACACAACTTAATAATTTACGATACAAACACCGCACGAAACATGAGCTTCTAAATTTTACCTCAGAAGATCGAGTTGAAGGTTATGTGCAAGTTTCTCAAGGAAATCCTACACCCTTTTTATGCCCGTCCATGATTATTTGTTGAAGAATGGTGATGATAAAGCCGTGTATGGCATAGTTGTTTAAGCCACAGCAAAAAATGAGATTGACTCTTCTGGATCTGTAATTAGAGCAATGTAACGCAACAACAGGCACAGTCTGCAAAAGTGATTTCGACCGTATGCATTCATACAATACATAGTTTGGAATGTATAAATCAATTGTTTTGATATGAATTGGATATGAAAATCAAATACGTAGAAATGTTTGACCATGTTTTTCAATTTCAATTTAATAATCCATCCAGCTTTATTTTTTCATGTCAAGTTCGTTGCATTTTGTACACTATAGCTTGAGACATCATCATATTTAGATAGCGTACTTATTATTATCAACAGCCGCATTCCATAAGTAAATAGTAACAGTTTTATTTATTAGCCTATGCGTAACATAAGTATATCAGCAGCGTTTTTTATATGTGCATACACAGGAAAATGACGTTTACTAGTATTACTTAGATATTACTAACAGTATTAAAAGTAGCAACCCAATAACGTATAAATCCACTGCATTGGCACCTGTCAGTATAAGGTCACAAATATAGAAAAGCTTTTGATACGAAATTTCCAAGGGTTATTTGTCAATTTCAATTGATTCCCAGAGTATACATACTTTAATATTTTGTCAAAATTTTTGGCTTTGGCTGCTATGCTATTACATATGTATGAATATTATCCATTATATTCCTCACTTAAAGCTTTTATCTTTAATTTTGCCCATCGATTAACTATAAGTCTTACACAATGTTCAGTACATACAATATAAATTATACGAATATTCAGTCTTGACACGACTTTATATTCCATAATCCTAACCGACTAATGAATACTTGTCCATGTATTTATTTATAATAGTGAGCAAAACTTAAAGTGGAATTCAATACAAAAGCAATTATATTCTTCCTCGGATAGTTGGATGACATTGCTTAGGACCACCTTTTCCACGGCTATTGAAATTTTCATAATGAAAACCCAACGACTAAACAACAGCATGTACAATTAATAGATAATTTACAGTCGTCCTCCCCTGCCCTGTCTCTACTTTTTCAGCTAAAGTACAAAGACGTTTATCAAATAGGTAAAAATGATTGACATTTGCAGATCCGATTTAATTTGTAACTTGAAGAATTGTGTAGCCAGTTTAGTAAGTAAACTGTTTTTTTGCATGAAAAAATAGTTTTCAGCTAACAATTTTTTGTAGCACCAAAAAGCACGTACAGAAAACGTACTAAAATGTAGTCCATTATGGAATTATACAATATTAATTTAATAATTCAGCCTGATAGAGATATCTCTGATTACAATGTGGCTTTTAAAAGGTTAAAAATAATAAAATTACTATCCCCAAAGAGGAGTCAGCCCATATAAATTAATAAATTATTCATGATCCTGAATAGTAAGATGTTAAAATGTGACGACTTGAGATTGCACATTGTTCAGAGATTAAAAGAGAGCGAGTAATACATAAGTACTCAAATTAGTTTAAAAAAAGTCAAGTTTTCTTTTAGTATGAGATCAGATATATATTGGATCAAGTCTTTTGCTCTAAAATTCTCCAATTAATATTCAAATCTTGGTAAATAGTAGCAATGCGTTTATATAATGTAATCTCTGATCATGGATAAGTTATTCTTCCTGGAGGTCGGCTGTCCTCCTCATCATCGTCAGTTTGAGATGATGACGCTTCATCCGGCATAAGTTGACCACCTGAAAAAAAATTGCATTTTAAACACAACATATACAGCGCAAATTATGCCTTGCAGTAACTCAAGAAAATATTAAAGCTCAACGAATAATAAGTATTTACGTAGCACAAAATAATTATGATACTGCTTTCTACTGTTTTATTTTTAATTAAAAAAAACAAGCAATTTAAATTTGAAATGCATCAATATTTATTCTCATCATCTCTTTCTTCGTATCGTAATAATAACTCATTCGTACTTTTTCCCAAGGAAAGCTGATAACACAACAAAGAGTAATAATATTTGTAAAGTGATTTTAACATTAATTAAAGCTCTGAAATAGTAGTTGGAAAAATCAGTAGTACAGTTGTTGGAACAAGAAAATGTAGTCTGACTGAATATAGTAATTAGGGAAATTACCGTAAACTCAGAGGCGGTAGTTTGGGCGTGGGGCGTAATATGTAAGCAGTACGGAAACAACAATTTTCTGGCGAATTCTTATTTTGTTTTTAGGCAGGCAGATTGGGTTGGGTTGACATTTGAAAAACAAATAATCAGGAACAGGGGGTCTGAATTTTTCGCAAATACAGTGGCTGGTTGAGCAAGGTTATAAACTGGTCGTTTCGCTAATGACAGAAGATTCTTCCATCTGAAGTCCAGAATCGGTAGAGCTCGACTTGCTGTCGCCCTTTTTGGCTAATGGCATTGGACCGATTTTGGAACTAGGCTGTACTTTCTCTTCTTCTAGACCAAAATGTATCCAAATCGAAACAATAAGCACAACATCTAATGTTTCTACTTGATCAAATTATGACTGACTGTAGTAATAAGCGTTACATGAGCAAATATTATTCCTTCCGTATAAATAAAGCAACGACTACTTTCTAAGCACAGGAAAATAACAACACACGTATACATTTTGCTCAATAAAAAAAGACAGTGTAACTATTGAAGAAGAGATATTTCCAAAGTCCGTAAATTAATATAAACGCGTTTCCGTACTACCGGTACCACTACCACTATTGTACAAACTACACCAGCAACAATAATTTCAAATTACATGCAAGCACAGTAAATAGCTTTCACTCAACTCGACGGCACAAAAGTTTAAAGAAGAAATATGTGTGAGGGTAGGAAATTATTCTACAAAGAGTAGAACTACTTATGGAGACAATGCCATAATCAACACAAATTCATTCACTCCTCTTATAATCTTCATCAGTCATCATTCAATTTTAGTACAAAAATAAAAAGCAGTCAAGCATCACAAGCAAAAATAGAAATGCAAAATTGTTGACTTACCGGAAGATGTGGCAATAATACGATCACATTTGTTTTTGTCGGAAATTATATACCAGGCCGTCATGAGGAAAAATAACCCTCCCAGGACTTCGACAAAACAAGTAATGAACAGAGAGTACTGTAAACTTTGAAACTCGAGTGCAGCACTTTCATTGCTAATGTGCGTAGAATTGCACGACATATCTTCAAAGTTCATAGTCTGGAGTAGCGAAGAATTAGTAATAATTGAGGTAGCATTCATTGTTATCTCTGTTTCATTCTTTTGTCGCAACACTTTCTTCAATTCGTCCGAAATGATTCCAATCAGATATGGACTTCCGGCATCCCCAAATGCATGACTTAATAGAATTTGGAATGCTTCAGCGGTCGATCGTCGTGTTGGAATGACAGTATACTGCAGAGAATAATAAATTTGAGTTATTGTAGAAAAATACTACCAATAAAAGCATACATACGTACTATTAGATATTTCATTAATTTAAATACTCACCAATAGAATGTCTGCTACAATTGACCAGTTCAAGTTTAGGAACAACTATATAAAATCAAAATCACAAATTAGCTGACAACGAACAATATGTAATTTAGTTTTGTCAAAATGGACATTCATACCTCGGCAAAAAATATTAGTGTAAAACACGCCACAGTGTGATATTGGGCAGTGACGGCAGCCAAAAACATTAATGGGGTGCTGGCAAGAAGTCCAAAGGCACATATCCTATTTAAGATAATTAGGTCAAATGTTAATAATTACAGGTTATATTTAGCAATTCTTTTAGGGTGTTATGTTATGTAAGCACGTATTATTATTACAATGGATCAGCACGCCCATTACGAATTCTGAACTTTTGAGCAGCATAGGAACCAAGTGGAACTCCGATTAACCCCGATAACATGGTGACTACTCCGAATTTGAGCGATACGCTACATAGAAAAATATACAAAACATTATAAACTGTGAATGTTGATGGGTTAATAACTTGAATGAGCTTGACATACTCTGACATTTCCACATGTCCTGCTCCATCCTGAATTGTAAGTCCATAAGTAATAAAAATAGGACCCCACCAAGCTAAAGCTCCAGCAACGAATGTAACGCAGGTAAATCCAAGTGTAGACAAGATGAAACTTTTACTGAAAGAAGAAAATCATAAAATTAATCAATGTTGCAATGGTCTAGCTTGATTCATTTATGCATGCACGATTTGAACATTCCATAAAACATACTTTTTTCGCAAGTAAACGACATCCTCTTTGTACGATGTAGCTTTTAAAGCTGTAGAGCCCTCTGATTGACCTGAAAAAAAAGCAACAAAACTATTACGTTTCTGTGGGAGTGGACAAAGTCTCCTAAATAAGACTCACCTCGGGGAGGATCAATCATGGCGATAAGTATAAGGATCGTAGCCTATAAAATAAATAAATACAAGTAAATAAACTAAGGGGCAATGTGAAGCATCAAGACAAGGAAGTAATGATATGCAGGTGGCGAGATGAAATGATAATCTCATACCGGATTTCCTTTCCTTGTTACAAGTTACTCGCATAGTTTTCAATTTAATACAACTAGTAGTTATTTTATAATAATGGCCACACCCAGCCCCTCCTCCAGTAAAAGTGTCTTTGTTACACCTCCATCAAAGCGACAAAGGGTCCAGGGTGAAGGGATTGCTGCTCAAGTTGGGTGTACAATTCTTCTGACAGGTATTATGATTAAATAATATATATACATAAGTGGCTTATCCAATTAAATTAATTAATGACAATATCTAGGTTTATGTAAAGCAGGGAAAACCACAATTTCTAATGAAATGAACAGCTTTCTTGGTGGTCGCGGTTATCTTGTGAAACAACTGGACGGAAAGAAGTTACGTAGTGGAATTTGTTCAAAGTTGGATTTCGACAACCTTGACGATCGGTCCGAGTTTGTACGTCTGGCTGGCGAATCAGCAAAATTGTTCACAGAGATGGGATACATCTCTCTCGTCTCAATAGTGGCCCCACTTGAGAAGGTATAATGCGAATTAATGGATGTTTGTATCAATAATGAAACTACTGTTGATATTATAGGATCGGAAAACAGTTCGTGAGTCACATGAAAATGATGGTTTAAGGTTTCTGGAAGTCTTTGTGGATCGATCCAGAAAAGATTGTTCACACGGTCTTGAGAGAAACGGTAAAAACTATAAGATCATGTATATTATTGTGTTATCTAACTTAGTATTGAGCCAAATTGATGGCGATTATCAAATACCAACCAATGCTGATGTTCACTTAAGACGAAGTGGGGATAATGTAGCCGAGCTGACAACACAACTAATAAATGAGCTCATTTTATATGTATGTACAAAGGAGAAATTATGCAATTCTTAAGTGAAAGTGACTTTTATGAATAATTTTGTGTTTGTTTATAGACAATAATTTCCCCCATCATCATTCCACCACAATCACCACAATCGCCCTTTTCGCCTTGTGGAACAATATCGTCACCATCTACGTCAACTACAACTTTCAACTCGTCTGGTTTAGAGTCAGAGTTTGATGATGATGATGATGTGACAAGTTCCACCACCCCCTTTAAACTTCCGCAGAACGGAAGTGCTCTTCTCACCATTTTCAACTACGTGAAATCAGTGATGATAATGAGAGGATATAAGGGGACGGATGAGCAAGTGGATAAGGATGAATTGTTTTTTGAGATAATGAATGAATGGGAAGAACATTATAAAACCAATGTTGGTGATGAGAGATTCTTTCCTGTGCTTCTTCCTCACCCAACAAATAAAACCACTCCCACCACAACTCCTACTAAAAAAACAACTCCAACTAAAAAGAAACAGGATGAGTTTATACCACTTTACTGGGACGGGAAGCAATTATTGTTTGGTAAATTTTATGAAAAACACTTACATCCATTCTCACGAAAGTGTAATGAATGCTGGCAAACTAAAGACAACTGTTCCTCACACAACAAGACCAAACTTACTCAATTTGCAATTTTACGTGACTTGAATGAAAATGCAATCAGATACTATGTTCCTATACAACATCAAGTGCAAAAGAAACAACAATGGACAAATAAGTTAATGAAAGCCTTAGTGAACAAGTCAAAAATTCCACTTCTTGGACTGCACTTAAAGACCCATCCCGATTCAAAATGGTTTGAAGAGTATTACAAACCCATTCTTATCTCTTCACCTGATAAGCAACCAATCATGAATACAATTAAGGTTAGTTGTTTTACTAATTAATATGCATATACATGAAGTACTTATCTTTATGTACTTTCTCTTTACTCATAGTTGTCTTTGGGTTTCATCTGCCTGTTCCGTAATCTTGAGAGAGTTGGAAATGCCACCACCATCCTACCACACAACCTACTTCACTCGAGAATTTGCATTTCTGCTGCTAAGTTAGATGTTTTGGAGAGAATGTTGTTGAAACATGGGATAACTTTCACCGTGGGTGATGAATATGAAGAACAGTCTTCAACCTCCCCCATGGCTGCTACTTATTGTGGTAACCTCCCTCGTGTCTATTGTGGTACTGAGCCAGACAATAAGATCAACATTGGCCTCAAAGTACAAATTGGTGGAGGAGCTGCCAGTGTTTATACACAGTTAGTTTAATTTATAATACTATTAGCGATTCCTCTTTATGATTCACTAGAGTAAAACCCGTCATACGACGGGCCCTGTAATTATTTGTACGGAAGCGTTCGCTGAATAATTTACGTTATTCACCCATGGCAAGGGACGTGGACCCCCTTCCGTGTGTTGCCCCACGGACTTTAACTTGTAAAGTACTGGCGGTACATTTGTCTTGAGCCACCGTCTAGTTCATTTTGAAAATGGCGTGCAGTTGGTCTCTCCGCAACCTGCGGCCAAACTTAGTCAGCAGCAGAATGGGGCTACTTGCATTGAGTTACTCACTCACACACTCACGCAGATCTCTTCACTTTTATATATAAAGATATTCATGTATGTATTGCAGCTCCGATAAGTTTTTTTCCGGTCCTCTGTATCAACCCACTCTCACTGATGATGAAAGAGAGATTGCAAATTCCATCACCACTAATTGGAGGAAAGACGTGGAGGTGTCAAAAATGAAGGGGTGGAAACCTGATGAAATCACCAAATATCAAGATCAACTTGCCATATTTAAACGAGTGGAGGCTGACTGTACGAGAAAGGAGGGCTTGGGAATTGCAGCCCTAATAATAGCAGAGATGAAGGGACAGTCCCATAATGACATCCTCATTCAACGAGACAACAAAATTTATGAGTATACCAATAGTGCTGAAGAAGGAGATCTGCTATATATTCAAAATGTGTTTAAATTCCTAACTGGATATTCTCTTAAAATTACAACTGCTCATTCTAATGATTTAAAATTAATGGATATGTCTTTTGTTTGACATACTTATAAATGGAACAGAGTTACTTACTACACTTCCCATAATAGGAGTAACTCGAAGTGACCACCGCCAGTCTTTAGTAAATTTTTCCGTCTCGGAACCAACAATATATCCCAGCCCACTGCAAGAGAAACACGAATTTGAGTACATTTAAGCATGATCAAATTATCCTTATCCTCAGTCAAGTAATTCCATTTTCTCACCTTCCAACTGGAATGGCAAAATAAAACAATGCCAACATTTTTGATCTCATGTCATGCGTGAACATGTCGCTAAGAATTGTCGGGGCTATCGTCGAATAACTTGCTTCACCAATTCCAACCAAGGCTCGACATACGACAAACCATGTCCAACTTTTCTGTAAGTTGACAAAAACAATTATATGTAAGGGCACTGCACTGGTTTCTTAATTTAACATTGATTTACGTATTTGTTTCTAACTTACATCCATAAATGAGCCAAGCAAAGTGGTGAGACTCCAAAGAAAAACTCCAAATGCCATTATAAATCTTCGAGAATATCTGTCACCCAGATATCCGAATACAGGAGCAAAAATCATGTAACTGATTACGAATACTGTTTGAAGTAGACCACCCTCACTGTTCTCAATGCCAAACTGAAAACCAAAAGATTATAAAAGTATTATTTTATGTCAAAACTTAACACAGGGTAGTCGGAGGGGAAGACCCTATCTAACTTACGTTACACTGAATTTTATCCAGAATCCCTGAAACAGAGAAACAATTCATAAATATCGCATTACTAATTATACTTACGTATAGTCGGAATTCTTACCGGCAAGGGTGAAGCGATCCATATAGTTGATGAGGTTGACGTAGACTAATATATTTAAAAAAAATAAACAATTTAATACAATGCCTTTCACTGATAATATGTATGCAATTTTCATTTATTATGTTATACTTACCTAATACGGCAACTGTGAGCCATTGCGATTTTGTTATACTGCTACAACTTTGACCGGAAGATTCAGTAGATATCCCTCTCTGCATAGCTACTGCACTACTGGAGGACGACAATTCTTGACTACTTCTACTAGATACTTGATTCTCCAGATAATCATCACTAACTAATTTCTGATTCGACTTATTGGAAGGAATTGCTACATCTCCGCCACCCCCTCCATTCGGTCTTGTTGATGTGGACATGTCACTTGGTTTAGTTTAGAGGGTCACACAAGATCTGAAACCAAAAAATAAGTAATACTATTGAGTTTCTCCCAATCACATGAACAATAGATACACACATCATGAGATGATGAGAAGGCAATAAAATGCATGTAACACTCAATAACATTATGTTAACGCATTTATGCCAAAGTATGTCAGCTTTAGGTCGTATCTTTGTGTATAACCTATCACCGGATGATAAGGTTCAATTTTACTACATCACATGGATTTTTATCGTCATTGTGTTCAAACACCAAACTAATGATTCATTCATTCACAGAAACACCAAATATTTACACGGTAAAGGTAAAAGTCAACAGCAACTACTATACCGATAAATCGCCCTGAATTTTAACTCGTAAAGTTATAAATGATATCCTGACCCTAGTTTCCTCCATGCAATAAAACTTTCAGTATAGCTTCTTCACTCGATCCTTTCTCTTACATTTATTCAATCACGATATAATAATTCTGCCGTACCGTTGATACCATAGGTCAACTACTTGGCCTCCAGACTTCTCAGAGTTCTGAGAAATACTGTTATGATTTAAAACCAGTTGTTTACAAAACATAGAGGAAAATCCCTTTTAAATTGCTGGAAATGTATACATTTCAATATCAACCACAACTACATATGTAACTTTAAACCTCAAACAGCCCCTCTAAATAAATGTGACAACTCCCTACAGTATACATTGACTAACAATAGCGCTTTTTGTAGTAAATTCCAGTCTCTGCTGTATGTATGTAATGTACCTTACTATTTTCCGAGGGGAAAAATTGTCCGTGTTATTTGTGTGGAAATGATACTGTTATCATTATACATACATTTGGTTCACTCACACATTGGCCCATAAACACATAAAGACTCCAATTGTGCCACGTAAGGGAAAATGGAATCACGCCATATTTTTTGGGACTTTGAATACTACACGACGAGAGATAATGATGTATTATTGCTGACGAAAGATGCATTGCAGCCGTATGTAGTTTTCATTTAAACAAAATTTATCATATCATCGTCATACGCATATCATGCATATGAATGAGTTTCCTTCATGTGATGGGCAGTAAATTGGATAAAACTTAAAGCCTTATTAATCTCGGGGTTTCCTCTTTGTTATTGCATAATCGACAAATGAATAAATTGTGATTTAATAGTCCAAATTCCAAGCAGTAACGAGATAATCATTTTTTTTCTTTTAATGATATGCATGATAGGAGAGTGACTATCTGGAAATTATAGACGACTCTGCATGAGCATGACTGACTACCGTTTTTTCCGTGACATTCACATTGCTAGAAAGATTACGACATCACTGATACGTACAGAAGTAAACGATGAACAAGGAACTCCAACAATAATTTCTTTTTCTGAGGGAACTGTTGAGCAAGACAAATATTTCACGGGCAATGTCAGTAACTTAATCCTATACTTTTCTAGCGTTTGGCTTTTTGTTAAGATTAACTTGGTGACCTGCACATGCATGTGTATACGTGTGACGGATTTACCCACCCTATGCACGTCAAATCTTTTCGTTTGATGTCTAATTTTAAGTTGAACATTACAAATTGGCTTATCTAACTGAGCCGTGTGCTTTAACAAATAAATATTCTCATGGATTACAAGGAAAATGAGAATCATTGATATAAGAGCCGCAGCAGTCAATGCAATATGATGATAATTGTGTGATGGAAAGAATTATTAGTGTAATTGCAAGAAGGTTTTTACTGTATACGTATACCTGATGAAATACGCACAATTACCATAAAGCTACTCAACTAATCAATGACTTCATGACATGATGCTGACAATTATCATAATTACAACCCATACTAATGTTCAAAAGCATGAATAATTTCCATCTAAAAATGTATACATAGCGCGCAACTGTAGCGTGCACCCACTCATATCCACATGCATGCTCGAACAAATGTTTTAAAAATTAGGCAATTGATTTTCTCTTGGTACAAGTTGAAATTGAGATAAGATATAAATAACTAACCATCTGTCGCTTAATATTCTCTCAGGAAATCAAAGGACTTTCCATATTATCTCAACAAAGTAAAATGAAAGCCATTTCTCTCTTTGACCAAACAAAAGAAAACAATCCGAATCAGAGATGCATGCAATGCATTTACAATAACAGTAATAAAACACATGTACAACATAAATAGAGCAAGTTAACACCAATTTAAATCCCATTAAGTGGAGGATCAAGTATCAAGTTTAGAAAAAAACAGAGAGAGAAATGCATATAAATGTACGTACATGAATAACTATGCTATTTCTGGGTCGTTGAAAGTGCAAGTGAAGTGCTTATTTACGACGAGTGCTCGTACGCTTATTCAGAATTCTCGGCACAATTGTCAATTACTGTCGTCTGTTGGTGAACCCACTTGACTAATGAAACGCATTTATTATTAACACGTGCTAACTAACGACGACAAACATGGTGTTTCCACACTTGAGAGTTTATCCGTTGATAAAAAGTGCGGAAGTTCACTTTATTCTCATCTATGTATTAATTAAAATATCACGGACCAGCTGCTGTGAAACAATTGGACGAGATACCAAGAGTAATTGGCGGAGTAATGCAATAATAGTCAATTCATTAGCTGAATTAAACGCCCTTCCGAAAGATATTCTACCCTAACTAAATAATCCCAAGTACAACAATATTATTTATTATACTTCACGTGCAAGTTTTGCGTGCACGTATTAGAAATGCGACATGAAAATGAAACAAAAATCAATAGAAGAACTGAAGTAGGTTGTAATTTACACTGAAATTTCCAAAAGTATATTTCAAGCAAATAATTGATTCGGATCAAATCGATCATTCTTGCGTCGCATGACGCAAATACTTACAAGTGGAAAAGTTGGAATATTAAAATTTAATAGCCCTTCAGCGAGGTTTGCATATAACTCGAATAAATAATAGAATAAATAATGAAGTTCGAATAAATAATAGGCCCCGATTCTACTAAATATTACCCCCACATTTACCACGCAAGATGAGTTGAGATTACAATACAAAAGGTTTCCACCGATTGTGTGTGTGTGCCAAGGCTTAGTGTTCCATATAATTCAGTCAGTATTCCTATGTCAAGCTATAAATATCCAATTGGAAAGAGCTTACAAAACTCTTTTTAACCGAGCACTAATGTATGTAGAATGGGAGAGAATTGTACAAATGACACTGATTATGCTTTCCTTCTGTCAGGCATGTTTTCCTATAATCAATAAAGTATTGCGATGTTTGATGTCACATGAAATGAATGAATGTCAGCAGCTTTCACATTCGCATTTTCTGATTCGGAGATGACATCTACTTAGACTCATATGCTTTTTATGAATTGCGAATTTATCAATTCTCTATTGACTGTATTCAGGTCGAAAAGCAGACAGTTAGTCAACACACCCACGCTTTGCTTTCATGCAAAAATGAATGGGATGTCGTCGTTGAGGTGCATTATGTGTTATCTTACTTGTTACAGTTGTGCAATAAAACTTGCGTATTTGACGAACCGACCAAAAAATGTGATATTTCCCATAATGCATGTTCAATGATATGTTTTAAAGCGCAAGAAAATGGTCATTAGTCACATACCTGAGGAGATCTGGAGCAAAAAGAAAGGTTTCAACCTTGTAGCGATGTCATCATCATCAAAAGCTGATCACACAGAATTATGGAACGGATGCGAGCCGGCTTCTTTCTGGCAACTATTCTCAAGTTCCCAAATTGAATGCTTTTCTTTCAACTCGGTCCTCTTCAAAAAGTTAATCTCTTTTCTATTACAAGTATTTAGAACTCTGGAGCAGCTTATATAGTACTGGGAAGAGATCCAATTTTTGTACAACAGCTTGCAAAAAATTGAGGTCCACGTGTATAAAACCCGGTCGGTATATACTCCAATAACTTAAGAATATGCGGTGACCTTTGGCATTTTAGTTAATAGTTCGTAGTGGCAAGGATTTTTGGTGACCTGAATTGAAAATATTTAAAATTAAGGCAAATCAAACTATTTTTATGTAACTAAATGTAGTTTAAAAATAATAATTTAACACAATACTGAAATACTATCGGTTCTTACCGTATGTATCTTTAGGAATGCACTATGTCCCGTGTCGGTTAAATACTGACTGGTTTTGACTTTGCTGCTGCTGGATGGAACTCGGTCGGTTCCTGGTGGTGTGACTGGATTTTTAGTTTCTGAGAGCGTATCACAGGACGGGAAAACGTTGATTCATTCACTCCTCTGTGAACATCCGATGCAAAAAGGGTGAGTCAGTTGGGAGCAAGTTCGGGGGTTACCTTGAATCTTGTGCAACAAAACCCCTTTTTACTACTACTACCGGGTTTCTCCGAATTCCGATCCGAATTACGTGGACTGCTACGTCACAAATAAGAACCACGAATCTTGTGGAACATAACACGTTTTCTTCTTCTATGTCTACTCTGGCACGCTATTATGCGAATGACATCCGGTATTGTATTATTCTCCAGAGACCGGGTATTTTCTTTCACCACCACAAACCCCGATGTAATTACAGGTCAAATTGCTTCCTTCAGGGTCGTCGCAATATGTAGACCATAAAATGTTATCAAGATTACACGATCTGCAATTTAACAAAAGAGTATTGATTTTATGCACACTTTCATGAACTGTATGTTCTACAATTAAAGAAGAATTTCGGCAGAAAGTAGGTGAAAGAAAGTTACTCACCAACACGTCACAATCTTGTTTAAATCTCCAACAAATGAATAACCGTGTTTACTTTACGTTTCCTGTTATGATGATGACTTTTGGCAGAGAGAACAACCGCTGCTGGATAAGTAATAATAATGACACACAAACCCAACCAATCAACTAACTGAAGTTCACCAGTTACTGAACTGTGCCAAAGACTGAACTCAACTGACACATGGAAATCTCTCTCTCGTATTTACTAACGTGGGCCAACGGTGAATGAATTGCATCACTCGTGAGAAAAAATGTGTGGTGTGATGATGACGAGGACGGATGGAGGTGGTGGTGGATTAGAGACTTGGATTGGTGAGAAACTGGGGAAGGAGGAGACTCTTTTGGATCAGGCGAGAAATGTGAGAAAACCACGAGAAAATTAATTTTATTATGGTAAAAAAAATCTATTTTTTCACATTCGTTCGTATCAATCAACCCCCTTTTACACTTTTACTTTCAGTGTGTCGCAAATGGATAAAAATTACTCCTCATAATTTACAAAATGCTAGAATTTTCTGAAATTTGATTGAAAATGTTAAATATAATTTTTCATGCATTTACAATAAATTTGATTGTATGCAAATTCCAGAGGCGCCTGTTTTCTACTTCCTCCGCCATAAAATGACCATCTGCTTTGCAGAGTACTTCCGTTTCTGAAAGAAAAGCGTTTAGCGTTTACTACCATCATTACCACGCAATAACTTCATGGTTCGTTCAGTCCATATTCAGACTCTTCTGCTACAAAACACCATCCCCAACGTCCCCCGCAAATAATGAAATGTCGTTGGTTGGTGGGTATTATATTTCGTGTACAAATCTGCATCGTCGAAAGTGAGAGGTTCTCAGCCGAAGAATTGCTTTTGTTTGGGTCTCTTCACCGCCGTGGCGCTCGTGTTTTGTAACCGTGTTGATTCTGTCTGTAGGAAGAAGAATACATTCACCTGAGAAGCAGCAGTGTTGGAGATGATAGTTTTTGGTTTGGTGGTGGTGAGTGAGTAATGGTGTAAATGGAATGAATAACAAATGCACAATTTGAATAACCAAAAGCTTCGGTGGTGTCAAATTCAACACAACACAGCAGCATTTCATTTAGTAGGCATCTGTCGTGATCTCATCTTTTTATATCGACATCACCCATTACGCTAAAAAGTGTGTAGTGTGGTCTATTTTCTAATGTCTGTTGTTTACAAGTTTCTACACTTTTACATTACATTAATCGAGAATTTTGCTGGATTTTACAACAATAGGTGAGTATACTTGAGTGATAGTGCGTTCGTTGGTGTGGGTGGATTCATATTTCCAACCGGATCATTTATTTACATTCCATACTTGGTTGGTTGGTTGTGGAACCATCGTCATAATATTACATTCATTCGTTTGTACATTAGTATTGTTCTGTTTGTTGTTTCTCTACGGGTGAATTAGGGCGAGAGAGCGAGGGTGACTGAAACGGAACCGGGAGGAAGTTGTTATCAATATCAGTCAATCAATAACATATCTCTGTTGGTGTGGTGGTGTACAACAGTTTGACCAGTTTATTTTGTGGCTGGAAAGCAGGGTTGTTGTAATGTTAAATATTTAACATTTTTAACAAGAAACGAAACAGATTAAAATTTGGTGAGTTTTTAAGTTCTTCTTGTGCGTGATGCTGGAGTAATTTGCAGAGAAAAAGGTTCTGTTAACTACTCGCTGGTTCAATTTTTTTTAAAGTACAAAATACTATTAAACTGCAATGCCAGTGAGTTGTGAAACCTGAGGGTTTGACGTGGTTTGACGTGAATTTAAACTGGTACATAATATGTACTACATATTAAGAGTAAGCTATAAAAAATAGGAATAATTTGAGCATACCCAGACATAAAAACTTAATGGTCCCTTTCAATAAATGGAGTTGAATAGAGTATAAAAAATATTGTTTATTGGCATCAGTCAGTTTCTGCACGTTTGACGTTATTACTAGTTGCTACAGCTGGATTGACATTGAGAAATTTTGTTGAGAATTTGCTGAGAAAATTATTCATTGTGACTCATAATTCACAATTGCAGGTGGTCGTGTCTTGAGTGCTGATAATATAAAGCAAACCAATTAAAATGTTGAAGTTTATTCGGGGGAAAGGAACTCATCTTTCGGCTGAAAGGATTAAAATTCAAAAGGAACTTTATGCATATAGAAAGGTAATTCTAATATAATTCTAGTAATTAAAGTAAGTTGATTATAATAATTTGACACCAATATATTTTTATCATGCAGACTGTTACACATGGATTTCCTTCAAAACCTACGGCCCTGGCTTATGATGCAGACCTTGGATTATTAGCGATTGGCAACAAATCGGGATATTTGATTGTGTAAGTATTCATTTATTAAATCGACTGAAATGAAACCCTTTAGTTTAATTTGTCTATTTATATGTACCATATTCAGAGTTGGACAGCCAGGTGTAGAATTTTCAGGTCAACATCCATCAGATGACTCAGCAGTGATCCGAATTGCATTTGTTCCTAAAACTGTAAGTTTCAAATTGAAGGATTGATATTTTTATGAGTAACCTTTTGAGTAATGTTGAAATTTTTTGCAGGCCAAACTTATAACGCTGTGTGATAACAGTAAGCAAAAGTTCACTTAACTGAAGCTTGAAATTATTCCCATCTTCCTGACTTTCCTCGATTTGTGGTCCTTGCCCTCCTTCGTCGCTTTTTAATTTATATATATTAATTTTATATATTATGTTTAACTAGATTCCTTACATCTTTGGAGGTTCCGAAATTCTCACTTTGAATTGGTAAAAAGTTATTCTTTGGAAGGAAAGTAAGTTGTAAACCTGAATATTTTAAACATGTGTACTCGAATTAGGGTTTAAACTTAAACTATACTTTGACTTATCAGATTAAAGAAGATTTCCACGCTAGTTGTAAAATCTGATGGAAAACAAGCTTATATAGGAACAGAAGGTGGAAATATATACACTCTTGATATCGAGAAATTTGAAGTCGGAGATAAAATTATATACTTGGATGTCGTTCTTCAAAAGTAAGTGAATTGTTTTGAATCATTGAAAGAATTTTTTGAAACAAATATTGTCTTTACTCTATTTCTAGTGGTCCTGAAAATTACAAGGTCAATCCGGGAGCAGTCGAGTCAATCTTGGAAGTCCAGTCAGAGGGAAAGCTAATTATTGGATATGAGCGAGGGCTAATCGTCTTGTGGGATCTTGTTACACAGAAAAACATACGGGTAAGATCTAAAATGATCATCCGAGGTACACAAATATCTAACAATAACAAATTGTACGGCTTTCAGAACTATGTATCGACCCAACAATTAGAAAATGTATGCTGGTATGAGGATGGGAATGAGTCCTTGTTTGTTTCATCTCATAATGATGGTTCCTACGTTATCTGGGACATTGAAAATGGAAATAAACCAAAAAAGGACGCTACCACACCTTATGGTCCATTTCCTTGTAAGAGAATCGGAAGGATGAGATTCTGGAACGATGCAGATGGAGAAAGTATGTGCGTTTTTAGTGGTGGAATGCCTAGGGCAGCGTATGGTGACCATTTCACAGTCACCATTAAATCCGAAGGTATCTGAAGGATAAACAACTTTAAAGCTGTTAGTACATAAATCTATTTTTTATATAAAATAATTTTAATTGCAGCATCTTCTGATGGACCTCATGTAACCTTTGATCTTTCTTCCAAAGTCATCGATTTTGTATTAATTCAGTCTCCAAATCAAGTCGAACGAGCAGTAGAAAATGGCGAAGATGAGGAAGAAGAGATGCATTCTCAGCCTATAGCACTTGCCATTCTTGCTGAGGAAGAATTAGTTATGATTGACTTAACTTCTGAAAACTGGCCTTCCATGTACCCGCTGCCATACTTAAATTCCATTCATCCCTCCGCCGTTACATGCTTTCAACATATCGATAACGTTAGCGATCAAGTATACAACGTTTTGAAAAAGATTGGAATACGTGGAGAGCATTCAAAGAAACCATGGCCCTTAACCGGTGGCAAATTAGTTCCCCGACCCGCTGAGGCTAATTCATCGTCAAAGGGTGCTACCACTGCAAGTAAGAAACCTCGAGGAAAATCTCTGCTCATCACTGGCCATGAAGATGGATCTGTTCGATTTTGGGACTACACGGACATTTGTTTGACATTATTGACAAAATTCAGTTCTTCCGTCTTATTCAGCAGTAACATGGATGACTTGGATGGTCCAATTCTTGATTCGAGTAATACCAAAGATGATGAAGACGATGAGTGGCCACCATTTAGAAAAGTCGGAGTTTTCGATCCATACTCAGATGATCCAAGACTCGCGGTAAAGAAAATAGGATTCTGCCCGACAACTGGTGTTCTTGTCGTTGGTGGCACTGCAGGACAAGTCGTGGTCGTCAATTCACTCAAGCGAGGCATCTTGGAAGAACCGTCTAAACTCGAGGTAGTTAAAATTTGACATACTCGCCCTATATAACGATATTAATAAGATGAATTTTGTTTTCGCATGCAGATTACAACATGTAATTTGGTGGCCGACAAGGATGGGTTTGCATGGAAGGGACACGGGCCACTCGATTTTAAACCAAAGAATAATCCAAATATTGGCAACAGAGAGGGCGAAGAAACCTTTGTTGTGGGTGCACTAGTAAGTTCATTTGCATCCAAGTAGTTGATGCATTATCATTCATATTAACGTAATAATACATTTATTTTGGTCAGGTTCAAATTCAGCCTCCAGCAGCAGGTAAGTATTTAATGAGAAATATTCAGCTTTTTATAAACTATTTTTAAAATTCCGCACGATACTTTCAGTGACTGCACTTGCTCTGGATGCTCCTACCGGCGTTACAGCTATTGGTACTGGTTATTATAACTATGGCTAGTTAATTATTCATATGACTAATTTTCAACTTATCTACTACTAGGTACTGCGCACGGAGTTTTACTTTACGATTTTTTTAGAAGAAAGGTCGTCATTACCAGATCTACTTTAAACCCCAATGGTAATTTTAACATGCACATTTTAAATGTAGTCCAAAATTAAATAAATGAATTTCGTTAAAACCCCGATTAAATATATATGCTCTTGTGTAGATATAATGGCTGCTGGAGATACTCCAATTTCTAGGCGAAAATCTATCAAAAAATCTCTTCGGTTAGTAAAACCATCTTCTATTACTTTTATTTTATCAAGAAAGTATTAAATTTGCAACAACACTCTTTGCGCAGCGAGTCTTTTCGCAGATTGAGGAAAGGCCGATCTCAGCGCCTGCCTACAAGTCCGGTGAAAAGCCCTTCAATGTCTGCAATCCAATCGAACGAACCACCATCAAAGTCTGTGGAGAGGGCAATTGAAGCTCGAGATGAATCTATGACCTCAATGGTCCGATGTGTCACATTTGCGAAAACTTACATTGTTAGCTGTAAGTATTAACTCTTACATGGATAATTCTCAGGATATCTATTTGGATTGGATTGCAATAAAATTATGTTTTTCGCAGTGCAAACAACGACTCCAACTTTATGGGTGGGCACGAATGCTGGTACCGTTTACGTGTTTACAATTAATATCCCTGGTGGCGAGCGGAGATCGAAGGAGGACGTGGGATGTCAGATTGCCAAAGAAATTCAACGTAATTATGAAAAAAACAATCAATAGTAGCAGCATGCAAAAATTTATTTAATGTGATACTGAAGCATATTATCATGATAAATTTTTCAGTGAAACACAGGGCCCCAGTTTTGTCAGTTATAATCTTAGATTGTAATCAAGGAGCAATTGAAGGATTTTCTCCTCAACATGATCATCTTGGTCCTCACAAAGGTATGTATATAATATATGTATACATCAAATTGAGCTATCATAGTTGTTTCGTACCTCGCTAAACAGTGGTAAATAACGTTACATTATTTTTTCAGTGGCTTTATCGAGTGAAGAACAAGTGAAGGTACTTTAATCTTTATAAATGTCTATACAGATTGAGATTCTTATGTTCAATTCGTTACTAAAATCGATGGTATCATATTATTTTGCAGATGTTTACTTTGCCCGCACTACGACCTTTTGGAAAAATGAAATTAACAGCACAGGAGGGGTCTAGATTACGAGTAATTCGGGTGCAAACATTTACGTCCTCGGCAGATCCTTCATATTCCGAAAAGTGTTTGAGTTGCATCACCAATCAAGGAGATTTATACGTTATTAGTGTCCCAGACCTCAGGTCCGTTATTTGATATTATTCAACTATTGAACACCAATCCAAAAACCAGGTCCCATCATATTGTCATTCTCACTTATTCTTCCTCAATGTATTTCCAGAAAACAAATTGTATTCCATCAGTGTCTAAAACGGGTAACAAATAACTTTCAAATGCTTGCTTGACACACATTTTATGGCTTGTACAGTTCTTGCGTTACATAATTTTTTCCCATTTCAGGAAGATATCACTGGAATTTCAAGTTTTACTTTCAACGAATTTGGCGAAGGTAATCATATTACATTCTCGTTACCCATACATCCCAGTGCTGAGTTAAGATCTATTTTTCAGCCGTATATCAAATAAGTTCGAGCGAGCTGCAAAGAATAAGCATATCTACAAGTGGAGCCGTTTTTCCTCGTTGTTCCATTAATGGGCATGTGGAAGAAACGACAACTTCAAAATCAGAGTCAAACCATGTTGTGCTTTCGCCAATTTCACCCTCTACATCGAATACGTCGAGCATGCAGGTTGATGATACTTCTGAAGCCGGAGATATTACGATAGATAGTGTACGGGATCACACAAACAGTTCACCGCTTCCTCCTGCTGTGACCAGCACAACGTATGCCAACAAATAGTCAAACTAATTATCGTCGCAAGTTGAGAATTAGCAAGAGGGACAAAGTAAATTATACAGTTGTGTTTTTAATTCTTTCCATTATAGGGTTGTTGAAGAACGTCTTATCGACGGTGGTACGTTGCTTTCTACGTCGTCAACTGCTGATGGAGTTAAGAGTCAGATTCGTAGTGTCACCACCGGTAATAAATAAGTAAAATTTGTTTGCTTTTGTTTGCTACAAGTATTATGACCTGTAAATATACAACGTTCTCTGTTACAGTCACGACTACAACAGTAGTAAATTCCGTCCAAAGTAATTTCTATTAACTTCTGTTAAGCTAGTTCAAATTAATAATTTTATAATCAAAATAACAAATTGTAATATGCAAATTATATTTAGATACGAGTGCAAGTAACAACGCAGCAGCCTCCACATCCACGACAGCCTCCTCAGAAACCACCGTAGTACGTGCCCCTTTGGCAGAAGAAGAGAATGAAGAAAATAGCAACAATTTTGCTCCTCCTCGGGAATCGGCCCTTTGAGATTGTCGCAACTTAGATTTTATCTCAGTGGACGTTGATATTGTAATCGACCACCAATTCTTACTGTATTATTAGAATTACTAAAACAAATGCTTCTGACCGTTGCTATATTGCCTTGTCTAAACATTTCTCTGGACTGGAAAGATTGATGGCTGCCTCACACGTTAGCTATTAGGTTTAGTTGAAATAATAAGTTGTAGCTCGTACTTAATTCTCATTTCGTGCTATATGGTAATCCCGTCGGTAACACAGCTAGTTGTTGGCAATGCAATGTTATGTATGTATTAGTACTTATTGAACAGGCATTTACTTGTTAATTTTAGTTATTAAACTTGTTACGAGCGGTTTTGGGATATTTTATCGAATTGCATTTCCAATTAATTAGATAATGTTTGCGGTAGCTATTTAGCTTCTTTGCTAGTTGACGCCAATTTTTAATGAATTATATATATTCTAGTAGACTAGGATTTGTGCTGATTTGTAATTGTTATCAGTGGTACCATTTGTGCGTACCCTCATCACATCTCTCTATATACATATATATTATATATACGTATGTTAATAATCGTATCGACAATGATGACTCTGATCTTTTAGAAAAATATGTGCCTTCTAAAAAAATCAATCTGCAAAAAATTTTTCATTTCATTTCATCACACATGGCTGAATTAATAATTAGTTACTCCATGTTTTTAATTAATTGTGATTGATTGATGTTCAAATTGATCTTATATGACTGATGTTTTTCATACATATTTTGCAAAATTTCATGCTATAAAATGCACTTAACAAATAAAAATGAAAAATAAAAACAATTTCTTGTAATGACATACTGATAATTTTACAAGTTTTTGATGAATTATTCCAGCATAAAATATTAGTCGCAAAAAGTATTTTTGTTCTGAAAAAACTCTAATCGCTTTATTACGTAATTTCGTTGAAATTACAAAAAACGAGGCATAATGAGTACATGTCTACTCAACCGAAACATGCGTCACAACGAGGTAGTTTTATAATATAATATAGTGTAATATAATATAATATAATAATAATCATAACGTTAATATTGTTGATTAATGGAATAGAGAAGGAGACGATGATCTCTAAAGTCACATCACTCGGTGGTTGTTTTGCTCAAAAATATCAACAATTTTGGAGGTCAGACGACGACGATGAAGAGAATGTGCACCATCTGGAACTTGAGAATTTGTAAAGAAGATGGATTATTATGACGACCATAAGATGAAGAACCTATCACATGAGCGGATGCGATATATTTTCGATTTGTGCCCGCAGTGCAATAATAACACATCATCATCTCATTCATTCTATGGAGAACGGTAAACGCAAAACGACAACTTCAAATGTACGGATTCCGCAAAATTGAGGAGGTGGGAGAGAGGGGTTGCAAAAGTGAGTAATTGGTTACTGGTTGTCGAAAAATTTGACTTGTTGTTGAAAGTTGAAAGGGTTCTCTCAAATAATTTGATTACGTTTCCTGGCTTTTTGGATTTCAATTCGATTTGACAACGGGGGGATTATAAGGTCAATAAGTTTGTCTACTTCGGGGGAGCAGCAGCCATAACCAGGGGGTACGAGTCTTTTGCATTTATTTTGGTATTCATTGGAGAGTCAGTATATACAATAGCATTCTCCAGTGAAGTAGCTGTTAAAAATGCATTCCAATCCGATTCTAAAGTGACGGCTAGTTGTTCTGAAAGTTGTAAATTAATAAATTAATTCTACGTTTCTACGTCGTAATTACTTGATTAAAACGAAAAGACCCTAAATACATACCTCTAACGAAAGCTGTTGGTATGTTGGGTCGATATCTGTGCATAACAAGAATTAAGTTAATACATCAAATTATTCAAACCAGTGTCAATGATTTATGTCATCAGTAGGTGACATAAAACATTTAGACATAATAGGCTGAAAGATAAAATTATTAGTATTCGACCCATATATTGATCAAGATTTAATGAGATGCATGCTAAATTAAATTCCGAAGCACCAATAATAAATCTTACGATTTCAGTAGACATTTCAGGGCACATTTTCTTTCTCGATTGACGAACCAGTCAATAAGATAACCAGCCATTTTTGGCGACTCAGAATGCAATTTAAAAAACTTTGGATAATTTTTGATGGCCCACGCTGACCTTACTGACAATGCATGTTGGATTGATACATCTTTCTTTTCCTCATCGGTCAATTTAGACATCACTGTTCCGATATCTGAGTCAGGACAAAAATAGAATTAAATCAGTTTCCAATTTATATAAAAAAAGGTGGAAATAATTTTCAATTACCTAATGTATTTGCAGTAAATATGTAATACAAAATTCTATACGCAGTGAACTCTACTTTAAAGGTTGAAGGAATTTTCTGGTAAAGCTGAACAAGTTGTGACTGACATTGATTAAACTCTTCATGGTCACCTGAAAGAGTAAGAATAAAGATAAACTCGCTAACTTAAAAAAAACCCTTACCAAAATTAACAATCAAATTCCTCACCTTTCTCTAAGGCTATCCGAGCATGGGTTTCATAAACATTGACTGTAAATTCATTGCGAATACGTTGAACGGTGAGATCTTGACGAATAGATTTTAATTGGTCGCAAGCATAGAAATAATCAGAGTTTTCTTTCCATTTTCTTTTCACCATTTCCAAGCTCTTTTTCAGCACATGAGTTGGACGAATTGTGGAAGCATCAGGAGCCTAAACAGATTATGCAATATTAGAAATATGTTTCTAACTAAGAGGGTAAATTATTTTTTGTTCAGATATTATACTTACAGAGGTTAATCGTAGATATCGTTTCTCCAGATCTGTACTGAAATACATAAGAAAATAGCAAGGTCAATCACCTGTGTTTCACAAATTTCTTTCCATGAAAGTAAACCTAAACATTGATCTCTCTCTGTCTGTCTTATGTTATCCTATATTAATATAAACTTATCCAATTCTAATATAAAATTTCATTCTATTTAAAGAGTTTTGTTTGCTTTAGTTTATCATCATATATGCGTTGATAAATGAATAAATAGTTATGAGAGGTAATGACTCATATCTGTACAATTTGGATGGAGTGATTAATTTTGTAATTTTACCATGTTCCAATGACAGCTGCTGCATTGGCCCAAGACGAAGAATTATCATATGAAGATGGGTTGGCGTCAACTGCCCATGGAACTGCTGTAACAGATCTGGGAACATCAAATCCTCCGAGTCTGCTCCTCATGGAAGGTTTTCCTTTCTTTACTTGTTTCCCCGAACTAGAAGTGGGACCTGTAAATTAATCATGAATTATTATTAGATACAGATACGGTATCTATCACGATTTTTTATGTTAATCATATTATGATTGATAAGGTAGTGCTTACTGTCTTTTGCAAAGCGAGCGGCTCGGGCATTTAACAACTTCGAAGAAGACCCACTTTCAATATCCATCTGCATAATCCCTCCTTGGCTGTACATGTGAACAGGTTTTCCACTGCGAAATAATTACATTGTTTGGTTAGACTTTGAAAAAATTGACAAAATTACCCCTCGACATTAAGTGGTAACTATCTAACAGTATATTCTAATAAGAATGATGCACGCACCTGTTATCTTTCTTGCCTTTTTGTTGTTTCTTTTTGTTATTTTTGTTGTTTCTAACGTTGTTTTTACTACCTTTCTTTGAACCAAAATATTCAGGAGATTCGGAAGACCTGTTAAAATGTAATATACATTATGGATTCGGATTAATCAATGCAAAATATTAAACATTGTTATAAATCAACCTGCGCCTGCGTTTTTTATCTCGTCTGCTGGAAGATCTTGAAGAATTGGAAGAATTTGATCCGGAGCGGGATCGTGACCTGGAAGACGATGATGACCTAGACCTAAAATTTCTATTTCCACGTCCACGACCTCTCCCAGTATCTTTTCCTCGTTTCCCACCTCCTCTTCCCCCTCGGCCACGACGGCCTCGCTCACTACTGCTCATCGGTAGCTCGTCCAGACGGATGATTGGATTACCAGAAACTTGAGTAACTTTACCTTTGATTGGCCCAGAAAGCGGAGCAAATGGCAATGATTTTTCATTAATCCTGCAAAAATAACAACAACCCAATGTACACAAACATGTGAGCCGAAGTAACATAAAATAGCACATAAATACTGGTACTTAACTTTAATTAACTTACTCTGGAAGTGGTTCCTTGGACCAATCTTTTGACTGAAGTATGCCTTCAGAGGCTGCCCGGATTACTTTACCCTTCAAAATGATGTCAACCCTGTCTTTATCCATGTCGTTGGCACAAAGTGCGTAGCAGCTATACACAAAATCCCTGGAAGCAAAATATAAGTTTTGAATACTGGCTCCACAAAACCGTTAAACTTTATGGAGCATCATAGAAATATCGACAACTTACTGAAGGCTTTTAGGCCAATCGCTTGGATCCTTAAATAATAAAATAGATACAGTTAAATAAATATGCACTTCTGATTGATTATAATAGTAAAATACATAGTGTAGTGGAGTTCAAGTTCACTAACCATAGCATTGTTGATCTGCTGCTGTGTGAGAGTATGCATCGGATTGGAATTCTTTTGTTTTGAATCTGCAGGAGTGGGGAGAAGGGCGGACCGTTTGTCAATAGCAGAATATCCATTCCAACTCTGCTGTTGACTCATGGCCTCACCCTGTCTAATATTTCCTCCTCCTAACGGCATGAAGTTAGGATTCCCAAAGTCTTCGTCGTACCCATTACTTTTACTATTTACATTGTTACTATTACTATTATTAAATCCTCCCATTTGGCTACGATTGTTATTGCTCATTGCGTTGAACTTATTACTACTATTCTTCCCTCCCCCACGTTTAGGCTGAAGTTGAAATCGAATTGGTTTAGGACCTGCACCTCCAGGAATTTGAGAAGGCAATTGCTGTTGTACTTGATCTTGAACCTGTGGCCCAATTTTTTGCTGTCGAGATTGTATCCACTGTTGATAAGCCGAAGGTTGTCCACCACCACCGTATGGCGAATAATTTGATGATAAAGTACCTGAATCTTTTGGTGGGGGAGGAGGAGGTTGGTTCGGGTATGTCGAATCTGGTGGCTGTGGAAGGTTCATTTGAGGAATAGCTGACGGAGGTTGAGAGGCAGGATTAGAAAAATTCATTCCTTGCATTCCCTGTTTGAAATATGAATAATACCAAATTGTTAGGAAACATTACACATTACACATTAATTAAAAGCTTCATCGGCCAAGAAAAATTTGATGTTATACTTACAAAATCGCCGTAACCGTACATCTGGGGATAGCCAGCATAACCTGGAGGAGGTAGATGACTGCAAAAATTAAACATTATTGTGTACTCTGACTCACAAAATTACAAAAAACTGCTTATTCAATTAACGTATAACGTACGTGCTTCTTCCTAAATTAAATTAATTCAACTTACGAAGGAAATCCAGGAAAAGCGGAAAATTGCTGCCACGGATTTTGAGAGGCTGGTTTTGCAGCGCTATTTGTTGAGAGTGCTAACTGTTTTGCGACTTCTGCCGCCTTATTAATGGCGTCTTGGTCGTCCGACATGGTGAGATGGTGAAAATACTAAATCTTTACTTTCCCTACCTTCGCATTGGTTTTATTTCGTTGCTTCAACAAAACCAAGTTCGGACGCGTTCCAGACTCACTTTTCCTCAATAAACGTTGTCTACGCTACTTCTTTTGCCTTACAAATCCTGTCAGATCCTGTCTAACTTGAACACCTAAAACCCTTCTGCGTGTATAGAGATAACCCTTTAAAACAATGAAAAGCTAAATTATTTATGCTAAAAGGACTTTACAAATGACGAATTAATAATTTTTTAAACCAACTTTTTAACCTATTTATTAGCGATTCCGAAAAAAATATTAATAATTTCCCTATATTCTAATTTGAAGACAATAATTGAGAATAGGGCACACTTATTTTGTTAATTTGACATTAAATCTTGACCCGAGAAATCTTTTCCTTCATTTGTCCTCGTTCCAAAAATTGTGATTTGTGAATGGCTGAGTAAACAGGCGTTGTCTTTTATATTTTACGTATCACTTTTTACTCAAGACTCAAAGATTAGTTATTACTTTCAAAGTAATTTCATTTACGCAAATTTAACACTTGTCATTAATTTAATTCGCAATTAATTAATACGTGAGAAGAACGTATATAACAGACAAGTTCATTCTTGTCTTTCTACTCTTTCTTGAATGTGATTTCGTGTGTAGCTGTTACTCGATTCGAGTGTGGCAAGTGTGGCTCATGTGATCTATAACTTTCACTATACTATACTTTGTGAGTGGTTGCTTTTATTTGTATGGGCTAAAAACATGCTAAAATCTCACCATTTCTCCACATGCAGTCTAAAACTCGGGTGAAAGCATGCTATCAAACTTTCTTCGCTGTCTTTCGTATTATACGACCCAAATTCGTTTCATTTGTAAGCATTCTTCCTCTTCTGATGATGAATATGAAAATATGTATAAAGCTTTCCTTATCCAACCCTTTAAAACGACTTTAACTCAGAAATGATGGAGAAAGTTGAAACCTGAAAAAAAAGATTTTCTAACTCTAAAATCATTTTATGGCGTCGAGGCATGATAAATTATACAAATCAGAAACATGACCTCGTCTTGGAATTTTAACCTGGTCAATCAATACAAATACTGAATATAGGCCAGTCAGCATAACATTCTCGACATTTATTTTGTGGGGGTGGCTTATCATATGCAATTTTAAAACGTTTTAAAAATATTTGTTTTATAACGTTTGGTTGCACTTTTGCCAGTGGAGATGGAGCGGTGATGTTGAGCGTGTGGAATTTCTTCTCGTACATTGTGCTTGTGTGTTGAGAGCCCAGCCTGCTTCCTACCAAAACCAACCAACATAACAATTCAACAACTTCTTTCCACATCTCATCATCATCATCTCTCTCTCCAATTTCTCTTTGTGAGCCACCAGCCAACAAATTCTGAATTCCTCCAAGACAAGAACGAAACTACAACAAATCCCTCAAGGGCTCAAGCACTTCTTCCAGCAGCAGCAGCAGCGAACCAGGCTTCAAAAGGGGTTGGAGCAAGTGATCTTCAAAATTTCCAAATTACAAACTAGAGGTGAGTGGTAATATTGTGGGAGCAGAATTTTTCGGAATTTAAATTTTCTTGCGAATGTGTTTATACTCCGTCGTGGTTTTGACTTGACTGAGAACAGGGGGAAGCTAAGCGTAAAGAAATTTAAAGGGACTTTTTTAGTCTTCTATAGATTTCTGATTCTGACTAATTTCTGACAAAAGCAGAGTTTTTGTAACGGTGAGGAGAACTTGCAGAAATTAAAATTTAGTAGTGTACAGAAAAATATGGGAGATTGATGCATTTGTTCGTGTTAATAATATTACACGAAAAAATGCACAATTATTTAACATTTTCCTTAAAACTAACTAAACTATTAGTAAAATAATGCATAAAGGTCATTTGTAAATGAACGTTGCGATTGCGAATGATAGAACGATGGTGGATGAATTTTTATTATGATAGAGGAAAAATATTAATGAATCCTGCGTTGCTGGTTTCAGATTAAAATTGAAGCTGCACTGACTGATTAGCTGGACAAGGACAATTAAAGTTACATCACATCCGTGGTTCGGAATCAGTTTATCAAATTCGTCCTTCATCCTGCTGGGATCACAATTAATTCTCAGAAAATGACTTTTACTCGTTGCATCATGTTTTTACCTAACTATTCATTCAGCACTTCATAAAAATAAAATCCGTGCTATTTTCCCCGTCCCGTACGTCTTACAGTGAAATTAAAGTTTATTAAAGTGTGCAACATCAAAATGTGGTTATAAGTGACTGATATCGGTTGTTAATCAAATCAGTGTGAAGTGAGTGGAAGATTGAGGGCGGTGGGGAACGTGGGTGGTTCGGCGTTGAAGAATTTCTGATTAAGATTTAAAGACCATCAAACCAATACGCCAGCTCAACCCTCTAAACAGCTTATCTTCCTTCAGTAATCTTGTGATATATCTTTACGGTTCTCGGGTATGTTCTTTGTTACTAATGCTCATTTAAAGTAAATAATGATCAGAATTATTTTTGTAATGAAGTGACGCTGGAAATTCATAGCAGAGTGGCATATAGCATTAAATGGCGTGACAAATACGTAGGTCGTATACTAATTACGTAACTATAAGATTTATTAACGAATCGTACAAAAATTGAAAATTACTTTTATAATGACTTGCTATTCATTCAGTTTAATTAAGCAATCAGTACTAATAATGCAACCTTGACTGAGCAGTCAGTAGCAGTGTTTTTGTGGATGTTTTTATTTAGTCTCATTATCAATTGTTAACAACACCATCTGCAGTATACACTGCATTTTTCTATTGATTGCTTTATTTACCAACTCAAAACGCAAGAAAACATGAAGCAAAATTTTAAAGCAAAGCAGGTACAATAAAGAAAGACGTAGCAGACGCAGAACTTGTGTGAAATAATTGCGGAATCGAGTTAAGCAACCATAATGTCAAATGGTGTAATGCACGAGTATTTATATATTTATGTCGAGTTTTGTTAATACCAGAATTTGCAAGCAACTCGACTAATGTATAGCAGCAGTATATGCCTATGAGTAGTAGTTAACTGGCTTGTATTTATTTGCATACTTCTCCTCAGTGCACGATATGAATTGCGTACCAAGAAGTTGAATAAGTAAATATGTAAATATGGTAAATTCATACAGCACAAAACTTGCAGCGCATATTAGATTAATTTTCTCTCTTCACAACTACTAAACAAGTCGATCTGACTCGACTGACTTTAGTTTATGTATTATTACGACGAGCTCCATTTTATAAATGCAATAAGACGACATTAACGCAGATCGATCTCTGTTTAATGTTTGTGTTTTCGCCATTTAACTATTTAACGTAAATCTTGATAGTAATATAATTTAGTGTGATGATAAACTGTTAAAATACTTGATATGCCGTTACCCACTGCAGCAGAATTGAAAAAAAAACGCTCATTTACTTACCGTAGCTAATATGCAATTTTTATTACGCTTTTCCTTTGACTTTGCTAATGCTCGTCATTGAAATGCATTTCATGGGATGCACACAGAACACAGAACGCAACAGGTTAATTTATATTTATGGCTGAGCTCTGAAGCAGCCAATTATTTATGCAGTCAGGTATTAAACCTGTAAAAATTTAAACCACAACAGGACGACGGGCCAAAACGTAGAATAATAAGAATTAACAATTGTGTTTCATATCTAAGGCTCAAAAAAAGAGGAGTCAGAGTGCGTGAAGAACGAAGGATAAATAAACGAATAACTTTGCACGCTATTTAGATAGACGAATCCTGCTTTGTCGTGACTCATAATAAGTCGCAAATATAGCCAATTTCCGATTGTAAACTGGGCGAAAACAAACAAATCATTGGTTTCGAGCTGCTTAAATATTTTTTGAAACATGTCAAGAAATATTAACATATATTAATTTACTTTTTATTCAATCTTCTTATTCTCAAGTAAATCAATTTGTAATATCGTTGTTTGTTAGAACTGGAAAGATGTACAATTTTTTTTCTAAATTTCACTCTCACGCCGAAGCATAATTGCGAAAGAAAGAAATGTGCGTATTTCACGATCATTCGTTTCGCTCATCCAAACAAATACGGCTCGTGTTTCATGTTTCATTACACCAATGCAAAGCGAGCCAACAAGTTGGTTTACAAAATACAGTTAATTGTTCAATCTTCTCCTTGGAGTTAAAAATGCATTTAAACTACTATGACTATTTACGCTAAGGATCGTCCTAAGATAGGATCTCATCATCGTCTTCATTGTGTACATACTCTGTCACTCTCTCACAGAAGTCTGTCTCAAGTCAAGTACCAACAGTTCTTTGGTTTGGAAAGATTTCACTCTTCGTGTGGGTTGTTGGTTGGTTGGATATATGTGAATAACAACATCACCGTTGTCTGTAAATAAAAGGAGATGGTACAAAGATGTATATGTATGTAACACGGTTATATACTTAGAACCTAAAAAAGACGACGACGACGACGACAGTTGAACCGAAACTCATAAGACCATATCCACGCAAACCACCACGCAATGGTTCAACACCTAAACGAAATCTCTTTTAAAATGCATGTAAATATTCAACGTATAAGAACGTGGAGGTGGTGTCTGTCCTTCTTAGGGCAGAGTATTATTATTGGCTTTCGTTATCATGAAATAAATCCGGTATCCAATTTGTTGTGCGAATGATCGGAGTGTATTCTAAATGTCATATCATAGATAACTGCCAGCTAGACATAACACATGGCTTAATTAGAACTCGTCATTTAATTTTGGCAAATGTTTGTGCGTTATTTAAGCCAGTCTGAATTTCAAAATAAATTATACATCACGTTTTTACGTGTCTCATCGTAGTCAAAACTTCCTATTTTATCATTGCCTGGCTTACGATGGTCTTTAGCAACAATAGGAAATGTCCCATGGGAAATTTGTCTGGGTCAAAATTTATGACTCAATTCAACTGAAGAAAGAAAGAGACTCGGGAGACAAATAATATGCTGAACTCCAACAGCGTGACATTTACTCTTATTTTTTTATCTCAAATTAATTACAAAGATTCTTTTACGACGGTGATTTGCAAGTTCTGCTTGCATATTTACTTGCTCTGGTGTTCTTTTTGCTGTACTTGAATAATGCATTGCAAATATCAAAGCACATTTTGCGAGGTAACATTGTTATTGCATAGGGGACGAGGTTAAAAGTCAACCTTTTAGTGAACTTTATCAAGTCAAATACAGGCAGACATAGTAAAGGAGGTATAGGTAAAACGGGTCATAACATATAATAATGCAACACTTGACCATTTCCTCCTGGCAAATGCTGACAGATTAGATTATAGATTTCCTCTAATAGATAGTCCATAAGAGAATGAGACGAGTACAACAAGAACACAACTATGTTGTACAAGCACCAAATATGTATCGTTAAACTTATAAAACTTTTTTTGACCATTATAATCCGTCCCGACTTCAAGTCGACTTGTAGCCATGTAAGGTTTGCTCAACTTTAACAAGTTCGAAGGTTGTTTCATGTCGCAGACGAGTTGGATGATTGTTGGATTGGATTGTTGGATGATAATGGACACTCTGCGATGTGAATCTTTTTTCCTCACTACTTTGAAGTACTTTGGCCTTTCTGAACACGAGTTAAAACGGATTCATATAAATATATATTGACTCGAGAAAATCTGTTTATTTACATTGGAATTTTGGAGGAAGTCCTTATTCGCCGTTGAATTCATTACTTACGATACGAATGAGGAATTATTACTTTGCATTGTGTTAGGTTGACCTTGTTGTGCACTATGCAAAGCGTACATAAATGACAATGTGATATATGAATGATGCGATATGATTTTCATGTGGCGTGGCATATATGTATTCTGATATATTTCCATAAATGATTTGTCCAGCCAAATTATTGTTAGGTCCTTATTAGCCGAAAATCTATTTTGTCCTTTGTGTCTCGGATTACTTAACTTTCTAATTAATTGTTTATTGTTAGTTCCAACTACTTGTTTTATATTTACATTTATGTTTATTTGGAATTCGAATAAAACATCTCGCAAAAAAGTTTGTTGACTAAAAGCCCTTCCCAGTGTGTATAGTTACAATAAGAAACATGCCAATTTAACTGTCTCATTTGCACGTACATGTATATATTTCTACTATCTATGATTTGTTAGGTAAGGTGCGTAGAGTAAACAATTATTAATTATTAGAACTACTAGTGATCTGTAGAGTTTACTTAGCAGTAAATGAGCAAGAATTTTTTCCAAGAACTTTTCATAAAATCAGTCTAAATGCTAAATAAGCAGTTACTCATGTTATTTAGTACAATTTAGATTCATTTTGAATCCTTCATTACAAATATGCGCGTCTAAAGTTTATATATATTTTTATTCCACAGGAAGAATCTTGTTCGGATAAAGCAGACTGCGACAATGGAGTTGAGAGTTCGGAACAAGTATCGACTGGGGAGGAAGATTGGGAGCGGATCCTTTGGGGACATTTACCTGGGTAAGCCCATTGTTGCTGATTGATTATTAATATTTCGTCATATATATTTACTCACTCAATATCCTTTAAACTTTTATAGGAACAAATATCACGACGGGAGAGGAGGTGGCTATTAAATTGGAATGCATCAAAACTAAGCATCCCCAACTGCATATTGAATCCCGATTTTACAAACTAATGCAGGGAGGAGGTATGTGACCTTTTTTTGAGTATTGTATTGATTTTGTTGATTTATCATCGACTTGATGTTCCAATGTTTGTGCCTATTAGTTGGAATACCGTTGATAAAGTGGTGCGGTACCGAGGGCGATTACAATGTGATGGTAATGGAGCTATTGGGTAAGTATATTCGTACAATATATTATTTATTCAAACTAGAACTGGCATTAAAATTCAGATTTCTATCTATTTCTTTCAGGACCTTCCTTAGAAGATCTTTTTACCTTTTGTAATAGAAGATTTTCACTTAAAACCGTTCTTCTCTTAGCCGACCAATTGGTAATGTGTTTGATTAATTTGTCATCCATCACATCGATATTTAAATGTGTGTGACTGATTTTTTTCCGTTGTTTTAACAGATAAGTCGGATAGAGTCAATTCATATGCGAAGTTTCATACACAGGTAAGCATATAAATAACTAATAAAATGTACTTTTTAGTCTATAATAAAATAATCCAATGTTTCAGGGACGTCAAGCCAGATAATTTTTTAATGGGATTGGGGAAGAAAGGAAACCTAGGTAAGTGTTGTTATCATAACATTAGTGCAAACAACCGCAATGAAAGTTATCGACTTTGGATACTCATTTTTAAAACTTCATGCTTGTAGTGTATATTATCGACTTTGGACTTGCCAAAAAATATAGGGACCATCGAACCCATCAGCATATTCCGTACAGGTATGTCTTTAGTATATATTCTCAATGTTTCTGAAAGGTCAAGATATAATGCATTCCTATTCCACGCAGGGAAAACAAAAATTTAACTGGAACGGCGAGATACGCTTCAATTAACACTCATCTTGGGAAAGGTAATTAAAGAAATTATTTTAATCTGCCTGTATATGATTATGATGTTGATGATTAAATGTTTTATCTTGACCCATCACAGAACAAAGCAGACGAGATGACCTAGAGTCCTTGGGCTACGTGCTGATGTATTTTAATCGTGGATCTCTTCCCTGGGTGAGTCCTTGATTTATTTTGTCTTTCAATCATGCGGGGTCAATTTAGTCCATAAATACTAATCTTTGAAACTCAAGTTATCTAAATGATCCTCTACAAAGTTGTAACAAGGTTTGGTTAATATTAAGCTTTTTATCCCAATAACAGCAAGGATTAAAAGCAGCCACAAAGCGACAAAAATATGAAAGAATCAGTGAAAAGAAAATGTCCACCCCTGTTGAAGAGCTTTGTAAAGGTAAGTTACTTTAAAGGCTATCATTAATTAAAAAACGACTTCATTTCATTAATTATTTAAAGTTCATATTTTTTGAACCCGGGATTCTGTCCTTCGGGCAGCAGATAATGGGGAAGGGGGAAGAAAGTCCGATTCTGTGTAGCAAATCTTCTTGCTTTCTGGAAATCTGCTTCAGAAATCTTCCTCGTGAAGCCTACTTTCCTTCGTAGTCCATGATTAAGAATTTCAATGCCCACGGTGTACTGATCTGGCTTTACTCGTGTTTTCATTTGCCCCACTATCTGCAATAATACAGAATACAAAACGGTTTAATTTGGTTAGTACAAATGGATTTGACTTTCTCCTAACCTTCCAGAAGTGCTGCCAATAGAAAGCGTTCTCCCTATTTTCTACTGTAGTACCCCCTTCGAATGCAAAGTCCTAGAAAAATGCATAACATTAGTTTTGACTGTTTTTAAAATATGAGATTTTTATGTATTTACCTTTCGATAACAGACAGCTCCCTCATTCATTAACTCTACAAGACGTGATTGGGCATCAGTTCGATCATTCTGTTTGAGATGTATGCAGGTTTTGTTGAAAGACGTCCCAAAATAGAAGTAGAACCGGAACGGTATCTCATCAGTCCTTCCCAACGGTTTATCCATTTTGAGTAAAAAACCTTCAAATTCGTATGTAGCCATTGGACCCTTGTCTACTTTCCCTTCAGGAAAATATGCCACATACACTGTGCCGTGGTATGGGATAAACTGTTCCTCCTCAACGTTCTCCATTGCTGTAGGATTGAAACTCTATATAGGAGTCCGACTCCTTGTCATTTTGGGAGGATTCTGGCTCTATTTCTAGTAGAGGTGCTTTCTCCGCTTTTTTCAATGAGGCATGTGATGTGACGCTGATTGTTGCACGCCGATCATGTTCACGATGTCGTTGACGTGTATATACCTTTTGTTTCCTAAAAACATCCATCATCATGCACAAATTAGGCGACAGTTGAGTAGAAAATGAACTAACATATAGTATTTATTAGTTAAACTTACTGCTCATCAGATCTGCTATGTTGTGTGGTGATGTGGTTTTGAAAATTTCTTCTATCATCCCCCATGTATGAACAATCCTTGCACACGTATATCCATCCCCTCTCAATTTCATCTCGTTCTTCTTCTGATTTGTTGAATTTCTCTGCTAACCCTTCTTCTTTCAGAGCTGCAGAATTTGATTGATGGAATTTGGAAATATGGGTTTTGAAATAGGCCTTATTATTAGTGCAATAGTCACCACTCTTTTTCCCACAACCACTGTTTCCACCACCGTTACAAACAAATACCCAACTCCTTTCAGTTTCACTACGATGTTCTTCCTTCTTATTGAATTTCTCAACCAGACTTGTCCTCCTGGCCCTATCCATTTTCTAAGCTTAGTTAATTTTATTGGAAATCTAAAATTGGAAATCTAAAAGGAAGCAATAATATTTACACTAACGAGATTATTATGGTATCTCGGGCTAAAACCTGTGAATGCAGTTGTCAGAATGAGGTGCTAATGAAAAGGAAAGAGAAAAAAGATATGAGCCAAAGGTCATTGCCCGGGTTCATGCAAAATTAATAGTAATGTGTTTTATTTTTTAGGCTATCCAACAGAGTTTACAACATATTTAAATTACTGTCGAGCATTACGCTTTGAGGAAAAACCAGATTATGGCTACCTCAGGTAAAATTAAATTACATTACTTTTTTGAGACAAATAATTATTAACACGCTTTTAATTCGTTGGATCCGCAGACAACTTTTCCGTAATTTATTCCATCGACAAGGTTTCACATATGATTACGTATTTGATTGGAACATGCTCAAATTCGTAAGCCTCTAAATTAATTAATAAAATTACCAAGCGTACTGAATTGTACTTTGAATTAAAAATTATGTACATTTTGTTAATTTATAGGGAGGATCTCGAGGAGAAGGTGAAGATCAACGGGAACGAAGGCATAGTGCTCGTGGCGGGGCGCCTGGTGCTGGAGCTGCTGCTGGTCCCTCCTTGCAATTTTTGTTAAACCAACCCATGGTGACACTTGACCAAAGTGGCCAAGGTGGTCCAATCACAGTTCCCAACCCTTCTCAAAGAGCCAATGCCCCCGAGAGAATGAACGCTCTCAAACAACACCGTTCTGGGGACCATACCATCACTCCTTCCGGTAGTGGAAGTAATCTCGTCGTTGCATCCTCATCAATGCAACCTCCGTCCAACTCGCAACAAACAAACGCTGCAACTAATAATTCCACAGGTAATTAATAAAATAGATCCACAATTTTCCCACATCTCGCCTAAATTTATATGCATTGTTTTATTTCAATCTGTTAAGCATCACCAAGAGGAAGTCGACAAGGCGGTGGTGGTGGTGGCGGCGGCGGGGGCGAAATGGATCAAGCTAATCAACAAGGACGTCGTGGAAGTTTGGTAGTTGCATAATATTATACTTTACAATAATAATCAGACCAAAATATTACTAATTAGCAGTTGAGAACCTTAAGACTAAATATATCTCTTTTCATGTTTCAGCGCCTTCAAAGTCGTCAGGTTTTGGGACAAAATGGGGGACCTCAAGTAAACGGCATCAATAACCCTGCAACAATGGACTTGAGTCGACCACCTCCAGTCGCTAGTGCTCGATCGTCTGGACTTGTATAAATCTTTTCTAATTATATTAAATATATAACGACTCCCTCGCACTTTCTTAAACTGAGTGAAACCTAGAAATTAATTAATATGTGCAGCCGTAAAATATATACCGACCTGCTACTACAAATTACTTTATGTACGTATTGTGTAAAGCGCAGTACCTATAACATTGTTATTATCCACTAGTAAGTGACAGTAGACTTCCTGATAGGTTTCATGTAGGTCCAGGTATATATAGTTCGTACTCGTATCATCATTTGTTTAAGTATTTAGAATATTATTATGATATATTCCGATAGTCAAATATCGTTAAAATTAATGGGTAATACTAGTACTAGGAGGAGGGTAAATAATTTTTTGAAATCTCTATTATGACCGACGGTGAAATCCATCTCACATTTTTGCAATTTAAAAATACCAAAACTACCCCGTGTCAAGTAATTCATCAAACTACATTTTGTAATAAGTAAGTTGGGTATTTCTGCCAAATGCCAAAAATGTTCAAATTTTTCTGAATACCTTCCAAGCGGGCATTAATATTAATTAATATTATTGGGCGTTTTGTCGGGTGTGGTAGGAAGGACTGAGGAAAGCAAGTTGAGTTATGACGAGATAATGGTATCAAACATTCGTTTTCGTTATTAGAAGAATAAGACGAAACTTGGAAATAGTCCGGAATCAGATGTACCTACTGTTTCTGGTATATGGTGATAAAGACTTTGTTTGTGAGGCCAAACTTGCTTGAAACACACTGCACTGATAATGAATCACATAGGAAAAGGTTAACTGATATGAAGCACTGCTTAATGTGACAAGGATGATGAGTTTAAATCAGATTGATTGCATTCAAATATGTACTACCACTCGGTTTCGTTTATCAGATTCTTGGTTGAATTAGATTTTTTAAGGTAATCTGATTGAATGTTGATGAAAGTTAACTGTAACTAAAGAGTTTGACCACTCCACAACAGTTTGCGCAGAAATGTAATAAGTAATGTTTTAGTCGTGTGTGTACTGAATCACACTTGTAACTGACTGAGCCAGCTTTCCTTGAATACTAAATAAAATTGGACAACGATTAGTGTCGCGTTGCGTTTTTTCTGTGGTATAAAGTAATCATCATCTTAACTTGTACGTTTAGTTACTTGGAGTCGATTGTCAATTTCTAAATTGTGATTTTGCGGAGAAATTTCTTGCCTATTATCATTCATGGCTTAAAAAACTCAATTGTCCAATGCCTATTACTCTGTAAACCAAATAGTTGACTTAATTTGTCGATGTCATGCAAATCTTGACCTAAAGGAGATTTCGACCAATACAAACAAATTATCAGGAATTATTTCTCCCATTATTAAGTAGATTTAATAAATCCTATTGTGGTACTGGCTCCTTAAACGTCTAACTCTCTTCCCCACATATGAAAATGTTATTATCCACTCATCCAATTATTGTAAATCATCGCATTTTTGTTGACTATCTCCCATTCAATCACTAGGATAATTTAATAATAAGTTAAATTGTATTAGTCAGTTGCATTTTTATCTTTGTGTTAGTTTTCTATGTAATGATTTTGTCGAGTTGTGTTAATATTCAAGTTATTCTAGTAAGATTTAGGTTAATTGATTAATCGTCTGCAGTGCCAGACTTATTATTATGACGTAATCAACAATATTTAGTGGACGGATAATATGTGGACAATGAACAAAGGTTGTGTGAATAACTTGAATAATAAGAAAGTGTAATTATTTCAACACCCTGGTGTTATCATCATCTTATATGCTGTGGGCCTTACTTGATTCGATTTAGCTTCTTTAATGATCGACTGGATTTGTCTAATTATTTTACTTTCGTGTCCTATATCAAAGTATTTGATGATGATGACAACACACGTCACATTACATGTTCAAAATTTCAAATTATCCATGCTCTTGGTTTACTTTGATGATTTCTCTTTAGAACGACTTGAATGTTTCGCATAAAGGAAATAAACTATGAAGATAACTGACTGACTTGTGATTGTCCTTAATTACTTTTTTTTGCGTAAAACATAGAAATGCATGTAATTCCTGTCACCCTGTTTTTAGGTTTCTGGCGAATATTCCATATTGATTCGAAGGTCACTATTAATAGCAGCACTATAGCCGTTATTGCTGCCAATATTTTTTGTTAATTTTTCAATACTTTTTTTACGCTTTTCAAAATTGGATCATGCTTCATGTGAGACTTTTTGGTGTTAACCGTAAGAAGGTTTTACCCCTGTTAACCCCCAGGAAAATCCTGGTATCTGTCTGTGAACCCTGGTACTGCATGCATTTACATGTAAATACATGCATGCGAAACTGAAAGTATGACATTTTGGCCCCGTCCACACAGTCATCAGAGCAAAAATGGGGGCGCGTCGGTAAGTCCACTGTGATGTGATGGCCAGAATGGGGTTAGCAAATTTCTCTCCTGGTCTAACTTACTGCGTTACAAGAAAAAGATCAAACTACCCACAAAGGATTGGATTTTAATTTTAGTACTTAATCAGTCTCATGTATGTGTAGCATCGCTTTTTAGAACAAAAATGCTTTGTGGTATTGAAATGACACAAATTGCGCGTTAGTATAAAAATGTAAGTACAGAAAATCTGAGATTAATGTGCATGATCACGAATTTATGCATGCATTGCATACACATTTTCACCTTTCTGGACTCGTATTTGCAAGTGTTGGAGCGGGGATTTTTGCGAATTTTTTACCAGTTCTTTGCAACCTTGACTTTGTAGTGTAGTTGTTATACATCACATCTATGTAAATGGCATACGGCATTATCACCTGTCACTTTCATTTCTGCAGGCAGATACCATTTATGGAAGGTCCGGTGCAAAGTAAATAACGCATTACAGATTATGACTTGGTATGTGTAATTGTAGAGAGTGCCCAGGTGAACAAAAGAATACAAAAATTGCAAAAATATTATAAAACTAATGCAACATGCCTTCGCTCGCAAAAGCAATAAATTCAAAGTATCATTCCGACAATTTTGTGTATAATGGGCCAGAAGACGGATCTTTTGTTATTTTTGCACCGAAAAAGATTCCATTACTTAAAGGAGCAACACCTCAAACCCTTGTGAGTCACCACTTAAACATGTATTATTAAATTAATTATCATTAATTCCACAAGGATAGAAGTAGTGTTAAAATCAAAAACAAATTCCTAGTTCGGAATAAAAAAGAACTTTCCATCGTAGGCCAAAAGTGAACTTTCTTTGGTAGGCAACAGTTCGTTACCACCGTAAAAGAAAGTAGAAATTCACAGAAAAAGGCCACAGACAAATATCAGTAAAAGTCCCTATAATGTTACTAATTGCCCTAGTAGCTCAGAGGTCAGAGCACTTGACATGAATTCAAGGGAGCCGTGGTTCGATTCCCGGCTGGGTAACAATTTTTGGCATTATTCGGGATTTACGTATTTGATTTCTAAATGTATTATTAAAATCGAAGTCACAATAATTTATTTTTTGGAACATTCAAGGTTCTAAATGAATGCATGATTGACACTGCTGGAGATTTAGGGGAGCTTGAAAATGTATGTGCAAAAGTTGCTGAGCTTGATTTGTCTCATAACGATCTCAAGTCATGGGAAGAGGTATGAAATGAAAGAACCTTTGTTAGTCTACATAAATTTCTCCCCTGAAATAATTTATTTTTTTAATTCGAAAATAATTTAGGTATTGAAAATCATGAAGAATTTCAACAGTCTAAAGTTCCTTAATTTGAGCTACAACAAAAACTTGTCACAAGAAATTGATAATAATTTATGCCTCGATTTTGCTTCTAATTTGGAGACCCTGGTCTTAATTGGCACTGAGATTAAGTGGAATTCAATTTCTTCGCTTTTAAGCGTTCTCACGTCCTTGAAGGAGTTGCATCTTTCTTTAAATCAGATTCGTTGTCTCACCAAGGAAGAAGAGTTTTGCAACATTGAAAAGCTCACGTTCGATGGAAATCTAATGTCTGACTGGGGAGAAGTTGCGAAATTAGGTGAAGTGCGCAAAACCTTTATTTTTCGCCAATTAAATAAAAAAATAAAACTGTGTCTTAAACGGACCATGCTTTGAAACTATTATTCAGGAAAAACTTTCCCGTCCTTGAAGCAGCTAAGCTTATCCAACTGTCCATTACGCCTGCAAGTATTTAATTCAGATGACGTGGGCGGAAAGTGCGTCGAGGACACTTTTCAAAACTTGGAAGTGCTTAACCTTTCGTCCACATTGTTGGAAACGGAGGATGAACTTTTGAGATTGAATAATTTCCCAAAATTGAGAGAATTACGGATTTCCGGAATTCCATTTTTAGAAAGAGTTGAAGGTTGACCAAATTTTCTCACTTTTCTTTTATTATTCTCACCCATATACTAACTTGATTGATGGATTTCTCAGAAAAACAAAGACGACAAGAACTTATCGCATTGTTGCCAAAAATTCGAGTATTAAACGGAGGAGCTGAAATTATGCAGGACGAAAGAGAAAGTGCAGAACGATTTTTCATTCGAAAGTTTTTAGACGTGGAGGAAAAACCTTTGAGGTGATTTTAATGTGGCAAAATGGTCAAAACCAGCACATTTTAAATTATTGCTCGGCTCCTTGAATTTATTTTAAAATTTTGGAAGAGTGATTTGTAGAGAAAGTTATTGCCAATTTTGTGAAATATAAACTCCAAATTTCGGAACTGGCTTAAAAAGCTCGCCCCCATTCTATGTATCAATCAGCTTACTGACCAGAAATTTGTCGCCCAATAAAATAAATTCCCGTAGCTGAGTAGTTTGACGATTTTGGTGAAGAGTAATTAAGTCAGTCCTACGTTAACGAATAAAAACTTCCATATATTCATGATATATGGTCATATATATATTTGGGTTCCAGGTATTTCGAACTTACCGAAAAGCATGGACAACTCTTACCTTTGGCGGACATTAATTTTAAACCCGTGACAAAGGTTACGTTAAAAATCAAGTTTGGATCAGAGACAGTTAATCAGAAAATCAACTTGCGACAAAGCGTTAAAGAACTTAAGGTAAAAATTTGCAACATAAAACACTCCAATGAGTAAAATTGACTACAAATTTGCAGAAGTTCCTGGAACCAACTGTGGGCTTGCCTGCATCAAGAATGGATTTATACTTCTTGGACCTAGGATTGGGCGGTCGAAACATACTTCGACATCCCAACAAACAATTATACACGTACAATATGCACGACGGTGACGAAATATATGTCGAAATTAAAAACAATTGTTCCATGCAAATTTCCCAACGGTAGTGTAAAGGCTGGCAGTAAAATTAATAAGCCAAAAATAATAAAAATTAAACACTTTCTGTAATATCTATTCAATATTTTCTGTAATTATAAAGTAATTATTCAATTATACTAGCGAAACAAAGTCGTAATCTTTTAGCAAATTCCTTTATTATCATCTACATAAATACTTTAATTACGGTATCAATATCTAACATATACATGTACGTGATTATATTAAAATATGAACTTAACTTGACCTCACTAACTTTAAACAGTCTTCTTTCTTTCAACATGTCAAGTACCTACAAATTTAGGTACTTTTTATTAATAACTGAAGCAAACAATATCACAAACGGACAATTATTCCCAAATTGATTGATGAGATTCGTTTTATCAGTGACAAGGGACGTTGCGGAGTTGCTGGTATTCTGTAAACAAGATAATGCAATTTAGTAGTTAAGCACCTACATACTGCACACGGAGACTTTGTTTAGTCGAACTCAAAATAGATAAATTGAGCGTTACTGTACAGAAAAATGTGTAACGGTGTAACCAACCTAATTGAGCTTTGGCTTGAAGTGTTTCATACTGCGTGACAAAGTACTTGATTAAAATTCCAAACAACGCGATGAGAATGACGCTGCCGTACCTGTGAACATATTCGAGATGACAAAATTAAGTAATTAATTAGTGCAGAATCATCGGAATTAATGACTGAATATTAAATTATTACACGGCCACGGCTGCAATTCGAGTGCTACTTCTCCTCTCTTCATTTCCATCGTGCCATTTTTGGTCCTCCTCTTCATCCTCGGTTAACACTTTCGTTAGCAAAGAACTATTGGTTGCTGACGAAGAGTAGTTTGTGGCATTTTCTTCTTGACTAAATTGACATGATTTAAAATATTCACATTATTCAGAAACTTATAAATTCAGAAATCATTTTATACGGAAATTCACAAATAAATACCTAGGGTGATCCTCAGTTAGTGTAGAATTGCTTTCACCTCCACCAGAATTTGGCCACTCGTCAATCCCCTTTCCAATATTTTCGTCCGAATCTAGGGAACCTTTCGCTTGAAAATGTACAACTGATGAGGACGAAGTTATTAAGAAGCACAAACTTAACAGGAGCAGGGAAAATGTCAATATTGTGGGTGATAATATTCCGTTTAGTGCATGTCTTGAGCTAATGATTTTATTCCCGTTGTTCATCTTGGATTTAGATTTGTGTATAATTACTCGTCTCAAGTACAGTACAGATTACGATCAAAAGTAAAATACGCACTATAATTATTGTCTATTGTAGCAATTCCAGTTCACAATTATGTATGTATTATTGGGGTGATTGGTGATGAGTAAGTGGCACACACGACACGGGAGGTCGACGACGATAATAATAATGATATGACTAATGACAAGTGACTGCAGATAATCGCTTAATAACTTACTCACCAATACGAAGCACTATACACTATTTATCATTCAGATAAATCGTGTAGATTGATCACAGATTTTTATGTGTAACTAATAGAGCAAAGCGTCTCGTGAATCTGTCCAAAAATCATGGGATTTCGTCCCAGCTTGTCGTTCATGAAATTATTTTATTGTCGGCAGATGTAAAATAGAATCAATTTGATCGTGAATATGTACGTGGAACTCGTTAATATTTATATTTGTCGTATGAAATTCATCGAAATTGTATAATTTACAATCACAGTTCACAGTTCTGATTACGTGTGAAATGTCAGTTCCAAAGCACGTTCTTTTATGTATTTATGTACGTATGTATGGATTTATCAGGGTAGAAGCTCTTCGGATGGATGGTGCACAACACTTGACTACCACGAAATATTTTGACAGCAAATAATAATTCGTTAACTGATCTGATTGATTAATTTGTGCACTCGGTCTTAAAATTAGTAAATAAATAGTGACCACGAGTTGAAGGGATGAGACGAGACGATGCAAAATATTGCAAAGTTGACTTTTTCACCTTTTTGCAAGCAGTATCACGCACAAAGTTGTGTGGATGGAAGGGCATTTACTCGGTGAGATTTGATTTCAGAGACTGGAAATAGATAAGATATACAACATGGTTTTTTGCAGTAATTGAATTGTGAGGCAATTTTACGATAAAGAGAAGAGGTGACTACAGTTAATGGCGCAGAATAAATAGAGGTCTAAATTAGATGCAAAAGTGGAACTCAAAGCTTGGCCAGCAAACATTGACTAAAATTTAATTCATGACCAAGAGCGAAAATTATGGTTAAATGAGTGGCAATTATTTTATGTCGAACAGAAAAACTTGTAAAGCACGCAGTTTAACTTCTTATGTACGTGTGTGTATGCATGAATTTATGTGGTATTGGTATTGCGGGTTGAACTTTTAATTTCTGGACGATATGAACCATTAGTTTGCGACCCACCAAACCAACAACGCAGGTTGTCCAAGTCATAAAATTGGGTATATACGAACGATTAAGTAAATTGAATTATGGTCAAAGTCAACTACTGAATTTTATTTATTGACACGACGCTCACTCGGAACCTTTATTGACACAAGCTTCCCTTCTCTGGAGTCGAGTGGAGTGATGATGATTGGTATATTATTATTATTATTTTAGTTACTTTTGTTTTATGTGCATTGATAAATATGTAAACACCTTTTGTGTCAGTATTTATTTGGGCTAAAGCTTTAATCTGATAATATTTTCTTGGAAATAGACATGACGAGGGATGGATGCATATTTTATTTTATAACGAACCCTTGTGGTTTTTGGCCGTAGTTTTCCGCTCAGATAATTGTCACTTGATATTGATTTATGATCATAACACCCACAATACAAAAGTAGGAATTATTTTGTAAATGTTTCACTATTATAGTGCTTCATTATTATTATTATTTCTGATATTTGTGTAATAACATTGCTCAGAAATTCGCAGGGGATCAATGTCACTTGTGTTTTATTAATAATTTAGGAATGTTTGTCGTATCGCAAGCTATCTCACACACAATATTTAATTTTAGTTTAATATAATGTTATACTGAATATAATAATAAGTGATAAGGTTTGCTCACAGTGAAGGAGGCGAGGTATACCGATAACCTTCAACCAGCAAAGCATCACTATACGTTTGTTGCTTGTAACATGCAAATGTTATATGATTATTACGATATAAGTACGTTGCAATAAGATGGTTATTATTTAGCGACGCTGTTTAAGGCGAAACTTCGGGCTTACTTTTTGCTTTGCACCACACATTTTATTGTTCAAGTCACTACGAAACAGCAATGAACTGCTTGCATAAGAACTTTGTCATCGTTATTATAACTGCTGCCATAATTCAGCAGGAGTTAGTTGTACTGCTGGATGTGATGATGACGTTTATGAATACGTGGTTAGTTAATTAATGTCGCCGTGTGGTTATTGTTGCGTGAAAGAGTAAAACAGTCTGCTAAATATTAAGGACGGTATCGTATGCATTTGTATTATTTTAATTAATGAATCTGGACTATAAAATAAACTGAATGGAACAATGCAACTTTAGTTAGCACGACGTAAATCGGTATTCGAGACAGTTTGTGATTTTATTTTATAGATTAAAACTAGGACAATTGAAAATGTAAATAAGTAATTTAAAATACTTGCGATATAGGTATGATAAAAGTTAGGAACGTGCTTTCTTAGCAGGGACTATGAGCATACTGAAACTTGCTAACTGCATCAAATTACTTGTAATATGTACTGCATGCACGAGGACTTGTGCGAAGACAACTTTGAGAAGTAGCCTCGTGGGCATAAAAGCCGCAGATTTACAATGTTGGCGAATTCATATGCATGTATTTGAGCATGGCAAGCAAAAATCTGACCACTATCCATCCGTTCTAAATAAGTGAAGTAGTAAGTACTAAACTAATCCTAAGCTGCTTTAAACATGCGAATCTTGTCACGTAGGATTTACTGGTGACTGGGAAGAGAATTTATACAGCAAGGCAATTTTTTGTTGCATGAATTCTCCACTTGAACAGGATCTTGAATTGGAAATGTGCATCTTCACAGAATTATGATCATGTCTTCAACTACTTCTTAATGAAAAGGGAAATCCCAGTAAATTCCGAAAATTGTGACGTAATTTTGCGCAATGAGATATTAATTCAAAACTTATCTTAATGCTTAAACGATGTTATCATGTAACGCGTATAACTGACATATTATTGGGATTGCCGAATTATGAATGCATGCAACTTTGTGTAGTTTTAAAGTTGCAAGGTAATGAAGTCATCCAGTAAACTTCCGTACATTTTAAGTACACGTAACGAATCGTCGATTCTGTTAATATTTTGAGAAAAGTTTAAAAGGATCAATAAAGCAATTTTGAGACACATTTTTCCTTGATCGATTACCGAACAGTGAAAGGATTGTCGTGATTTGCATAAAGCATATCTGCATTCCACCACGTATGCCACCTTTGACCCACATATATTTATCCATGTTTGCTTGCATGGAAGTGAAATAAGATCGCTATAATATTAATAAGCTTTAAGTTAAATGCATTTAATTTTACGTCAAACTTTATTAAATCTGAATAAATAGTCCTAAGAACATAATTTTCGGTAATAAATAAGTTAAATTCCAATTTTGTGTAAAAGATGACAAGGAAATCTATGCATTTGTCTAGCAACTGTCCGCTTCGTTCATGTCGAAAGAAACGACTTCCTCGTCATAACCTGGTGGTGGGGGTGGTGGCAAATCCGGGAATGGTCTGTGACACAGTGAAAGCAAGTTTAAATTTGGTAATTAACTACTAAAAGAGATGATGGGACATACCCAAAATGTGGAAGTCCAGAATTTCCACCCGAAAAGCCTATTCCACCACCGAGGGGACCATACCCTGAATCTTGAGGGGGACCATATCCTCCATCTCCGAAGGAGCGACCACCGTGTCCATGTCGACGATGACCCCTCCTCCCTTTACGATGCTTCCTGTGATGACGTGCCACTCGACCTACTGTGGTTTCAGAGTCGGGAATTTCATTTTGGGACTCAGCAGCCAATGTAGCCGCGACAGAGTCACGACGAATCCGCGAGGTCTTATAATCTCCAGAAAAGATGTGGTTGACGTCGTCATCAGCACCTGTACAACACGATTTTAGTATATCAAGGTAGAAATATATGTACAGTCTTTGAAGAAAGCTGACTTACCAAGTACGGAAGCTACACCCCACAGGACCACCGTGAGACATAATACCCAACGTATCATGTTGATATGTAAGTTTGGATGGATAACTTATTTTCCCCTTCCTAATTCATATGGAAAGGTACTTCGCACTGCGAAACTAGTGCAACCACCTACTTATTGGTATTTGTTATCCGGCAATAAATAATGAACAGTGGAAAAAGTTCATACAATACACATGCTTATGAAAACAAATAATGAACAACATATTTATTGTTCTTATACAAATAATGAAGTACAAATAGTTTATTAGAAAAGAAAAGAAAGAAGTTGATAAACGAATTTTTAAATTTGATTGTCAAGAAGATCACCTTGAACGGAAGAGATGAAAGGATAGACGATTTGGAAATTGTACATAGTACTTGTCAACTTTTTATGAAATCTCAAAACTTTTGGTGAGCTACAACAGCTCGTACGCCTCCACGTCGACTTCCATGCAAAACAAAAATGTCAAGTTCAAATCACCTCTGAGAAGCATAATGCCATTAACAATCGTAATAATTTGTAGTAATTTAAATACCCGGATAGTTTTGATGAGCTGCTGGATTGTCAGCGTTTCGAAAACGGCTGAGGAATGGGTTAACGGTTAATCGCATTCTTCGTCGGGAATACCTTGCTAAATTTATAACCAAACAGAATTGCCTTTGTTAATAGGTTTAGCTTTTTTCGATTTACAGTAATGTTATCGACATAAAATTATGACCAACCTCTCATATTGCTTTTCCAAATAGCACATGACGTTTTCAATTCCTCACACCTCCAGGAACCGGATGAACAGAGTACGGACAGCAACCCAAGGATAAAAATGACGAGGATACACATCGATATGAAAATGAGCACTTTGTACTTGAAGGGCAGCACGCATGGAGTGGGTGGGGTGGTTGTGGTACTGCTGACCGGTTGGGTAGTAGCACTGGTGGCAGTGGTTGTAGCAGATGGAGTTGAGGTTGGCAAAGTAGTGGTAGTGGAATTGGTGGGTGGACTATTTGAAATGAACTTCAAACTAGCCACTACTCCAGTGAAACTCCCATTTTGCTTCATTATATCCGTTGTTGTTTCTATTTGGTTCCCCGTGATAGAAAATTGGGGAAACTGCCCTCCCGTACTGACTCCCGGTCGGCTGTCCTCAACCTGTGCTGTTCCCGTCACATTCTTCAACACCTTTGATAACTCGGCAAGATCAATATCGCCAGAAAATGAATACCACACATGAGAGGGTGGTGCTGGTGTTGTTGTTGTTTCAGGAGTCGTCGAGTTACTTGGTGTGGAAGGAGTAGTGGGTGCGGTTGTAGACACCCTATCATGAAAATGAGAATTTACTAACACACCGGTTTAAATATTACTCCTATTTAATTGTTAGATTAGAAGCACTTACATTGGTTTAACCGTTTCGGTCGTTGCTGACATTGTAGTAGAAGCATTTGAACTGGTCCCCTTATCTGTATATCATCAAATTAAAAGCCCAATAATAATTTGAAATAAACTATTTTAACAGTCATTATTCAAACCGTACCCCAAGCACAACTCTCACGAGGAAGTCCAAAAATTAAGAACATCCCTAACATTCCAATCAAAACATTTGACGGTCTCATCATTTTTCTCCCACAAGGTCGAACCCTTAGGAAAAATATCATCCTAAATGCGTTCAATAGACGCAGCGCAAATTTAGCGAGCTTTACAATAGTCAAAATACACAACAAAAGAAAAAGATTGCTCATTAATTGTTTTCAATTTATGGTGAAAATTTGAAGTTGACTCAGAAATTAAGAGTCAGAATTGAAGCGAGCTGACGATGAATTTATTCGTTTGTTTACTGCTGGACTGGAGCAGGCAACTTTGCTTGCTGGCTGGCAGACACGACTTTTAATTCCAACTCACTCAAAAATACAATTTCGACTTTTCAACTGTTCAAATTTATAAAAAAATATGGTAAAATAAGTTAATAAAATTAATATGTACTACACGTCTTACAAAAACCAAAACACGTTTTATACTTTCTTTGTTGTTTACAGAAGATGAGAATTTATTTCTTTTTAAAACTCCAATCCGATAATGCCACAGTAAGGAATTTTAAATAGTTTACATTGACCTGACCTGCAACAACTACTTTATGCAGTACATATAAAAGTTAGAGTTACAAATTATTATATAACAATACATTAAGAGAAGGGAGTGGATGGGTCAACATTTTTACGTGGGTTTAATTTTAAATTAGGATACAGTTTCTTTATGATTTGACAATTGATATACAAAGATTTAGTAAAATAATGTAAATCTTGAAATTTGTCTTAATCCATCCTAGTTCTCAGGTTGCGAATTGTAACCTTATCCTTCTCACTGCAATTTAAAAATAATCATATAAATATGGAGACAATTAAACCAACTAATAATTGTCATTCAATCTCCAAACTTAGTTCTACTTACATGACATAAACCTTAGCTCCCCATCCAGAAATGGCGTCACGATCACAAGCGTTGACCAAAGCTTAAAGTAAATAGAGGAAAGGCTTAGATTAGAAACTGCATCATAATTGTATTTATTGTAATAAAATCTGCCGTTATGCCTGTTTCCAACCTTGAGAGACGGCTTCAAATAATTCGTCAGGATTCATATTTGGTTTCCACAAAGCTTCACACATCCCAAACAATTGATCGTCACAGGTTCCAGCAGCGACAAAGTCTTCCGGCTCGCTGACACACCCAATAGAATCGAACGTCGAAATGTATGGTTCATTATTGCCATCCAGGCCGACCACGATGGGTTCCACGAAATATGGACCAAATCTGCAAATCACGATAACACATTCGGTTGGTGTTTATATCTGCCATTGTTATTTTTTAATACTGAATTTCTTGCATATTGTTTAATAGCAAACCTGTGTTCATATAAGAGATTGGATATCATAGCGCTCAAAACTTTTGGAGACACTGGTCGATTTTCCTTCAACTCGTAAAGATTAGTTCGAAACTTCATCCTCTGGTTGACGGTTTGAGTGTCGGTGGCAAGGCCGGGAATTCCCATGTAGATTTTTGGACCAACTTCGAAAATTTTATCGAAATCGAGACCAATAGTTTGTAGTTGGATACCGAAGCGTTTGTCGGATGCAATAGCGACACAGCCGTTGCCCTTCATCCCCACCACAGCACCTCCATTGTATGCCAAGATAGACTAGAAACCAGAACATTTGTCAATTTATTACAAAAATTTCACATTTAGCATCGGATTTTTTGCTTTCGTAATTTGTAAAATAAATTTTGTATACTAGGTGCAACCATTACAAGAAACCTTACCATTTCGACACTCCTCCTTCAAGTCTGAAATACTTAAATGTACTTGTTGATTTATTTGAAATTTGTAGTAAAATTTCCTAAATAAATTGACAGCACAGAGAAATCAAATTGCAAACTGTGCAAAGTAAAGTGACTCGGCGTTTGGGTCTGAAAAGCTCAATCGGCCGCTGATCACACTCTATGCTGTATTTCATCTCATCTCACTTTTCTCTACTAATTTACTGAATGCACAACTTGAGATTCTCAAGTTGAGACAGAAATACGTACTTACGTGTAGTTCTCATAATTTGCAACAGTCTTGCGTTATATATTTTTATAAGTATTTTGCAAAAATTTCGTATTTGGTGTACTGAAAGAATCTTATAAAACAGGTCGTCATTGTTTCATCTCAATCTGTACGTACCACATTGCATGCAAATGTCACGAAATGGTTATTTTGGAGGACAATTTTATCATTATTGCAAATATATACGTACATAAATATCATTTGATATTAGGGTTCTTACCATCCTATTATTAGTCGTAATCGATATTCAAAATGACGATGTGCGTGTAGAGCTGAGGACTTCATTTGCAGGTTCAGCGTTTTATATGAATGAGTTCATTGAAAGTAAGGTCAGTAAGACGAACCGTTTATTGACACCTTATTATTTGCAATAAATATTAAACATAACATACTTTGAGCCGTAACGTATTATAAAGTCGGAGTATCAAAAAATCTTAGCCAATACATTTTATCCCGGTGGAGCCAGTCGAGTTATATTTCCGTCAACCCCCAGAACAGGGTCATCAAAATCATCTTCTTCATCTTCAAAATCCACTAGTTCCTCTAAATCTGCATTATCGTTGGGTTGCCATCTTCTCTGAACGAAGCGTAACAGTAACAAGACCATCTCGATTAGCATCCTTGCGAGCAGCACATGCAGGAGCACTATGCAAATTAAGAAGATAGTCTACAAACTACGTTCCCTTGAATATGATTAACCCTTTAACGTGTATGATTAACGACAAGAAAATGCATTAAATCGGGGACACTATTAGTATGTTGTGGTCATGGCGCGGGAGGAGAAATTCAGGAGTTTTTAATAAAACTCGAAAAACTGAAAAATTAAAAATTTAACATTGAGTTGTATAGAGAAATATCCAAATTTTTGGGAAGAAAATCTTCAAAAGCATTGTGTTGGCATATGAGAAATCCCTCAAAATTGCAACAAATTTTAGGTGGCGGAGAAAATGGTGAAAATCAATGACCTCCTAGAAACGACAATTGTCTTCCTTCCGCGCCATGACCACAATTTTTTAGGATGACTTTTGTCGTACTCCCGAATTAAATCATTTCTTATAAAACGACGATTGTCTTGGTTTGGTTACAGTGTAATGGGTTAACTGGCGGCGTTGGGGATAGCCCTTGGGTCACTGCAAAAACGTTGCAAGATGGGTGAAATCCTCCATTAAAATCTGCCGTGTAATTGGCCGCATCCTTCATTAACGTGCTGGAGAATTATTAATTACAAATATTGCCGAATTATTATGCATACCTCGACATATTTTTTAGACCAATTCTCACCTAGTATCGTTTGTGTAAGGGGCAGTGGCGTGATTGGGTACCAGAATCCTGTGACGGTCCCCTTCCTTGATATGCGGTGATATGTCACTTTAAAATATCTCTCGTAATTTGTTTAACAATTTAAATTAGTGAACTAAACGGAAACACTTTGACGTGGCGAGAATTTTTAGTTTTAACCGAGATATTTAAGAAACAGCTTAAAAATGTGTGAAGGAAAGGGTCGTATTTTGAAATGATACATTTGCACATTCACTTCAGTCGAAGGGAGACTACCTGATTTGTCTGGATATATATGTACATATGAATACAGATGAATGCAAACTCTTCGTTTTTATATTCACTGTTACACATTTTCCTGAAAACTCACGTCCCTCAAATATGTGCATCATAATATGTATGTATGTAGACTTTGATATTGGTATACGTGATTATTCTGACATTTTTTAGAGTAAGAAAGGTTCACAGGAAACTTTGTACGCTTTTACGTGTTCTCATAAGTTTTAAAACAATTGTGCTAGAAATTTTAGAAGATTTTTAAAAGTTTTCAATCTGCAAATTGCAGACTGCAATCTGATGGGGACAACGTAGTTCGGTATTTCGAAATTATTTTATTCGCACTTTATTTGTCACAATAAATATTAAACATAACCAACTATTTAGTGTGAGTCGTAACATATAAAATCGGAACAAATCTTGAGCCTGTCCTTAATAAATTTTATCCCGGTGGAGCCGGTCGAATTATATTTCCGTCTTGAACTACAACCTCCAGAACAGGGTCATCAAAACCATCATCTCCAGCTTGAAAATTCACCAAAGCCTCAAAATCTTCATTGTAGAGTTGCCGTGTTATACGAACAAAGAGGAGCAAGACTATCTCGATTAGCATAATTGCGAGCAGCACATACAGGAGCACTTCGTAAACGCGGATGGAAATTCCGAAGATAGAGTCATCAAACTCTGCATCCCCTTGAATAGGATTAACTGGGGGCGTTGGGGATGGTCCTTGGGTCACTGCAACAACCTTATCTGTCGTGTAATTGGCCGCATCCTCCATTAGCGTGCTGGAGAAATTATTAATTACAAATCTTGTTGAATTGTATCGAGATATTTTTGTAGACCAATTCTCACCTAATATCGTTTGTGCAAGAGGCAGTGGCGTTAACGGGTACCAGAATCCTGTGACGGTTCTCTTATCACTTTTTAAAATCTCTCATAATTTGTTCGACAATTTAAATTAGTGAACTAAACAGAAACACTTTGACGTGGCGATGATGGTCATGTATGTACCATGTTCGAAGAAGGCATACCAAATAATGGTCAATTTTAAAAGACGGCATACAAAAAAATCCTTCAAACAGAGTTTTAACCGAGGTATTTAAGAAAAAGCTTAAAAATATGTAAAGGAAAGGGTCATATTTGAATTGATGTATTTGCATATATGTACATTCACCGAAGGAAGACTACCTGATTTGTCTGGATATATACATACGTATGCATATAGATTGATGGAAACTCTTCGTTTTTATCCATTGTTACACATTTTTCTGAAAACCCATGTCCCTCAAATATGTGAATCATAATATGTATGTATTCAGCCGTTGATATTGGTATTGGTATACATGCGTATTCTGCATTTGTACATTTTTCAGAGTAAGAAAGGTTCACAGGAAACTTTGTACGCTTTTACTTGTTCTCATAAGTTCTAAAACAATGCTAAAAATTTTAGATGTAATGCGATATTTAGAAAATGAATATGGTCAGCCGGAAGTTGACGAATTTCGCATTAGAAACGAGAAGTTAACTCAGGTCCTTAAAGATAGTTAATTAGAACCTACATGCATTATTAATGCTCTCGTCAAGCCCTTCGGGAACGTCGTATTACTCATATAAGGATATGTACTTATTGTCTATATTATTTCATAATTTTTTCATGTCAAATGATTTCACATAATTTTCAGATATATTTATTATAGGAATTTAATTCCTTTATTTTTCTCAATTTCGTATACATTTTTTGCAAATTGCACAATGTGCATCATAAATAAATATGTTTGGATCAAGCCCTGGTGGATGTAGTATCCGGGGGCAGAATGAAACTCACGGAAGGATCCTTAACATGAATCACTGTGAAAAGTGATTGTTGTGGACCCCTCGGATTGGTCTCATGTTCGGCAAACTTGGTCTTCTGGTTTACGCGAGGAGCGAAAGCATCGCCCATTTTGGAAGGTGGAGAAATCTTTGGGGGTTGGCGTCGCGTCGGTACCAAAAACATCGCAGAGCACGATTCGTTATTACCGTCAGAATCTAGTAAACCTATGTATGTAGTGAATAATAAACAGTATTATTCTGATTTTCAAAAGCCTACCAAAATTGGACGAAGGAAAGTTCTTGAAATTGTTGGTCTTCTTCTTTAATGGAATTTTATTCCGTTGTTCACCACAATTTGTCTTACTACATGAAACCATGCAGAATTGTGTGAAAATCATGGAGAATAAAACCACAAAGAATACAAGAACGATGCCACAAACGACGAAATGTACTCCAGAATAAGCCAAGTCTCCTTTAGTGGAATCGACATCTTTTGGGCTGTTACAGTTAGGTATGATTTCTGGAGGAGAAAGTCCATCATTTGTTACGATATTCTGGGAACAGTTATTCGGACTGGGATTCTCAAGACGGGTTTCCATTGCATTCCTACATACATACAAGCATATGCGGGGAATTTGAGACGCAGTAGATCAACGTGGCTGAGGAGTTGCGAAATTATATAATAATGATGCTTAAGATAAGATATGATAAGCACATACCCTTCGCCCCCTTCGTAATCAGCAAGACCGTCGTTGAAGTCGGTCACAGAAGTGTCCATTCGACTGGGAAAAGCGGACGTCTGAGCAAAAATAATTGCAAGAATGGGGCAAAATATGAGACGCAAAGTCATTTTTCTATTTCAATCAGGTAATAAATTCGGTCGAGATTTGTGTGGAGGATAATTAACAATATCGATGGATAAGAATGAATGTAGGTCTGATTTTGACTACTCCTCTACCGAAGAACGTTCTGGATAAAGAATATTTTGATTTCAGTTCTGAGTTCCGGTAAACAAAATGGTTCAAAGTATTGGAAGGAATGTGTTTTTGTTTGGGTTGTCAATTTATTTTAAATCAAGTAATAATATTATACCAGGAATTGCTTCAGCTCGATTCGTACCACTTCATACACTTGCCTCATTTCTTTCGACTTTTAGACTGGCAAAAACTTTACAGTACAAAATAATTCAATCAATCAAAACCCACCACCTCTTATTACAAACATATAACTGAATACCTTTATTTCCATTTATTCTCAAATTCATATCCTAACAAGTTTCTTATTCATTCGATTAAAATTGATAATAAAAAAATCACACCATTTTTTTGGCACCGCACCACCAATATTGTACTAATGCAAATAAATAATATAATATTACCATTTTGGTGCTTTTTATTATGCATGTAAAGTAAATACTATTCCACTTAAAGTGGTTTCGTTTTACGTTTTTCTACAACTCCAGTCGGGCAGCAGTTGAGTTGAGACTGGCTGCCGATTGGAAGTTGAAGAGAAAATGGCTTTATCGTGTAATATGAAACATTACAGAAAATTAACAAATATCAGATTGTTCAGGGCAAAAACTCCTTAGCTGTTTAGTACAGAATAATAATATAGAACTTGATAACTTGAGTATAAAAATCAGTCTGGGCTCCAAGAAATAAGTAGGTATTTAGTAGTTAAAGGGTACCAAAAACTCTAACATTTTTCATAACAGACAGCACAACAAAGTAGATTATTTAACCCTTGATATTGGGCAATAAAGTATATTTTAGTCATGGATCGATACGAATTACGAATAATTTCTATTCTAATTTACTTAACACTTGGCACAATAAAGTTGGATTCAAGTTGAATAAATGACAAATTAATTACCATCATTCAATGTAAAAATGTTGTTTAAAGGGAACAATTTGAGGAAATAGATACTAAATAAAGTTTGTTTTTAGGGAGGCTACATTTTAACTCTACTCTTACTTGATTATTTGAAAAATACTGTACTTAAATACCAACCTTCGAGATAAATTAAGGTCTAGCTTTGTAATTCTCAGCTGCATCAGATCAGAAAAGTATAAGTACAACAAATTGTGAAAACTAAATAAACATCGCAAATATTATTTCTCCAAGTCGAACAAGTGAGCATGAATCACTTAATTAAATAAGTATAACAATAATGATTAATATGACTCGTTTTTTTATGACGAACGGAACTAACGTAAGGAACGTACAATCAATCACGTCGTGTGTGGTACTTGCTACAGATAATTATGTACAAATAATTAAATACCACTACTAACTAACTAGCATTCTCTTCTGCCTGGCTGAATTTACGATGAGAACGCCAGTGGCACAGCAGTTCCAGAGATCAACATGATGGTCAGCAATTGAAATTTGCTAAGCCAGGTCACTTTTGCAGTAGGAAATATGGGAGGACTCGAGCTTGGCAGTGTCCTAAAAATTCAATTTGTGTATTTTTTCATAAAAATGTATTTCAATTTCTATACTCACGGGTCTTTGTCATTCCATTTCTCCGTTGTAGTGCTTCTACTGGCATTTCTACCGACAAAATAAATTGTTAAAGTCAAACTTCTTCATGAATTAAATTATGAGACGATGATAAGTAAATTGGTAAATTATAAAGTTTCAACTTTACCTGATGGTTCTGGCGTGAAACTCTTTATCCACGGAATCAACCACCATTCCAGCATCCACGTAATACGTCCACACAAATATCCACCCAAACACAAGCCAAAAAGACGGACGGAAGAGGAGGAACGCCATATTTCTGCCGTGTATTACTTATTGTCCCAAGTTGTCCCAACCTGCAGAAATATTAAGAAAATTGCTGCAAATAAGTAAACTTACATCTTATCAGGATAAAAATCAGTACAATTACCTTGAAGACTTTGCTTTCCTTTCAAACTCACAGCCGCTCCCACATCCACCAAACCAATTGTTTCACGCTTGTTCTCGTCCGTGCTAAACCAGAAACACGTTATTATTGCATATTTTTGCGAAATTTGAACAAAACTAGCTCACAATCAGCCACATGTACGTATTAAATTTATTCTCAAGATGGAACAATAGAACGCCGTTTCATGTTACGCTGATTATTATATATCGTGGCAGCAGTTTGTATGAAATGTATATAGAATATGCACGTATGGGTGTAATGGGTTCAGAAAAACGTAATCAGAAACAATGCTGCTACTTCTGCTGCTGGTGCTGCGTAAGTATTAAATATTATTGGACTCACAAACTTCTTCTTCTTGTATTCCACATGAATGATATCATGTCACGACGACGACGACTACGATGGCTTGATATTGCAATACAGTACATTTTCCATGCACACTTGAATATCAAGAGTATTATGAACTGAACAACCTCGCCACCAAGCAAACCAAGCAGCGAAATAACTATGCATTACTGACTCTAACTATGCAAACTCTAGCCAATGTTTTATCGATTTAATGAGAAAATTCCGTGATTATGTTGGGCGAACAAGTAGTGTTCAGGACACACGGTATGCAAAGTGTCCTCCTCCGTCTTCGTGCGGAGATAGACAACCCATGCAAAGAACAAAACAAAGGCGGAGGACGAAGACACGACAGAATGACAACAATATTAATTAATTAATTAACACTAGCCTCACTCAAATCTAAATAATTCATATACATAAAGACGGACATACATACAATACACGCACATGCCGGAAGTGTACACAAGTCCAGTTTTGTGCAAAAGTAACAATTAACATGAAATATTTGGATGCAACAATTATATTCATTAAGATTAAGGTTATCTTCTCCGATGATTACCTTATCCAAAGTTAAAAAAATATAAGCTATCCAAACTCACCCCGTTCGAACGTATTTATTTGTGGATATTTTTATGACTTGTTTCTCCTTCTGTTAACACTTTGCTTGTCGCAATTTCGAGCACAGTTTGCTTTTTAACTAAGCTACACACTACCACCAAGCAAATTGAGCTACGCAAATAAATCGGCGTCTCGATACGTGTACAACTCACTTTTTGACACGGACTAAAACCTTCATACTACTACACTTTTCCTCAACTAAACTGAACTGGATCTCATGAAATAGAAATCATGGCCACACACACATCAGTTTCATGAGTTTCGTGGCTCTCCTCCTCGTTGGTTTGGATACCTTTCTTCTTCAAAGTCGACGAGGAACATATTATCGACGAAATTGAATCCCGGGTTGGTTGCTACTTGAATGATTTGGTAACTATAACAAATGTTTCCATGTAGGTTTAATTAAATTACGTCTATTTGACACGGTCCCACTGTGAGTGAGTGAGTGAATATGAGGTGATGTGGAGCTTCCACTTCTTCATGAAAAGCTCACAGAATCAGAATCATGAGTTTGCTTTGCTGCTAAAATTGTTGACGAACTTGATAATACGTAATGTCGTGAAATGAAAATAAGAAATCTTGCATGTACAACTGGAGGAATAGAATTACTTTGCTTTACTGGTTGTTCTTAGTTTGGAGAGAAGCCTAATAAATAAACTTGATAAAAATATACTCTGTGTTATTATGCTTACTTATTTATGCACTCTGTAAATACTCGTGTAAGCACGCTAATCACAAACACCCAGCCAATATTAGTCAAACCGATCCATATATGAACCAATAATAACCAGTCTACCAGTTTCCAGTGTGTATGTTAGTGAATGATATGTATGTAATGTAAATGCAAAGCATATTAATAACAGGATAGTAATATAGCATGACTAATGTCTTAATGGAATGCATTATCAAACTGGTATTACATTACACTCCATAAAACGTACGTAGCAGAAATATGTCGCCTACTTTTAATTCGGTATCGCAAATTTAATAATGAAACAATATTTGATTTCATTTCCTATTGAGAATAATAACAATGCCGTAATTGTCGTATGATGAGTCAACCCTTCTTAATGGTACTTACTTTTTTATGATGCGCAATTTTTGGCACTTTTTGTGATCTTGAGTCCTCGAATGGAGACAAATCTTGGACAAAGTCGCGTCTCGTGGAGCGTGACCAAGTCGTATTTTAAGGGATGATGAGCCAAACTGTTTGTTACACCTTCGCGACACCGGTATCGAAATGGAATGAGCTGGAAATGTTTCACTTTCTAACGTAACAGTAGCATTTGCATGACGAGAACACAATGTCATATGATCCAATAGGGTTGTTGGTAAGAGAGGAACTCCTGCACCCTTTACACATTATTACGTACGTACGACTTGGATGTGTAAAACTGTGTCCAAAAAGAACCCTATGGTTCTGAAACCCTTTTCCATTTCGTTGTCGTCCTCCCTCCCCTTCATTTCCTTCCCGTACTGTGTGCCTTTCTTTCTTGGGGTGAGCATCATGATGGCATGGGCTTTGGTGACTTGCGAATTATTTGCGGTGGCTCATATGCCAAAGTTGGACCAGTAGCAGTTACATAATGGCAGATGGAAAGTGTAAACTGTAACGTGGGTATGGTAAACATGATTCCGCTGTAAAAACATGGTCTAACTTGTGACTTGTGGTAACACCTACATGCGGCATTTACAGATTGCATACACTACACTGGTGAATTCTTATTCCAAAAAAAGGATTGGACCGACCAAGTCAGGCGACGGCATGCTCATCTATTTCTATTTAGGGGAGTATCTCTCCGCTCTAATATCCTTTCTTGGAGGGGGATAAAGAACTTGAAGTAGTGGTGTTGTGAAAGAAGGAAGGATGATAACGTAACGGTGCATATGGATGGATGGATATCAATGATGTGGAGGTTATTATATGAGAGGATGGGAAGTTAAATAAGATGACATTGGATTTCACTGATATTAGTGCATGCATACTGGAGAAGTTATTAAACTGTCTCCTGACTTTTGGCTGGTCATACATAAAAGTAGGAGGAATCTTGAACTTTAATTTAACCACAGGCAGACGAATTAAAGATTAGGAAATTTTTAACTGAGCAATTATAGCTAAACCTCGTATTAAGGAGAAAAACAAGCCCACAAAATATTTATGTACTCACTCATGCCATATTTGAGCTATGAGCATATATATTGACTCAAATCAGAGCTATTTACTTCGCTTATCATCACTTCAGCCCTGCACACTAATGATGAATAATGAATCAAATGAATGTAAGATAAGTTAAATCGAGGTGTGATTAGACTTTTAAGACGAGACTGAATTGTGGTGAAATGGGGAAAATGAGAATTTTTGAGACGAGCAGGATGCACGGGAGGTGAGAAAAGCCAAGTGAGACAATCCCAAATTTTAATTCTGGCAGCGGGTACTGTAATTGATTCCGGGTTTGTTTGTAACGAAAACGCACGTGAACTTTGACAATCCGAAGAAAATTACTAAATTCTATTCATCTTTGAATTTTGAATTTACCAATAAGCAATTTTAGGTAAGAACTAGAAAAATCCCCTACTATACTACACATTTCTATACCTTTCACTAATCATATATTCTACTTCATACTTTATTTACTTTATTTTTTATTTCTTCTTACATTACAGTTGTTCTCGACACTAATTTGCAGCATGGAATCATCAGGGAGCGAAGGAAATCATGGGAAGGGGTTAAAATCTGGACAACTCTGGTCAAACGTTCTCATCGATGAAACGATCGACTTGATGAACAACGACATTTTCAAAACAAAATTGGACGCCAGGAAAAGCAATGGTCTCGAAGAAAGGGGAAATGAACAGTATTTGTCACAGCTGGTCAGCAGAAAGGCCAAGAACTTTGTGGCACCTCGAGTACAAAAGGCAAAAGTGGCGAATTTGAGGGGACACTTCCGTTTCAAGTACACACTGCCAAGAGGTCGGGGTCGTGGTGGACCTGGACGACGAGGGAATTGCACTGTTGGAATGACAAGGGGGCGAGGTCTTGGTCGTGGAAAATATAGACCTCGCGATGAACAAGTCATTCCAAGCACAAATCCAGGAGAAAGTCCAGCAGCAATAATTTACGACGCTCCTTCGCTTCCAGTAATTGGCGGAGATGTCGTACCAACAATTCCTGTGGATGAAATCGTCAAAAGTATGAAAGTGGTCAAACCTCCCGAGGAACCGACAAAACCAAAAACCGCCGAAGAAATCAAAGAAGAAGAGATGAAAAATCTGAAAGCAATTTTTGGAGGTGGTCATCGACGACGTGCAGGAACTGGTGCTGGAGCGTTTTCAAACCGAAAACCGAGTGTCGCAACGGCAACGTTTTCTTCTTCGAATGGCGATGATGCCATGATGGATATCGACGGAGAAATGCCAAGACCAACTCTACAGCAGCCACAACTACAACAACAACGTTTTGAAAATGGTGGTGGTAGATCTCGGGAGATTATTGATTATGGAGATGTTGATTACAGCTTCTAAGTATTTAAATGTCAAGGTTTAAAATGTTACAACAATTACTGATACTTATTCAAAGTTTTGTTTAATAAAATGTATTAATTTGATCAATTAATTAGATTTGAGGAATGTGTCCGCTTCTTTTTACTTAATTAGTACAATGCATGTCCATTAAGTTCATCCGTTAATTAGCAAACTTTTTTTGCATGACTGTTTTACCATTAAAATTCGCACATCGATTTCATGTTTATAATTTTGGTAGTTGGAGGCAAGTTGAGACAGTTGTTTAATGCCTCGTCTCAATCGCAGCGTCCTCTCTACTCACTCCTTTCCATCACAATGACAATTCATTTTTTGAACCAAAATCGGCTCCAGTCTTTCCTTCGTTGAAAAAAGTTGCCGAGTAATCAAATCAAAGTTTTTGATAAGTTTCATAAAAATTGTGAATTTTCAAGTGTGATAAAGCTTTTGAATTATGTCGTCGTCAGCTTTGGTGCCCCAAGTTCCCAGTGGAGGATTCAACTTTTCCAATTATCAAAGGTAAGTTGGATAAAGTTCTGTGTTTTTGTTTTTTAAATCGACGAACAATTTGCATTTGATTTATTTGATATATTTTATTCTTTTAGAAATGTGTCCCTTTGTGCAAGTGGATTTCCTGCCCCAAAAACAACCAAGACGGGGACAACGATTGTCGGATGTATTTTTGGAAGTAGAGAAGACATTGGTGTTTGTCTCGGCGCAGATACGAGAGCCACTTCGGGCAACATAGTGGCGGACAAGAATTGTGAAAAGATTCACAGAATTGCGGAGCGAATTTAGTAAGGATGAAAGTTATTTTTGATATTGTGAATGACTTGTATCTAATTAAAATTGTGTGGTTTTAGCTGTTGTGGCGCTGGTACGGCTGCAGACACAGAGTTTACCACCAAAAAGATCGAGTCGCAGTTGGAGCTTTTGAAATTGAACTTGGGTCGGGAAGTGCCAGTTGTCGTGGCTAATCGGTTAATTAAGCAGTTGCTGTTCCGTCATCAGGTTGGTATTTCAATGATAATACACGATGAGTGAGTCGAAACATTATAACGCATATTTTTTTTATAGGGACACATTTCTGCGGCTTTAGTTCTTGGAGGAGTTGACAACAATGGGGCTCACATTTATTGCATCTACCCCCATGGTTCGACCGATCGACTCCCGTATGCCACGATGGGTTCTGGATCCTTGGTAATTGACGATAACAATACAATTTTCCAAATACATATGCATGGCCTTAGTGTACTTTTAATTTCAGGCTGCCATGTCCGTCTTCGAAGGTGGATGGAAAGACAATATGACGGTAAGTGAATTTGTTTCATTACAATCTTAACATATTGGTATGACTTATAATCATTTACTTTTGTAGGAAGCGGAGGCTACTAAATTAGTCCGTGATGCTATCGCTGCTGGTATCACGAACGATTTAGGATCTGGTTCCAATGTGGATATCAACATCATTAGGAAGAACCTGCCGAAACCAGTGATTATGCGAAATATGGAGATAATTGGAGTCAAGGGAGAACGGTAATAATAATATAATGTTCTATTTTTCCTATTCCGTTGTAAAATGTTCCTGTTGATAACAACGAAAATCTTGCTTTGTTCAGAATGGGGGATTACACTTACCCCAAGGGAACCACAAAAGTTTTGAAGACGGAAGTTATTCCTATCAAAGTTGAGGATGAAGTTGTTGAGAGGATGGACACGGACCAAGATTAGGTTTAGATAATCAATTAAAATAATGTCTTTTTATTCCATTTCTATACAATGTTAGTTAACTACTAAATGTAATCAGTCCAAATTCTCGTAATGTACTCAAAATTCAAATATCTAATATTCGATTGGAAATATTATAACATTTTAAAACCGATTAAATAGGCTACATCATGAAACTTTGATGAGAAACTAATCGTTAAATTTGTAAATGTCTTCAGTAAAGCATCTGGAATCGCTACATTGTCAAATCCAATCCATAAAGTAGCGCATATTGGATGTGCGTGCATCAAGAGTTTCATGATTCAACCACATCAACATTACCAGTAAGGACCCCCTCTCACTTGTACAATTGATCTCAATGACGCTAATCCATACACCTCAGACATACACATTATAAACCTTATATACTTTCTCTATTTGCACGAAAGCAGTAACAGTACCTTTTCAGGTATAACATAGCATTTTGTTTGTCATCTGTCCAGAGAAAGTTTTGTTTGCAGTGTAACTTGTTTCCAATTAGGCTAAAACTGGCAGAAATAAGTTGTGAGTTGAACTGAGGAGTTGGTTAGTTGATAGTGTGGGATATCGTCGTGGAGTATGTGCACACAGAAAATTACAAGAACTCAACTTTTACTTTCCTCTTGCGGAAACTTTGTCCTCTTTCACCTCGTAAATAGCCTCAACGTATAGCCTCTGGTAATTTGATAATTCGTCTGCTTAACATTTTCCACCTGAACAATAACCTCCCTCACTCACTCACTGCATTTATTTACTTTGCACGCATGTCGCACTCGTTTGTTAAGTGGTCATGAGCTTACCGGATTTTGCAGACAGGATGAAAGTCCCTCATTTGGTTGGTGGCTTATATTTACATTCTTCGCCAAGCTTTGTGATTTAGTAGCAGGATCAAAGTTTTTGGTTCAAATATGCATCATTCGTTCGTTAATAAAACAGATTACCTGTTCCATTGGTTTGACAGTCAAGCAGTCCATTGCAAATAAGACAGAGAGAAAGTTCCGGAACATTGATGTTTGGTTAACCTTCCACCCATTGCAGAGTAATTAATCAGCTTTTATATTTCCGAATTGGACGCAGAATTCGATAGAAATTGTCTCTATTGCGACTCTTGCTGCCATGCAGCCTACTTATTTACATGGGCAAACTACTAGCAAGAATATTCTCCCTTTTCAATGCTGCCTTCCACCCACTCATAAAAACCCGGCCATAAAACGCAATAAAAAACAACGTCATCCTCGTCATTTTCAATTTCATCCATCCACCATTACCGACGGCTATTTGTTTTTCCTCTTTTATTAAAACCTCGTCGTCCATGTCCAAGTTTGCATACATTCTGCTTGCCTTGTGAAATCAAGTTTTAATGAGAATCAGGGAGAAAGTTGTGCTTTATTTTAATTATAACTTGGTCATGTATCTGCATGCATCGTGGCGTTGTTTTGTCTCTAGTTCAGTATGAGTTTGTGAAATTATAAACTAAACGGTGTCCTTTGGGAATGGAATCTTGGGACGAGGCGAGGTGGAGATGATAACACACGATAATGAAGGAAAAAGGAATTTATAGTTAATTAAAATTGACGACGACCTTTTGTTATTGTTTCATTTCGCTTTCACTTAAGGTAATTGGGTCACGTAGTAGGGAGGGAATCAGGTCCTAATAAAATTCGTTTTATGCAAGAATTTATTCTATTTTTTTGCTGCATTATTCGGCGTTAGTCGAATATAAAGTGAAAGCACTTTGCAGTTTAATCAATTAGTTGATTACACAAGAAAGACGGAGAAATGCATAATATGAAATATTTGGTATCTAAATACACTGTTAAAAATGTGATGCATTCTCCGTCCTGATATTGATCTGGTAATAACTTCCTACCCGATTAGTAGTAGTAGATTGTTTCTGAGGATGAGTGGTAAATTTCCATTACCATAACATTACTGAACCTTAATTCTCGTTATTACCAGTGCCAGAGTCATATACTTACTCCGGCCACTAATGATTTAATACCAGTTTTCTAAGAGTGTACCTACTTATGCGTACTTATGCAACCTCTCAATATTCATATGTATCAGTAATCGTACTTCTAAGTACATGCATGCAAAGCCGCAATTTTAAGAAAATATTGCAGAAAAGCAGTTCTCAATAAATGTCGTACTTATCATCATCTTATTGCCACAGGTAAATAAATATTGAAAGATGAGAAAGCAAAATCTTCAAATAAATCCCGTCTTGTCGTCAAACAACTATTTTCAACTCCTTACCAATATTTTTTTGAAGCACAAAAGTACCATTGTTGGAGTTTACTAGTACCTGGAATCCCATATCGTTTGTCCATCCACCTCCATTTGTCAAAAGAGTAGTTGTAAAGTTTGAGGACAAGGGTTGAGTTATGTCTCGAGTGGAGAAAGTAGTACATACATGGCTGGCAACTCCTCGCATGATCTTTTCCATTCCGATGGACTAAAATCGAATTTAGAATCAAATAGAAAATCCCTCAGAATCAATATCCATCAATTCCGTTTGCATTTTATGGATTACTTTCTCCCTTTTCTTCTCAAGAATTCATATCCAGCCAACAAACCCTCCAAACACGCATAAATATTCCTAAATGGAAACAAAACAAACAAACACGAGAAAAATGAAAGTATAAAATCAAAATGCTTTCTTTTTTCCCTGTCGCAATCGCCGGGGTGGCAAAAAGGAAGAAGAATAATGCTGGTTTTGTTGGTGCTATTTATCACTGGACAGCAGCAAGGGCGTGTCGCCGTCGTGAACCAATTTTTCTCTCCAAGGATTTCACAATGATTTAGGAAGATCAATAAAATCGCCTTTTACTACACTGACTGATAGATAATGCAAGAATAAGGAGGAGAAGAGTTGACGTTTTTGTGTCAAGTAAATATGTGCGTATGCGGAAGACTTGGGAGAATATTTGTCCTCGAAAGAAACATTGGATTAGTTTTGTTACATGATTCAATCTTGTCACGAGAAGGAGATAATATGTTGAGAGGAGACGAATACGAATGAGTTATCCCCCCATACGGCGTTATCCAGGCCAGGTAATCTTTGACTTTCTCCCTGCCTACTCAATTATTTAGGAGAGAAAGTAGTTCATGAGATTTGTCTCAATTTACACAATTAACTTTATACAAATCAAATAGTCGGGTAGTCGAATTTCACATTTTTGATCATATTAAGAGTGAAAATTTAGTGCTACAATATTCCAATTAAATTGAGATATTAGTATGTTAATTAGACATGTTGCGACAAGTTCATGAATGATACAGTTAATTAATGGGATCATTATGATTAAAGAGTAATTAATGTAATTACGCCTTGTTATCCTTACTACTACATGTGCAAATTATATTGTGCAGTCATCCATCCATATTCTCTTCCCCTCTTAATTGTCATTCACTATAGGACATCGAGTAGCCAACCACTGAAAATTAGCATATGTATGATGAAATTGGGCATAATTAAATTTTGAAAATTTTATTTATTTATTAGCACCACCAGCAGCAACATAACTCACATGCATATCAACCAAATACTGAAAGGATGACGACGACATTGGATTATTAATCATTGATGCGAGCAAGAATAAGGCCTGGCAAAAGCGAGGAGAAAGTGTTACACGGTTTGGCGTATGGAAAGCATTTCTTTGCTCGCTTTCACTCGACGCTGGAAGAACCACCACCACCCCGCAAACACCACATCCGGGGTTCACTTATGAATTTTCAATGATGTTAAATTTTGGATAGAGGTGAGACTCGAATTGGCTCAGCTAACTCGACTTTTTGTCGAATGGAGTCATGTGTCTCTGCTTTCACCCGGTTCGCTGGGTGAAAGTCAAGCCCTCCACTTTTTGGAATAAATTCAGCCAACAATTGCATAAAGAGGAGAACATCTTTTGTTTCACACTTTTATATATTTCCATAAAATTTTCATGTTTAGATTTATATATACAATTTTCAACGAAACCATGCTTCGTGAAGTTTAACCTATGTATGATAGTGACGTATTTACATATTTATATAACTTCCTTAACTATGCATTATTAATTTGGTTTAATGAACATCAAATACATATTTATATATTTTGAATTATGTAAGTTTTTAGTATTTAGTCAAACAAGAAGTATAATAATAGCAAATTAATTATTATGTATGTACTTGTAAATAGCATAATAAATGAGAAAACTTGTTAGTATTGTGAAGCATTAGTAAGAATATTAAATTTATAATAGCATGTCAGACATTCATTCATGTAATAGCTAACAATGGAGGTTTCACAGCGTATGCTCTCCGATTTTGGGCAAAGTAGAGTCGTGATGACAAATTCAATTAGTAGAAATTTGCTAAATACACTATTTGTCAATGCTCAAGTTTGGTGTAGATATTTGCATCTAAAGTGGAGAAAGTGCGCTTTAAAATTGACAAATTTTACATTTTTTAAAAATTTCCTTTGCATTTTCTCCTCACGGGATGCAAATATTTTAACCAAACCTGAACATTGGGAGATGGTGCCTTTTGCAAATTACATATTAATTGAACTTGTAATCAATTGGCCCTACTTTACCCAAAATCTGAGTGCATACGCTGGGAAACCTCCATTATACGTAAAACCACGCGATGAAGCCACAGGTTCTTAAAAACAGAAGGTCAACAAGCCATGATCTCATACTCACAAGGTTCAAAGTACATATTTCTATGTTCGAGAGAGAGAAAGAGAGAACACTCAAGGTCTTTTCCTCCAGACCTGTTTTTTGTTACAAGACTTTTTTTCGAATCCATTTCATTCTATGTATTTTCAGCTATTAGTCAGTAGGGTGGAAGGAGGTGAGGTTTACAAAGTGATGGATCGATCACTCAAGTCAAACCTGGCATCCGCAGTAAGGAAATGTCTACTTGTCACTTTAATCTAAAATATAAATGGAGAAATGCAAATTAATACAACTTAGGATAAATAATAGTATATTTACATACTTAGCACACAGCAGTAGTGCATTCATCCAGAGCATAATGGCAGAAATAAGTATGTGATTTAATGATTTATTAGTTCAACAGGCTATTAAACTTGGCTAATGAGTAACTTTGGCGGATGCGAGTAGCTGCAGTAATGAATAAATAAACCAAGGCATAAACTTAAACGCTATAGAATTTTGAAATGTTAAGTAGCCAACTTTTTTAAAGTGTAATAAATAAAACTAATTACTTTCACTCGGGTTGGGTCGATCCGTAATTGCTAAAACTATTCTATATTTAGTGTAATTGAGATTGATTAAGTTTTATACGTACGTCAATTAAAATATCAAAGGGCACTACGACTAGGTACATTTGTAGAGTGGCAATTTCTAGATGTATTTCTTATGTAGAGGCACACAATTTACCATCGAGAAACCCAATCATAAAGACTTAATTAACTTAAACTGGTACATTTTAGATTGTCTTCTCACAGCAATCTCGTCGTGGTTAGTGGTAATAAGATGATAAAGTTATGTATTTTAGGTACTGCTTCCTAACTCTACTGACTATAAATCGTTTCGTCAAAAGGTCAAAATGGGAAACGTGGCACAAAATAACAACTTTCTCCGTGACTTCATGCATCCAAAAATTGTATCTCGTTGGTCAAAGAAAACTCGGTTAAAAATTGTGGTACTTCCGATTTCCGCCAACAACACGGTCCAATCACTTACTTACACTATTACTGACCTCCGATTAGACTGCCCCTTGTCCTTGTCCGGATCGTAAGGTTCCAAATCATCTGGAACAAAGGGATGATTTTTTTGTATCATAATAAACATTACTTGGGCATAAAACTAGTCACCTTTGGGAGTATTGAGGGCACTGTAGTCAATGGGAAAGGGACAGTCCAAACTGTCCTTAGAGCAGATTCCAAATACGTATTGACCTATAAATTTAAGCGAATAATTTAGCCAATCTTGCAATGTGATGTGTACGAAATGCAAATCTGTACCAGGTCCGTGTGGGTATTTTCCAAATAGAAAGTTCGAGAAACAGAGTTTGAACAAGGTGTAGCTTATTTTGTTCCGACCATTCTGAAACAATCACAATATTTTACGGCCATCGCCACCATCACGAAAACAAGGGTAATAACAACGGTCATGGTGAAATGGTTGGTCAGACATGTGTGCGGTTTGGTCATAATTCTTCCCTCGCAATAAATTACTACCGAGTCTGGGGAAAGTACGAGTAGGTAATTACGCAGGAAGAGGAAGACATGGTTCATTTTTCATGCTTTTGTCCCCCTCAGTCAGAAGAAGGGATGGCCAGAGGGCGGATATGGATTTGTTTTTAGCTTTTTCATTTGGTGAGAACCGACGGTCAAACTTTGTGGGTGTGTTCCATAGCTATTATAGGTCACGAAAATTTGAAAATATGCTATACATGTTGCTACATATCTCTAAGTTTTCAAACATATCAATATTTCCGCTATTATTTGAAAAATACGTAAAAATTTTAGAATATTTTTTTTAAACTACATATAAATATTTCAATGATCCGAGAGTTTTTGCTCAAAGAAATACGAAATCAAAAATCTAGAAAAATTATATTCTGAAATACGAATTTTTTGAAAAAAATTATTTTTTATTTACTTTTAAAAAAAATTTACTTTTTGGAAATATTCCGTAAATATTTTATCATTATTTGCGTAAATATTAAAATTTCAGCGATTTTTCGTAAATACATATCCGCCCTCTACAGATAATATTAAAAAGGGGAACTTGTGAACTTGTGTTCTGTTTTTAGAGGAAGGTTTGTCCAACTCATGAAAACTTACATCCATCCATTCACATCCATTTATTTACAGAGAGAAAAGAGAAAGTCTCCGTTTTGCAATCTATTTCCTCAGCCAATAAAAATATTTCAATTCCATGTCGAATTAAGAAGACAAACGCGCACATGCATGGCACGAGGAGGAATATTGAAAGGGAAATAAAGCAATATTATTGAGGAATGTGAGTGAACAACAAAAACATCATTCCAATATTTTGTTCCAGGAAGATTTTTATATGGTTTAGCAGGACACATCTTCAACATCGGAAAATAAGGGATCGATTGTACGTAGTATGCACGTGCTTACTTTCTATTGCACTACGCACTATTTAGGGGTGGAGACCCTTTATAAGATCGTTATGTCTGTCCTGCTTTTAAATAATTATCTGTTGGAAGAAGTAATTTCGACCTGCGACACTCCCCGTGAACGCGTGGACGAGGTCAAAGGTCACAAATGTCGAAAACATGTCAGACGTGTCAATTTTAAAGGATTTTCGACGGGAAAAACGATATCGTATTCATTTCGACGTACTTATACCACACTGGCTTCACCCCTTTCTTACACGCGTTGTAACGATTTATTTCTATTGATAATACTATAGAAAGTTCAACTTACATCTGTCATAGCGCTGTAAATGGAGTCCAAGGTTTCGTTCACCACGCGGAAATCTATTCCTAGGAACATTGTGTAAAACGCTCTAAGCTCTTCTCTTGATATGGTGCCGGATCCTGAAAAAAGAGACGTCATCAGCAAAATAGTCTTAATCGAGCATTGAGTAAGTAATTACAAAGCTGACTGAAACGTAAAAGGCCACCGCTAATGAGAAATCACCACTTCAATTCCAAATTATTTAAGTATGCCAGAGAGTTATTTGTCAGCAGAAAATCAAGAATAAATTAACTTTGATCTCGTCCGTCAAGCAAATTCAGAAATTAGATTCCATCCATCCAACTTCATCATAATTGTAAAATTAGTCAAACTCCAACAGTTACACTTTCACCATTCATTTGATCGTTCATTTATGAACTCACTATGGGGAAAATCTATCGAAATTTCATGTTTCAATTCCACGAAGCCTTTTGTAAATTTCAGCCTCTTCAACAGATGAAAGGAGCAAAGTTCTTTAGTGATGATGATGATGATGATGAAGTGAGCTCTCGAAATTCCAGGGGGAGACGAAGGAAGGACAAAAGATTCAAAATCTGGATGTGACGAACAAAGAAGAAGAAGCTGCTGCTGCTTCGTGAACGAGGAAATTTGACCAGTTTGTTGAATTCAAAAGAAGACTTGAAGAGAGAGAAAGCTGGCTGGGTCTTGAAGGAGGCAAGTCAGATTCAGATTCAGGTGGTGGTCTTTGGAATCCATCTAGTACTTGGGAAAACGACTTGGAAAATCTCGTTTTTCCACCGTGTCTCATCCATTGTCTTTCCAAATTGTTTGGATTCTTTGTGCACACTTGAGACGACAGAAAGCAGAATAAATATCTGTTCTGCAGCCCAGAAACTTTAAGCCCCGCACCCACCCAGGCCAAATTTGGGTGTGTGAAAAAAGACAAGAATACGAAATAGGGAATTCTATGAGAATAATAATAATACTAATAATCATAATTCCACCTTCAACCCGACGGTTTATTATTTGCACATGTTTGTTGATTTGCTACGGAGAAAATCGGATTGTATTTTTCCATTCTAAAAGGAACAAGACGTGTCCAACTTTCTTTCACATCTTTTTCTCTCTCCAAATCTCTCCAAATCCAAATCTAGAAGAAGTAATGCGTAGCTGAATGCTGTAGCAAAGTGCATGCATGCCGAGAACTGTACATACTTTACTTACTCTTGGTTTGTACAATATGGAGAGAAAGTGCACTCTAAGAAATTTTACCACCGGATTATCACTGACCGGTGAGTATATATATGTGACTTTACCTGATGGTAATAAAATATATGTCACCGCTCGGTTACAGCGAAATCGCCATGTGGGAACCTCCACCACTAGCTCGGTGACATTTTATCACCAAGCAGGAGCATGCCACCACCGAAATCGTAGCAACCCCGATCACCAGTACCAATCGCTGATAAGATTGCTTCGTGCGTCAGTTAAAACTAAAATAGTAATATAATTAAATATTTGTCAGTTTCATTTTGGTCGGTTACATATTTGTCTGTGGCATATTTGTCGGATTGCATATATGTCATTACATAAATGTCGGTTGCACATTTGTCTCTGCATATTTGTCGCCTCACCAACCAATCGGTATAGTCCCGTTTGTCACTGGATTTTTTAGAGTATCCAATATGAAGAGAAAGCACAGAACTCTGCTGCTACATGACACACTTACCATGCAAATCTTGTCCTTTCACTTTACTTTCACTTGGTGTGTGTGGAGGAACGAGAGAATCAAGTTATTTTAAACTTCCCGACGACGCTCTCCCCCTTTTTCTTGGACAGAATGAGAGGTGGTAGAGTTGCGAAATTGAATTGTTACGCAAAGTAAAAAATAGCAACCCTCCCCTTCATTTTGCATACACGTAGCAAATTCTGTGCTCCACTCTATAAAAATGTAGACTAAAAGGGCGAACATCTTTTCTGTACTAAGAATCAAACGTAAGAAGAAAAAAAAATCCTCTTAAAAATGTTTTCATGAAAAAGTTTTGTCCGAGGATAAAATTTTGTGAAAGGAATTCATTGTATAATATTCACAAAAGAAAGTTGAGAATGTCGAAACTCAATGTCCAATCTTCTTTCAATCGCACATAATAAAACATGCAAACCATTCGGATTTGTCAGGCGAGTCTTTCCTGTCTAAACATGATGAATTGTTGATTTGCATTGAACAACTCCTCGAGAGACGTTTAACACTGGATTTTTCCCTTCTAGGTAAATATAGCCTCACGAAAGAGGTCTCCTAGCGTATGCTCTCCGATTTTTAGCTTTCAGCAAACTCGTGTCAATCAATCAGAAATGTAATTAATATGAAATTTGCAAAAGGCACTACATGCCAATGTTCAAGTTTGGCAAAAATATTTGCATTTGAAGAGGAGAAAACGCGCAGTAAATTTGGAAAGCGCAAAATTTGTCAACTTTAGGGCATGCTTTCTCCTCTTTGGATGCAATAATATCTCCGCCAAAACTGAGCATTGGCAAATGATGTCTTCTGCAAATGTCATATTAATTAAATTTCTGCTCGATTGGCACTAATTTGCCCAAAAATCCTATAGCATACGCCGGAATACCTCCATTCGATTGTCAGTTTCGTCGGACAATTGTGTAAATGGTGGCTGCCTTCTTCTCGCTAAGTACTGTCATTCCAAGTAGTGAAGAGGATACTTAACCGGCACCAAAGAAATATTATTGTATCTGTTCAAACACTTGGTCTTGTTACACACACGCAAGGTGAAAGCTCCACGTTGCCTCTGCTAACTAATTCGGTCGGGAGAGAGAGAGACGGGGAGACGAGAGAAGGCAAAATTCAATTATTTTAAGAAGAACGAACTAATCCTGGGATGAAGACTTTTACTACTGCTTGGGGAGATGAACCTCCGTTCACAACTATCGACCACGTCACTCTAATATTCCTATAAGATCCTATTGTTGTTTGGCTAACTCAATTATTTACGAATCTTACTTCATCTTCAATGTCGAGTCATACGTACGTACGTATCCTTCACAATACTGGTCTCGTCTTCGTGCTCTTTAAATATTTATGTAAATACCTGGTGAATAAAGACTTCGAAATCAGACGAAAACTAATAATGACGACTTGTTCATTAAATCTTTGAGACGAAAGTGTCAAGTTTTCCAATCGGCGTCTCAATTTGTCCCATGTTACGACGGGATACGTGAACCTCGCCTTTGTACCCAGAAAGAAAAAGAACTACTTGCCATTTATGTCGGTTCGGTAGTGATACTGCACTGGGACTACTTGGCGAATCGTGTAATTTCCTTAATTCGCTCACTCAACTCTTTACAATACAATTAGCCCTCCTCCAAATATATGAGGCTTGTTCTTTCTTTATACTGCAAGCCAAATAAGTTTGGCATCCTAATAAGGAACCCTCTCACTCTCTAATTTAGTCAGACTCCCAATTTCCCAAGAAGAGGAGGGAAAATAAGGCGATGGATGGAGCTAATTAAACAAGAGGATGGATCAATGCGTGGTTGTTGCTGGGAGTGAGTGAATTAATCCCCAAGTTTTAGTGAAAGCAGATTCTAGCCTCGTATGTTTTTTTTTCATGTGCAAAAAATTTAGAGTTGCAGTTTTATCCTGTTAATTTGCATAGGACGGAAATTAGATTGTTAACTGACCCGATTTGTTGATGACTTGGAACAGGATTTTGGGGAAGTATTGTAACCAAAGGGGAAGTGCTTCCAGGGTCCGGGCCGAATTGAGAAGAAATCCCCAGACGTCCAGCCACTCATCGATATTCACGTTCTGTCTCGTCTCTGCAAAATTAATTAGTCTTTTTACCCCAGAGATGACGAGACAGAAAGTTTGGCTAACTTTGTTGTGCTGAAGAAGATACATGTTTTTCTGGCCGAGTTTTGGGAGAAATATCTCAATTTTGTAGGAATATATATTTTCCTAATTAGTGGAGCGAGAAAATTAAATCTGAGGAAAGTGGGAGTTAATTAGCTTACCTCGTTCCGCATTGCAGTAATACATTCCTGAAGTATCGTCGAGCGGTTGGTTCAAGAAACATTCGAGAAATCCGGAGTGAACTTCTTTTAAAATGTGAAATTCTATGCATTCCGAAGACCACTCGATGTAGTGTCGGATCCTCTGGAAATTTAGGAAATAATGGGTTCGCACATTAGTAAATGTTGCATTTATGTATGCATATTTGCAAAAATTAAACATGCATTTGAAAAGGTTTTGATCTGTTTGGCTCAAGTCTTCTTTCGACAAGGGAATCTAAACGAGGCAGAAAATCGAGAGTTGATTGATTTACGCCGAAACCTACACAATTTGGCGGCGTGAGGATGAAAAAACAGACAGAGTTTTTATGTACGAATAGCGGAAATTGAGTTTGATATCTATTTTTGCATATTCGCAAAAAGTCCTAAAATACTGGGTTATACGGGTTGCATAAGAGCAGTGGGAGTATGTATGCATCGCAAAGCTGTGTTTACACTACAAACTGTTATGGCTTTCACTAATCACTGGTATCATTACATTACATAAGCGTTTATCATGAATAAAGTGTTATGCAGTGAAAATGTTGTGTGTAGTTATTTCCTCAGATTAACCAAAGGGGAAGTCTCATAGATATCAACAATCTGTGCTTGTGTTGGTCAGATTTAATACACCAAAAAGTGTGCAAGGTGGTATCTACACTCTAAAAAATCCGGTGATAAACGTGACTACACCACCATTTCGGCGGTAGTATGCTTCCGCTTGGTGACAGACTGTCATCGAGCTAGTAGTGGGTGTTCACACGTGGTGATTCCGCTATAACCGAGGGGTAACATACGTTTTATTACCATCCGGTAACGTCACATATCCTCTCCATTTGGCGATAATCCGGTAGTAAAATTTCTTAGAGTGTACACGTACGTAGGAATTTAGCTGGAAGGAATAAATGGTCCAAAAGTGAGAGACGAAGGAAGCCGTGAAAAAGTGAAGTTTGACATTTGCAACATTTCACCCATTCGATCGGAACGATGGTGGAAGGCTTTCACCTCGACTATGTACATGGATAATCGAACAGGATCAACTCCCACTGACTCAAGTTTTTCTGTGCACCAGTGCGGAATAGATTTTCTTAACATAACGTTAATACCCAAACAAATCGCTAGTCTGTGTAAACTGTCAAACGTAAAAATATCTAGAAAAAGGGGCTGATGAAGGATCACTTCCTCCGCTGAGTAGTGACGCATATCATGAAAATCTAAGCTCCCAATTAAACGGAGAAAACTTTCCTAATTAAGATTTGTTTTTTGATACCCACAGAAAAAAAGATCACAACTTTTCACCCCATTTAGCAAATAACTGAACAACACTTTCCCCGGAAGTGTACATACACGTAATATCATAGAACCCACCACAAAATATGTATAAATGGCCCCAGCACTTTTCCCATTTCCTTTCTCACTGCAATTCTATCCAGTCTTTTGCACACTTCAAATTTATACTGACCCGTCAGAGAGTTAATCTTTTCCTGGAATTATGCTCTCTCTCTCTCTATCCTAAGTTTTATGGGGTTTTATATACCTCGTAAAATGAAATGAGACATGGAGAAAGGTTGGTTCGTAATAATCTTGTCAGCTGCATTATACTTGTACCAAAAGCATCCTGGTTGCAGTTTTTCCTTCTTTTGGTACGGAACAATCTCCAAATTCTCACTCTCCTCAGTCCACTTTACTTCCGTATTATGTCATATTATGGCGAGCAGCTAGTTTATGCGTGTACTTGAGGATTCTGCTCAGAACACCATGAGCAGGGCAGCAAAAGTTGTTAAAGTATAATGCATAAGTATGCAGAGAATACCATGTCCATGTTTTATACTGCTTTCACCATGCCTCATTATGGTACTTAGGGCGAGCATTATGTCAACGATGATGACGAAACTTATGCCCCTCATGATCATTAATAGACCTATTTAATTTCACGTGAGTTTACATACAAGATTTGTCCCCAGGATGAATGAAAGCGGACATGAAACGAGTTCAAAATTGCGAAATAATGATGAAAAACTGTTTCCCAATCTTCCTCCGTCTCGTCGAAACACAGAGACAAGCAACCAGTTCTTTCTTCTCTGGTGGAATATGAGTGGAATAAAAATGAGAAAACGAGGCGAGACCATCTTTCACCTCTTTTCACCTCAGCAAGCGTCCCACTGCCCCATCCTGCGCCTCGAGTCATTCATGCACTCACTTTGCGATTCACTTACCCTCCCCTGAAATACAAAGTCTTTCAAACCTGTATTTTCCGTAGCAGGAGAAAGATGAGCGTCAGTCCTGTGACCATTTTTATCTATGTGTACGAGATCACGAGTCAAATCCACTTTCTTTCTGGAATAAAATCCCATTTGAACTACATCTCGAGCAAGTAAGCAATTTGTGAAACGAGCTCAAAACTAGTCGACTACGTCGGTATGAATATCTATACACCGTCGGGCCAAGCTTATGGGCGAGATTGTTATCTTACCACGATAAGTATGGTTGGTTAGATGAGATTAGAAATCAAGCATTTCATACAGCCAGGAAAACCGGATTACTCTAATCAGGCTACACTTTAGGAAGAACGCATTTCCACCCACTTTTGTGTAGAAAAATTGCCATCGGATAAGTTGAGTATCATCATTTCATCTATTTTTTTTCGTGGCTTGTAGCAAAAGCCCAATATACTTTTCATGAATGTAAAATATAAAGTAAGTAAGTGATCCGACTTGTTTGCAAGAAAAGTTAATCTCCGGAAAGTTATCGTAGCGTGGCGATATTGTGGAACACAGTGGCTGAGTGAGGCTACGTGAATGCAACTATTTCTCAACTTGTTTCCATTCAGAATCTTCCTCTTTTTCGTTTGGTTGGACTTTAAACTTTTAGCTGCGAGCCAAACCACTCTGCATGACGACCAAGAAGAAGACTACGAACAGAAGAACCATGACTTGATAGCGTTTTAGTTTTAGGTGGGTGCGATTCCATAAGATGACACATCCTTCCGTCTCCATTTCTTTCCCAGGGTGACCTAAAGTTTTAGTGAGGAGAGGAGTCAGCCCATAAAATGTAAAGGGGGAAAGGTATGCACGCTAAGAAATTTTACCACCTGGTTATCACCAACCGGTGAGGATTTATATGTGACTTTACCGGATGATGGTAATAGATATATCACCGCTCGGTTACAGCAGAATCACCACGTGGGAACCAACCGCTAGCTCGGTGACAGTTTATCACCAAGCGGAAGTATGCTACCACCGAAATGGTTATACAACCCCGATTACCCGGGAGTCAAGTTTGTCACCGGATTTTTTAGAGTGTACGTATGCATATATACAATTCAGGTAAATGGAAAGTTTAAGTGAGGACGAGTTTCCTTGTCGTGAAATTGATCCTTGCTGCTGAGTGGTAAGAGTCTCATGTGAAACTTTAGTGGAGAAAGTAGTATATCTTTTGCAGTAGAATATTTCGTAAACAATAATACTATACATAATTTTAGCATTCGCAAAATAAACAGACTTTTTAAAATGCAAACGGAATTTTTTACCTGGTTCAAAGCTACAAAATCCTCAGCGGATATCACATCGTCTTTGTTCATGTCCAGCACGTGACTGAAGAAATGGGTGAATTTTACTTTTTGAAAGTCCGACAAAAAATCCCGGTTAGGTGGCTTATCCTCGGGTATAGTCCCATCATCGATTCCACGCTGCACGTAGGTGGCTAATATCAAATACAAGAGGAAGAAGTCATCAACTCACCGCACTAAACATTGGGCTTTCCTGGCACAATCATATTATGAACGTAGCACCGCAGTGGGGTTTATAGTAAACAACAACATCTCTGCATTTTATGTGGAGGGCATCATCATCACGTTTAAAAGGTGTACACACCTTAGGTCGTCTTGAGGAGAAAGTACTTTATACCGAGAGAAAAATCGTAAAACGAAATGAAATAGAATCGAAACTTGAAGACAAACAGGGAAAAAAACAAGTCTCGAAAGATCAAGACACCACCACAGTTGGTCTTCTTAAGAAAAACAAAGATTAGAAATAAGCTGCTTCTCTCCAGCCTCTGCTGGTGAAAGTAAGACGAGTTTAGGCCTCTCCAAAGCCAAAAATCACCTCCCTACACCCACCACAACTAATCCTAATCCGCAGATTTACTAGGTCCGTCTGTGTACTGCAAAGGTTTGTGTAATCATTAATTTTATTGGTGTGGGTTACTTTCTCCAGATTTTCGACCGAAAAAAAGGCTCAGTTTGGTGTGTACATGATGAAAAAAAAATCGGAAAGGTTAACCGATTTATTACCAATAATAATAGCAGTAGTAACGACGTAGTAGATACAAATTCTTTAACGCTAACGAGTTTAGACTTGTGCCTTATCTTCCGTCTTAAAGTAAAGAAAAACAAGTCATACTTACCACTAAAAACGCCAATACATCGATCAAAAACCCGAAAATATGCTACATACAGGACAAATTTTACTCACCCCAAACATGCACGGACCACCCAGTGGACGACTTATTGGCCCCGTTCAGACCATCATCTTGCACCGGGCCGTTGTTCGTCGTCGCAAAGCTGACGCCACCCCCCTTGCCCCCACCGAGAGACATGGCCTGAAATCCAGAACTCACCTCGGCCGAGTGGTCACCACCTCCACCACCTCCTCCCTTCTTCTTCGAAAACTTCCCACTCGGCCCACCCCCACCACCACTGCTCCCCCCACCGCCCCCCTGATTCGGCGTCGGATTAACCATGTCCGTCAAACTGGAGGACGAATTTGCACAACCTGCTCCAGCCGAATTACAAATATTTGAAGTGGACCCAACCGGAGATGATTTATTATTATCACCGAGCGGCGAAGTTCTTCCAAGGTGGTCAAAATCTGGATGGTTTTCGGGCAAAGTTTTCCACCTTTTGATAAAGTCCTTTGTCTTGGTGGTACAAGCAGACTTCCAATTATGGATTATCTTATTGGCAGTTGATTGCTTTTGGGAGGATGTCGCATTTGCCTCGTAAAATGGGGAATGGTCAACATACGCAGGTCCACTCGTTCCTGGGATGTATTCCCCAAGCTCGTGCAACCCAGTGGATTTCTTGTCCTTTTCTACATCACAAAATACATAAGAAAAGAGCGTCACAAAGATGAGAAGGCTTACAAATTTGTAAACCTTTTTAAACCAAATCCTCTCCTGACTAATTTACAAAGTATATAAAATTATGACACAAAACTTTCCCCGGAAATTAAAAAGCTTCTTCTCCCGGAACTGTGTATATCTTTTTTTAATTTGGTGAATACCAAATTCACTCACCCTTTCCGTCGAAGAGCGTTTGTTGCCTGCGAACCGGAGAGCGTGAACTTTTGGCCGAGGTGCTAGAGCGTCCTAACCCTTTGAGGGAGAGTTTCGTGGTTCTGGAGGGAGACGACTTGGGCGACGAGTCTGCAGAGGATGCAGTCGGGGATTTTTGCGGCGGCTGTTGGTGGTGAGAAGCTGAGGATCCTCCGGGCCCGAGTGTTACCTTTTTACTACTGAGACTCTGCTCCAAAGACATGTGAAGTTAAGAAGAGGGTGAAAGCATCCCAACTTTCAACGCAACACGGCTTCTACTGTCGCAATTCGAACCATCTCCACCTTTGGCACGGCCTGATACCTTCTTCCTTCCACCACGATACACCACAATACTCGAGGTTACACGTTCCTACACGCCTGCCACCTCTGCTTTCTCCATCATGCTCACTCCGTCCAATCGGTGCTGAATACTGCTTGCTCTATCAGCACGGCCGCTGCTTGTGACGAGAAAACATGCTCACCTGGAAAAAAATTGTTAGCTTCAATTAAGTAAATATCTATGAGATGCTGTGTCTCGAGATATTTTGCCAACCAGCTTCTGCTTTACTTGACAGTCACGTTTTGGGAATCAGAATGGAAATCAGATCTTATGCTTGGGGCGGCTTAAGCATAAATGCGACCAAATTGCACCTCACTCGCAAGCAGGCGACGGTATCAAATTGAAAAAATGTATCGCCATTAAATCATAAAAGCCTTGAGAATTGTGCTGAGTTGGTGGTGGAGAAAGTGTCATATTAAAACTTTCACAGTATCAACTTTCCATCACGTACTTATAAAAAAACTACTTTACTTTTCCACCAAAGCGGCACGCAGTGCACGATGCTGCAATTTTCTATTATTATGTAACAACCGTCGTGCTATGGCTGGCAGGGTAAATATTTTCCTTCAATATGTTTTATGTACATATGTAGTGCACGTAAAATATGTATGTATGTAGTTCTTGGTGTATGTCTGGGTCGGCCACTAATTTAATTTCATTGTATGAATCTAGATCAAGGTTTCGGTTTATAAATGCTTGGAAATCTTACATTTTGCTTGTGTTGCATGCAAATGTGAGTACGTGGCTGTATTTAAAATAGAATGGCCTACAATTTGCATATGTACATACACAGGACAATTCGTATATTCTTATGTAACATTATTGCTATTGTCTTTCCATTCCAAGTTCAAACAAAGTATTGAATTTATTGCTGGGAACAACGTTGTTCAGTTGAATTGTAGGCTTGGAAAATTCATGAAAATTTGTGTTTCATGTCGTGTCGAGATTCTTTATGATTTTCAAAGGAAAGATCAAGACCAGTTTCGTAACATGGAATTGAGTTCAAGACCCTGAAATAACATTGATGACGTCCACTCTGCTATGTGTTAAATTTATGATATTGCTGTTGGAATTGAAAATTAAGTCAATTGAGTTTCAAATTTTGTGTGGGAGTGTGACCCGACAAACGAATTCCTTGTAGTTTTAATGGCTTACATTACAACAGAAAATCGATTAATAGTTTAATGGAGTGAATTTATAATGAATGTTGTAAAACATCGAGTTAAGTATTTGCCAAGCATGATTAGAAATCGGATATTTTTATCACTTTAAAACTTGACCCCAACGCCACAAACGTGTCAACAATTCTTGCAACTTATTCCTTAGTGGATTTCCTTTCTTCATCACAAAATACATAAAAGCATCACAAAGATGAGAAAGAAAGGGCTTACAAATTTGTAAACCTCTTTAAACCAAATCCTTCACCGACTAATTTACAAAGTCGAAAGTAAAATTAAGAGACAAAACTTTCACCGGAAATTAAAAAGCTTCCCGGAAGTTGCGAAAGTGTATATTTTTTTAATTTGCTGAAAGCCAAATTCACTCCTTGTAAAATTTCCAAAAACTAACGACTAATTTTTCTAAAAATATTTGCGGCAATTTTTTGTCTTTTTCTACACATGGATAATGAATGACATATATTTAGCATTCAAAATATTGACACAATAAAAAGTGTCCTCATTTTCTACTTAAATTTCTGTATTATTCAAATTAGAAATAATTTGATGAGGATAATGAATTTGTATTTTAACTGAAAAATTAGTATTTTCATACTCGTGTAGAGGAAACTTGCTTTGCAAATGTGCGTGCATGTGCGTGTTAAGTTAAGAAATAAGGTTTAAAAGATGAAGTAAAATTATACTGCAGAAGTTTTGTTGGTTAAAATTAAGTCAAAATAAATCACTTAATGTCGTCCCGTGGAGACCGCTCCGTTCCAACGTGTCCTTCCCTTCCTGCCACGATTTGCACACTAAGGTGGAAACGGAGGCATGAAACAAAAGCAAAATCAGATGAAGTGTGACAAGATTAAATTGTTCTAAAGAGAAGATTCCTGATTCTGAGCAGCATAATGAAGTCAAGCGAAATAGTTGTTGCCTCCTCCTCCTCACTTGATTGTGCATTGTTCTCGACTCGACCTGCTTTGTTTTCCTTTCTTCGCGGCCTCCTGCTTATCTTTCACTTCGTCATCTTGTCTTCCTTTCCCATCCCTTTTGTTTTGTTGTTTTTGGACAAGGAAACTTCAGAAGGAATGAGAAGTACACAATAAAAAATAAGGAAGAATTTATAGATTTGCGGTGAACAAAGTGATTGAATTATCAAGATTTCTCGATATATTTACATATGTACAATTGTACACTGTTAGAAATCTGGGTGAGTCCTCGCTGGTATTATTTAATCCAGTAAAAACATGTTACCGGAGTGGTAATAGTTTATTTCTAAGTGGTATTTTTTTCAGTCACATTACTAAGCGGTAATGTCCGTTATTACCATGTCGGTAGCGTCATATATGTATGTACTCCGGTCAGTAATGATTTAAGACCTAAGAGTGTATGTAAAACTCTAAAAATTTTGCGACTGGCTTTTGAGTAGATCAAATTATACATAATTTTGTATAATAATATTATCAAATTAAAATATTATGACCGAGTTAAAACACTGATTGAAACTTATGATGATAGATAACGTCTCAAAAAGTTATGGTAATGACCACCATCACATGAAATACTGGTCCCTCGGTCCGTTTAGCTGAGTGAAAAGTAAAGAAAGCAAGCAAATGAGCAAACTGGTGTAAATTGGTCTTCTAATTAGAAAAGTTTCTTCTCATTCTCACTTATCATTGGGGTGCAGCTGGTACTCTGGTGATATAGTGAATAGTAAATTCAACTTCACCATCATGTTTGTAATTCTATTATGCTCACTGCTGTTCTCGTAACTTGAAAATTCTTGTGAAATTCTTGTAAAGTTGAAAATTATGGTTAGTTTGAAGCTCAGCGAGGTGTTTGGAGATAAAATGGTCATTCTGACAATTCTTTATGTCAAAAATACTTACTTAGCTCGGGCTCAAAGCTTGTATTGAACTCATAATCAGTGGCCGCGGAAGTTGTGGGGACATCTGGGGACATTAAAATTGTAGGATATGGGAGGGAGGGGTTTATATAACATGGGCAGATATGGGGACATCGAACAACCATGGGGACATTGCCCCTCTGTCCCTACCCTTCCGCGGCCACATAATGTTCATCATCTCACCAGTGTGACCACTTACTTATTAAATGGCCGACATCTGTCGCGTTGGGTGAAATCTTTCGCAATAAACATCATTTTGCTCCACGACCACCCGTGGAGCAAAATTGGTGATTTTGTGGCTTTTGTGGAAGCCATGAAATGATGAGGATTTCGACATCTTATATTTTTTACGCAATAAAATGTAGCTTTTTCTCCCTCTGGGAAATTACTTGGATTGAAACTCTGATTATTTAATTCGTACAAAAAAATGTGTACTTGAAGGAAACTATTTTTTAACAATGCTGCCATTCGTGTAGCGAGATTGAATGGATGTCTAATCAATAAGTGCGAGTCCCGCGAAAGGAAATAATGCTCAAGCCCTTGTCCCATTATTTCACCCCCTCGGGCTTAAACTTGTCTCTTGTCAATCTCATGAACTGAGGAGGAAAGAGTGAGCCAGAGCTAATCCGACCGCAACAAAGCTGTGTGAAAGTAAGGAAGATGAATGACTTGGCTTCGTGACATTGACCATTTTGCTCCGAAGGAAAGCATACTTGAGGATTTGGCAAGGTGAAAGTGAAACCTTGCTAAATGTGGCTATCAAGTTTAATGGATTGAAAAATAAGGTCGAGTTAAACTCAATTTGTTTTTTACTCGCTTGTGAAATTGCATAGTTTACTAAAAATCCAAAGAGATACTGAAAAGCGTTATTTTCATTCCTTCAAAAATCTGTACATTCACAGGATATCTCCAGAACGTCACAACATAATCAAACCCCGTTTCAACCATTGTGCTTAAAATTTTTAATTCTGGGTCGAGTTCGATAATGGGGTCAATCGAGCTAGGGTCCAAATTTAAAGGTAACCTTAATTTTCATATGGGGTGACAATTTAAAGGAAATTTCACCAATAAATCAACACCCTCAATATTTTTGACCTCAGACCAATCTTGAGGACGAGGTCAAAGATCATAAACGACATAATTTTCACGTCGCATCATTTTACATTTTACTGCATCACGCCACTTTTTTATGGTCGTTTGACACTGGTTATTTATACTGGGAGAGTTTACTGTCTTACTAGCTTTATTTGGACGGATTTGGAGACAATGTTTATTCGGAGAAGCTCTTTGTTTTGTTGAATGCTTAATCACACACGACCACGTCATCTTGATTCATATTGTATTTTCCGAATTGATACAATTTTAATTCAAACATTCATTTGTTCCTTGTCCCAACTTTGTTCATCATATCGAATTACCAAACCCCAAGAAATAATATAAATTAATTGCTTCCAAAGATCAAAGTGAAGCAGGACAAAATAATAATTTCAAATTATTCTGTGACCATAAATAAATTGGTGTCCTATTATCATCCAATCACTTTAGAAAGCATCCAACAAAGTATAATCCACCAAGCACAAAGTATTTCGCTCCGCTCAGAGTGCGTCAGCTCATATCAGTGTTATTTCATTTCGTCCACAATTCAAAGAAGGGAAAGCTTTTGACAAAACTAATCTGATTTATGAGTCCTGATCGTACTACACACGTAGATCATCCGTATCGTAAATTGTGCATCACCATCGTACGCTTTCTCCCCTCGAGTGTGGCTCTAATTTAATTAAACAGTCGCGTATTATCATTATAGCCCACAAAACTTTCTCCGAATCCCAATCTGTCACGGACTTAGGGAAACTCATTAGTCAACTCGACTGTGTGCCTTCCATCCGTCTGTTTTGCTTTATTAATGCCAGCCAACCAACCAGCCAGGTTGGAATATTCGCCACGGGATATACATACATTGTAGCAGGCGAACATCATGTTGACCATGCAAGTGAATTGGTGAATTATCCATTTATGGAGAAATTGCCCAAGTTTCACAACATCACAATAACTTCTATCCATCCACCACGACTGGTG